ATTTAGCTTTTATTTAAAAAAGTAAGTTATATTAAAGTAATTTTTATAAAGGCAGTAGTATTTATTTATTTTTTTATAATTTATTTTTTATTATTTTTTTTAATATAAATATATTTAATTTTAAGTTTTTTTTTTATATTAATTTCTTTATAAATTTAATAAATTATTACTTTTTTTATACTTTTTTTAATTTTTTTATTTTATTTTATAACTTTTTTATAAATATTTTTAAAAGTATAAGGTTTAATAAAATTATATATATTTTTTAAATTATAGTATTTATAAATAAACTTTATTTTATTTTTAATAAAGCTTAATTTTATATTATTACTTTTATTATTAAATTTTACTTATTATATTAAAAGCTTATTTTTTTTTATTTATTATTAAAAGGTTATTATTATAAAATTATAAAGTTTATAACTTATTATAATTATTATTTTATATATTTATTATTATTTTTAATAATTCCTTATCCTTTAATAAAAATAAACTTATTAAAGCTAGTATATAATATAAAAAAATAAAAAAAAATTAAAATTATAAAAAGTTAATATATAATTATTATTTACTATTAAGTAATTTAAAAGTTAATTATATAATTACTTTTAAAAATAAATATTTATAAGTAATTATATTTATTTTTAAATCTTTTTAAAATAAAAAAATAATTTACTTTTTTTATAATTATAATAATATTATAAAGTTATAAGTATTTTATATTAAAGTTATTATAACTTTATATATATTTAATTTAACTTTATATTAAACTTTTTTTAAAAATTATATTTTTTTATAAAAATTATATATTATAATTTTAATAATAATATATAAATAAATTAATTTTAATATATATATAAATTATTATAATTAAAATAAAAATATATTATAATATAAATAAAAAAACTTAATTTATATTAAAATATATTAAAAATATAATAATTATTATTATTTCTTATAAAAATCTTACTTAAATTATTTTAAAATTAATTAAGAATTAATTAAACTTTAATATAAAATTAAATAAAAAATAAATAAAAAAAAGGATTTATAATAATTATATTTTTTGGAATTAATTAGAAATTAATTTAAAAATAATAAGTGAAATAAAAAAAATGCAAATTTAACTAGTGCCTAATTATATAGACCCTTTTTTTTCCTCCCTTAAAAAATGGTCTTCTACTGTTCTGCATGCTCATTCTAATTCTTCTCCACAACCTCTTCATCCTCCTCCATATCATCTCCAGTCTCCTCTCCATCCTCCTCCATATCATCTCCAGTCTCCTCTCCATCCTCCTCCATATCATCTCCAGTCTCCTCTCCATCCTCTTCCATATCATCTTCATCTTCCTCTCCATCCTCCTCAAAATCATCTCCATCTTCCTCTTCATCTCTCTCCCCATCCTCTTCTACACCTTCTTTACCCTTTTCAATGATCTCAATATCATCGTCTGAATCGGATTGAGAATCATTCTCACTACTGCCGCCAAAGTCATTCTCACCAACATTCTCATCCTATGTTTGCTTATTCCCTGATTAATGAAAGATTATCACAGGAGGATTTGGGATTACTTACTGTATTGTTGCTTGTATTGTTGCTGGAATTAGCAGGAGGCGGCTGGGTTTGAAGTTCATCTGGAACCCAAGTTGGTTTCGCTCCGGCGTCAACTTGAGAGTACCATCCTGCATTATCATTTAGTAATTATTCCGCAAATGAAAGGCGCTCAACGTACGATTGAGTTGGTGCTGCAAGGCAACGCTCTTGCTGCCCGCGCCGCGGTCGCTCACTTGCAGACCATGACCCTTTTTGTAATGATTGCGAAGGGACGACGGACTGTAGAAGGCAGCGCTCTAGAATCAAATCAGAAATGTTCAACCAAGAATCCAAAACTCAATTCATACCCGATAGCAGAGGCCGTTTTCCTCATCGCGCCAGCGACAAAAAACCTCTCCGGGGACGATGATAACCTTGTCGTTCTGCAATCCAGAAATAGCATTAGTACCATTGCAAATTGACTGGGGTTCAATTCTGAAACATACACCATCCTTCTTGAGATCGGGCATCTTTGCGTCGTCGCGCTCGCCCGCTTCATTTCCAGCGCGGTAGCTCTTGTAGGCTGGCTTGTCCTTGTACGTTTGCGGCATGGTGGGAAATTGATTGGCGATCGGAATGCTGTTGGCTGCAAAATGATTCGGAGATTGTCGAAAAGAGGCTTGGGTGGCGCGTTGTGTGGAGTTTGTGATGGTGTAGGAGTGGAGTTGGTGTTGCCAGGGCGAGATGCTGTGCGCAACCCCGCATTTATGTATTGGGCGATGAAGATTTTTTCTCACTTTGGATTGGAGTCACTTTGCATTCAATCGCCAAAACAACAAAGATTCACTACGCGTTCAACTCGATTTCTTTTTTGTTCTGTTCCTTTTTGCTTTTCAAAGTTGGTCTATTGGTTTTGAATGTTTGTTTCTTTTAGTTTCAGATTAATTCTTGGTAAAACACAATGCAAATGAACACGTTGTTTTGATCTGACTTTGTGATGGATTTGCGAACGTAAAGAATGTTCCTTGTGCACGCACCTAAGGCGGCAAATCACTTCATTGATACACAACCCTTGATCGCACACAATGCCTTTTGAATGGGTTTCTTCCTTGGTTTCAAATTAATTCCAAAAAAAGAACAAACTTGAGTGGAAGTTCTTTCAAAATTGATTTCATCAAAGCATTCTTTCAGTTTCAAATTAATTCCAAAAAATGAACTGCAGTTCTTTCAAAATTGATTCCTCCAAAAGAATTCTGGAATAGGGTAGGAATAATATGACACAGTATATTCTAGTAGTATACTGTCTAGATTTGAAAGGAAACCCATACATTGAACAGGTCTCCTTTTTTTAGTGTAAAAGGAAACCTGTACATTGTACAGGTTTGCCTCAGCCACAGGATCCACTGACAGCTTGTCGCAACACTCCATTGTGCCGGCCCAGTCCCAGTCTCCAGTCTCCAGTCCCCAGTCCCCCCAGTCCCCCAGTCCCAGCCCAGTCCAACCCACCGCCGGGCCAGTGTTTGATTCAGGATCGTGCTGGATGTGATTTGGCGATGGCGCTTGTGGCTTGGGGGTTTGCACAATGGAAGCCAGGGATTGAAAGTGGCACCGTACTGTGATGCACACATCTACACAAACTGCAGCTGACTGGCAATAGGGCGATGCTGATGCTGTCTTATTGCCTTCTGGCTGGGATGAACTCCGGCAGGGAGATTGGACGATGCTGCTTCCGTGCGTGCAAACCTCGCTGCCTTCAGGTTACAACGTATTACTTGTGCAGACGGTATGTAACCTGTTTGGCATGGAATACTACATGCCTGCTCAGACAACTCTTATAACGTCTCCCAGCTTACATCCCCCATCAAGGCCGCACATTCTTTATATACGGAAACACTGCCTCCTCTCAGCGGGCGGCTGATCTTCTCCCGCGCTTCTCTTCTGCTGCCGCCCCATTCTGCTGTCTTACACGCATCGACAGTACTTTTTACTCGAGTCCCAGGACCAAAACCCAGTCCAGTTTTGGGGAGGAGCCTCCTATCATTATTTCGCGACTCTTCGTCTGGTCTCTAATCTCTGGTCTCTGGTCTCTGGTCTCCCGTCTCTCGTCTAGTCCAAACCATATCCTGCCCCCTACCTCTCGTGCCTTCTGGTCCCTTCTCCTTGGGCAACGCTGCATCTCCTCATCATCGAGTCCGTCCTGCCCACCCGCCGTCACCAGAAGAGCCCAAACCCCCCTCCTCCGTTGCGACCTCCCACCTCTCGTCGCTCTCACGTTACCACGGCTATTGTGGCCCGCGTGCACGCAGAGCAGAACGTGTCTGGCTGCGGATCCGCCTACTGCTGCAGGTTGACGACACTGAGCAGGCCCCGGCTGACCTGGGTAGAGACACTCGCCCTTGGGACTGGCCCAGCTCGCAACTAGCGGCCACTCCAAAGCTGGCGCCAAACCCGCTTGTCCGTTTCGCAGCCGCCAACCTTGGATCTGGAACCTGAGCTGTAGGTACTCGGACGGCGCTTGTACCTCTCTTGCAGGGCACGAGTAATACCTTGGCTTGCCTTGCCTTCCCATTTGCCCTACCGGCGCAGAGCAAGTGGCAGGAAACGCGGGAGAAACGGGAACAGGATACTACCAACAGCTGTGTAGGGTCAGGTACCTTGTGCCGCCACTCGGTTCCGGCGTCACCACTTTTTCTCGACCTGGTGCAATATCACCTTGCCTCGACTTATATAAAAGCAACAACCCCTGCGCCGTCGACCAGTTACCATCTGCACATCTGCCCACTTTGGCGACTCGAATCTCGTCCTGACAAGCACGTCGTTTGGGCTCGAGCCTCGCGCGTGGGAGCGACTGCAGCAAGCGTCTAGACGCTTCGACAGCATCAGACAAAAGCAAGTTTACCGGCAGACTGGATTCAGGATCCTTCTGTCAACGCTTCTTCTTCTCCTTCTTCTCTCATCTTCTTCTTCATCGTCATCTCCTCTCCACTCACCTCGTTCCGTCTGCCTGCTCCCTCTGGCCCCTTCTCCCCCCAACGTCGACCGCGATCCTCCAGCAGCCGCTCTCCCTGCAGCTCCGGGATCCCTTCAGCTGCGCAGACTTGACGATTCCCTCTTCTGGCCACTGATGCGCCTGTAGCGCATGCAACTGTGCATCAGCGCCCACGCCCACGCTCCACGCTCCACCCGTGGCCTCAGCGCTCGCCCACTGTACATCGGCCGCTACCTTACAGCCCACTACAGCCACCCCCCCGGTTCGGCGGAATAGCGCAGACGCACGCACGCCAGACGCACACACAAAATTGCATCGGCCCTGTTCTGGCTCTGCTCTGCTCTGCTCTGCTCGGTGCTGTGCTGTGCTGTGCTGCTGCTGTGCTTGCTAGCCGGGTTGCTTGCTTGCTTGCTTGCCCGGCCCTGTCCCCAGTCGATTCCGATCCAGTCCAAGGCAGGCAAAGGCCCTTTTCGCCGTGCCCCCGAGCCGCCGATCCAGAGCCGAAACGACCAACCCGACCAGCGCCAGCCGTGAAACTTCGTCCTTCTTCTATCCCAACCCATCGCCGCTGCGTTCGCAACTCGCCCACTCGCCAACCCTCGACTCTGCACCGCATTGCATTGCCGCTCCCGCAGGCTTCATGATGTTAATTGACGGCGAGAAGTTTGCCTGCGACGCCTGCGTGCGTGGCCACCGCGTCAGCAACTGCCAGCATTCGAGTAAGTCGCTTACAAGCTTTGGGGCCATGACGGCTCTTGTTCCCCCGCGGCCCCTCCAACCTCCCAACCCCAATAATCGCCCTGCTGTCTCGGGGGCGCTTGAATTGGCTTTTTCTCCATCTTGGGGTACAAGGTTTCCAGCCTTGAGGCCGCGAGACGAGAGCAAATGGAGGCAGACGGGGACTCTTGACAGGTTGCTACAGAACAGCCAATTGCTAACGTGACGCTTTTCGCCCTCGCAGCCCGGCCTCTTCAACACATCAACAAAAAGGGCCGTCCCGTCTCGCAATGTGCGCACTGTCGCTCCATGCGCAAGTCTCGGTCCGCTCACATCAAGTGCGACTGCGGCGAGAAGACGAGCAAGTGCATCCACCTGCAGCCGCCCGTCGACGGACACCTTGGTGAGTACCACAGAAGCTCCAGGATACGACCCTCGCAAGCTCTCGGTTCTAATCCGTCTTGGCCGACAGAGACGTGTTGCTGCAACCACGGCGCACCATGCACCTGTGCCGGCAAGAAGGAGGCGGCCCTGCAGCCTGTGCCCGAGTCCGACTCGGACAGCGGACAGCCAAAGGCGGCTCCTCCCCGACCCATGCCCAAGCGGCGGCGGGCCAACACGATTCACTCGTCCGACATTGGCATGACCTTTGACCAGCACGGCCATCACAAGCCGACCAAGCACAACCGTGCCGCCCAGCGCTGCGGGCCGTATCAGCTCAACAGGGGCAACTCCGTCGCCAGCGCCGGGAGCCTTGGCAGCAGCACCGACAATCTGCTGTATCAAAGCCAGAGCGACGCCCACGCCGCGATGCAGCGCGACTTCCTGTCCTACGAGCAGCGCCAGGTCAAGTCCGAGGCCACCTCTCCTCTCATGTCCGCCTCGCCTTTTGGCCAGCTGAACCGCAACCTGCCGCCCCTCAACCTGTCGGGCATCTCCAACTACTCGGCCTATCCCGCCAGCGCCGGTGTCGAAATGTTCACCATGCCCGATACCGACGTGCTCAGCGCGAGCCTGGCGCAGTCGGTCGACTGGAATCAGCTGGGACTGGGCGAGGCCAACGATGGGACATTTACTCCCTCCAGCTACAGCCAGACTGGTACACACTTCACAGGCAACTTTGATTTCGGCAGCGGCTCGGAGCAGCTGCCCGCGCTGGCCGGCACGCGGTCTACGTCGGGAGAGACGTCCGAGATCGAGGACTTTATGCCCGGCGGCGACCGGGATCTGGACGGATTTGCCGCCAGCGGCAGCTACCTCCGACAAGCAAACGTCGACTTCAGCGGTCTCGACTTTAGCTACTTCGACAAGACGGACAGCCAGGTCGACAGCCAGGCGCTCACCGCCAGCGTCTCCGCCGTCGAAGACGATCCCGCCTTCTACATCCCCGGCTACACCGAGAACTCAGCGGCACTCGACGAACATGGCGACGCCCTTTCGCTGAATTACTGGTGAACCGCATGACAATTCAGCCTTCTTGGTCATTTCCGATATTTTTCGACCCCCTTTTTTGCATTCTTTCCGGATCCTCCGGATCTGGCCCCTTTTTCTTTATTCCCCCTTTCTATCTATTCGCTTTTTCATCACATCATCACATTACACGGCGTACGGTATACCCCAATGGTGGTCGGCATCTTGGACGCATTCACGACAAAAGGCGTTAGGAACCCACTATATACAACAACACGAAAAAAAAACAGGAGGGCATGGGGTGGCATCTGGTTGGCCTGGAAGGCGAACCTGATTCAGTCAGTCGGCTATCGTGCTTGAGCGACGCTTTTACGAACTTTACATTTCTCTTCTTTCGCTTCTTTCGGGATTCGGGATGACTGGCTGGTTGACTGCTCCAGAACAACCCTCGACTCAACTCGGGCCAGCCTTTCGTCCTATCTCATTTATTTTCGCTGAAACACCGGGCTTGCGGGCTGGTCAAGAAACGACCACGTTTCTGTTCTTTTTCATCTGGATTTTGTTCTCGTCTCTAGACATCATACAACGGGGCACGGGGTGCAATTTGTGGGGTGGGGACAGGGGCAACTTAGGAGGGGAAACGCGGGCAACGAAGGGTGGGACATGGTTTCGGTGTCTGGGGGTTCTTGTCGGTGCGTCGCTGGGCTTCTTTTGGTGCTTTTCCCTGCCCGATGACGCCGGATCTGCGTTTTGTTGGGTGGCTCCCGGTTTCAATTCTTTCTCTCTGGCTTAGGCGCTCCAATGGGTTGCCTGGCTTCATGAGGCCACGACACGGTGTTGTGTTATCGGTTGTTTTTCTTGTTTTTTTGTCACTTGATATTGATCTGAGAGGCTATGTTGAGATTTGTGCACATAGAACAGCTTGTGGGACAGATAGACTGTTGTTTCTTGATAGAGACGACTTTATCCTGCCTATTGTTTTTGTGTTTTTCTCGTTGCCCCCCATTTTTGAAGAAAAGTTGGTTAGAAATGCACCCTTTGTTTCAGCATATAGACACTGGCAGGCAATAGAAGCGGTGACTTTGGTTCTCAGACCTCGCAGCACAGACGCGCCACCTGATGTGTGAGAGAGAGAAGAGACACACACTGTTGTCCAACAGCCATCCACAAAGATGTCACCCGTAGAAAAAGTGGCTATTTTTGACGCGCAAGGCTCGATTTAGAAGCAGCATTTCGCCTTGGCCTAGGGCTGTGCGCATCGACGTGAGAGCGATCGGAGCGCGGCTACTGTTGGACGTTGAAATATACACGGGTTTTGCACATGTATACCACAGACAGGGTCTTGAAATAGATGGGTGGTCGGGTGTCGAATTCCTTGTTTCAATGGGCGACGCACCGGATTTCTGGCCTTTTCTTTTTTTCATTGTTTCTCGATTTGTGCTTTTTGCTAAAGTTGATGGCTTGGACTAAGCTGCGTTTCTGGTTAGTTTTAGGTTTTGAGTGTGGTAGTCAGGAACGGAACAGTGCAGTACAGTATACTGAAGTCGGTATGGATGTGTCGATTACACCCAAGTATGCACCGTATGTATGGGTTGGTTGGTTAGGTACTATAGCCAGTAAAAGCCTTGACGGGTTCGGTATACAAGGACAGTACGAGTAGTAGTACTAAGATAAACAGGCAGCAACTTACTCCATGTACTGTACTTTAGTAGTAGTGGAGGAAAAGCGCCGTGTGGGAAAATCGAGATGGAAGCTGTGATTTGACAGATGGGAACTCCTTTGTGGCTGAATAGTTTTTTTTTTCATATGTGTTCCACTTTTGGGGGGGAGACCATGATGCGCACATGCCTGCTGCAGTGGCTTTTATTACCCTGATGAAATGCTTGGAAACATGGTATTTTGATGAAGATAAAGCGAGTGGATGACATTATTTGCCTTCAGATTCCTCTTTTGTCTTCTTCTATTTTGTCTTTCTGAGTCCTTGTCATGGGAAGTACTTGTATTGTCTTTGCTGGGAAGGACTGACGTAATTTGCCGTGCGAGTCTAGCACAGAGTGCCGAGTGGATGCTTCAAAGGGGGGGCCCATGGGACTCGTGGTTGGGATGCTACTGTACGAGTAATAGTAGTGCTGGCCGCCACGAACTGGAGGAGCAAGTGGGTATACTAGGACAGTATCAATCGGACCCCATCCATCTCGGTACTGCATTACGGAGGATACAGCACTAAACGATACCATACCAAGTAATTCGCCTTCCCGCAAGGTAGCCAAGTTTCGGTACTTGTACTCACCCCAGTCCCTGTGTAGGCTGATGAGATTGATCTGCTCGAGAAAGGCTTCTCTGGCCATTATCTCACGAACTCCTAGGAGAGCCGGGCGATGCTCGTCTAGTGATGAGAAACAAGGATCGTGCAACGGTCAGAAGCAGTTTTACGTACCATGTATTGTCGGATGTACCCGCTAGAGAACGGGCGTGGGGTGGCCGTCCATCGTTTGTGCCACTTTTTTTTTTTTTGGTATGATATTTGATGTGAATGACTGATTTAATAAGGGGAGGAATGACGAGAGTGAGAGAAGAAGACGAAAAGGGTCTGAGAGGAACTGGTGTTCCGAGCCTGGTAAACAAGACGAGCATACGACAGTGTATTGGTAGCAGATTGCTGCATTGGGGAAAAGAAGCTGCTACTATATTTGAACCACAGGCAGGAGTCACCAAGACAATACTTCTTCTATGCGAGGCAAAGACCATTATAAGGAATGAAGCTATCTTCATACCAGGAAGAGTGACCGTATCAGACGCAATATCCAGAGTACAAAGTATTCGACAGAAGGCTGCTGAACTCGCAGGAGAAAGAAAAACGAAGCCCTTGGCTACGCTTGGCTGGATTCTTCGATGCCATGAGCTTACGATATCGGGTTCATGTTGGTGTCTGCTAGAAAAGGTGAGTCAGATGTAAATGGAAGGATATCTGGGTCGATGGAAGAGAGTTGAGATGGTCGGGGCAACGAGTCTGTATATGCGTCGCTGTATTGGCAATTTCAAATGTGAATATGATGGATCGTCGTGCAATGATGATGGAAAATGCTCAAACCCACAATGATTGAGAAGCTGGTGTAAATGAGCCTAGTCAAAGGCACTGCGCCAGAACATCGCAAAATGCTGGCCCGTCGAGTGTTCGATCATCGTCTTGATGAGCTACGTTAGCCAAGCAATATTTACACGCAGCAGAGGATTCACCTCGTATACCATAGTCTCATACTTCCCTTATAGAGTGACAGACACCCGGTTTCCTCACAGAAAAAAATATGGTAAGCAAGGCAATCCGTCTCCTCTTGACTATGCTCGTTGTGAATGAACACACAGGTGAATCATGGCCGCCACTGTTTTTTCGCCTGTGTTGATAAGAGACACTTCAAAGTGATCAATGCGTCCGCTGAAATTGGAAATTGACAAAGACAAGACACTCTGTCACTATATGACAAGGCAGTCAACGTTTGCTACCCATCAGTTCCTTGTAGGTCTAGACGGCTGAGAGCGATGCTCTGAATGGCCCAAAGGTACTTGGACACATACTGCTGTGTAACTCTGCGCTCCCGAATTCATTGATATTCACCCTGGCTATTACAGTACGTACTTATGTATGTAGATAGAAATACATATTGTCCGCGCTTCGAAGCTCCTGCTGTCAGCATCGCCTGTGCTCTCTTATCACACGACCGCCATGCCTTAGGCTGTGGCATGGTCTCACTGGCCTGCCAATCTTGATACTGTGACGAGTCAATCTTGATCATTTTGGGTATTAAAGCTTTGGGCCTTTCGATCGAGACAAGAGAAGTAAGGGAAGCGGTAGGCTAGGATTGATTGGTGCACTCTTGTCCTTGCTTCACAGCCGTGCAGCCCAATATCACGCCCTAGGAGAGGCTGATAGCAACAACTTATGAATATATGCTCCCATAGTCCGGTTCGAGCGGCTTGGTTTTACTTGCTCACGATCATGGCTGGCGTCGTAAAACCCCCATCGGGGGTTATACGCGATACCACGTTCAATTTGGATATGTCTTCATCTAGACTTTATCAGCATTCAAATCTAACTTTTCGGCGAATGTTCAATACTTGAAAACTGCCAACGCGTTGGGATGATTAGGTCTTTAGTTGGCTGTATGTGTGTCGGAGACTTTCTGTGTTTGCGTTGCGTCCATTCCCATTCTTCCTCAACCATTTGAGATGGTGCCAAGTCGATTGCACCCTACCTAGAGGCTTGCTGAAATACCAGTCGTCTGTTGCTCGTTTCAGTCCATGTGAAATGTTCTGAGGGTATTCTCACTTCGAGGCCCAGCGCTACAGTAGTTAATTCATGCAACAAATACAGGACGAACAACGTGCTACCGACTTCGACACTATATGATGGAGCAATTGGAAGCCGAGTCGGGGCGCAAACTTGCAAAGGTGATGGATCTCATCAGATGAGGAGGCTTTTTAATACGGGCATCAGATGCCTCATTGTATCACCTATAGTATACCACCTTGGCTTCTTTACCTACCTCATGTACTTATAGTAGCCCCGTGTGAAGCGGCACAAGCCGTGGCTCGTGACAAAGCAACAGCCCCTACGCCGTACTCAACCAACGTAAGAGGATTTGTGCCTTTGTCAGCAGAAGATGAAAACCTTTCAGGCATTCAATGGGACAGAGACCAGCACCTTTCACTGTACAGCTGTGGAGTCTCTTTTGATGAAACGTGGACTACGTATCGAGACTGAGCGCCACAGCAGGCAGAGTCCAACAGCAGGACGTTGGCCACACAATGGCATTTGTGCGCCACAGGCATCAGGCGCCACAGTGAGACGCGGCTCGCCCTTTGGCCGGAGACTCTGTTCCGGCATCCCCAGTCTTTGTTGTGGCTGACTGGTAGGTACCTACCTTAGCGGGCACATATCATCAGTTGTACAAGTACAGACAAATGGCCGGAGTGGCTCGTTCTGAGACGTCGAGTTTCAGCCATATTGATATGCATGCAAAAACCAAGAGGTGACGAGCGAAATGGCCTCATTGAGATTGCAGCGGTACACAAGAAGGAGGATAAGCTGAAGGAGGAAAAGAGATGAGGAAAACCTGTTCACCTCCAGTCAGCGCCGTCTTCAATTCAAGAGCTGTGAGAGAGATCTGCATGTGCGTGTCTGAGCTACTACTAGTACATCTACTTAGTCTCTTACCCCTCCATGCAGGTGACAGATGGTTTTTCTCGGTATCGGTGAAGGAAGCTTCATGTTCCAGCCTTTCTCAGACTGTTATCGTCTTGGCAGGCATCTGTGAGGATGGAGAATACGAGCTCGATGAGGTAGTTGCAGCCAAAGTGAAGATCTTTGACGGTGGGCGAAATGAAAAATAAATTAAAATCTACAGCAAGAGGTTGCAGCAGCTGCTATGTACTTGCATGCGGACGTGGGCCGAGACACGAAATCACATGCGCCTCTACCCCTCACCTCCCACCACTGCAGTGCTGGCGGTACCTGAAGTCGCGGGCTTTGCAGATTCAGGTTTGCTTGTGTGACAGTACCTACCTAATCAATTAAAGGTCGAGGAAATTTACAGTACCTCAGGTATAGTAGGTACTTACCTGTAGGTTCCTTGTTGGAGCACACGCGGATTGTTCGTCTTCTGCTCGACTTGCATGCGCCACTTGGGGGCACAAACAGTCACTAATACGGAGGATTTCGTGCCCGTGGTCACGGATTTCCGTGCCTTGCAGTCGATGCGCTTCGTTCGCCGCAGCCCTTCAATGGCACCGGAGATATCGCGTTTAGAAAGGTCGGGTGTCATCTCTGCTGCCTCCCAGTTGTCTTTTTGCGCACGAGGTACAGCGAGGCTAGTATTAGTAGGAAAGGCAACGCCTTGGACGCAGATCTGCAGAGATTTAGCCTCGTCCAGTTAGGGTACCTGTATAGCCTCGACTAACGCAGCAAGAGCGAAGTACCTCCATCCAGTAAACCAGTGTTGCCTCAACCTTGCCTTGTCCTCTGCTGGTGCTCCAATCCTCGTCTTTCAGGTAGCCCTTTCAATCCCATTCCAACTTCTTGTCGCCTCCATCGCGTCTCCTCAAGCCAGACCTCGTACGGCCTCTGCAATCTCGCTACCGTCTCCCGACCTCCTCAGCCTCCCTTGAGACGTCGAGTCCCTCCCTGCATACTGCAGTCCTCGCCCGCATCTGCTCGCCCTTCTCGATCCTGTCTTGGCTGCTCCAAGATGCAACTCGCTTAAGCTACGGATACGGCATGTCTTCTTCTGGCTGAGCATCTGCTTGACGCTGCACGACCGCTCGGCTGGTTCAACAACTAACACTCTCTCTCTCGTAAGATGAGCTCGTCGCACCAGGATGAGTCGGAGAGAGTCGAGAGCGAATCCATCCCGCCAGACGGCCAACCTTCACCCGAGGCCAAGATGGAGGACGACGGCCCAACGCCGACTTCCGCTGCGTCTGACCAGCAGCTGGGCCACGACTCGACTTCCTCACCCGCCTCTGACCTCGCCGGCGCCGACCGAGTCTTCCCAATTCGCTCCGTGGTCCGCGTTGATCCGCTGTCCCACGAGGAGCTCTTTCCACACCTGGCCGACGCCGATAAACAGGGCCCCGGCATACCAGTACACCTCCTCACCTCTACAACCCGCACAGACTCGTGGTCCGATGCGCGAAGATCCGATGCTGAGCCCATGTCACCCACCTCACCACCCCCGCCAAGCGACAGAGCCGCCCAGATCCGCCGAAAGAGAGCAATGAGCGGGCCCTATAGCAGTCTACAGGCGGACGCCGCTCGCCATAGTTCCATTCCGATAGCGCTGAATCTGGCCATTTCGGATAGGGAAGACGAAGATGGGTCGGAAGCGCCTGCCGACGAGAACGCTGGGGACGGGGACGACAAGTCGTTGGAGCCGACCGACGCATCGGTGGCATCTGGTGACCGGTCCGTGGAGGAGGCTATCCATATCGCGACGCGCTTTACACATGTCATAACAGACGAAGGGCATGCCGTCATAACGGGGAGAGACGGAGTCTTGCAGAGATGCGAAGATGAGCCCATCCACATCCCAGGCGCCATCCAAAGCTTTGGCGTCCTGCTGGCGATGCGTGAAGAGGCTGAAGGTCAGTTTGTTGTGCGGTATGTTAGCGAGAACAGTAAAAGGATCCTGGGCTATACGCCTCAGCAACTATTTCGACTCGAAAGCTTCCTCAACATCCTGACCGATGAGCAGCAAGACAACCTCCTAGACCATATTGACTTTATCCGAGACGAGGATGCCGACCCGGCTTCCAATGGACCCGAAGTCTTTGGCTTGTCCATCCGGGGTAAAAAGGATAGAAAGAGCGTCAAGCTCTGGTGTGCCATGCACATCAATGCCGCCCACCCTGACATGATTATTTGCGAGTTTGAAAAGGACGATGACCAAGAGTTCCCTCTTCAGCCGCCGGAAGAGAAGACCGAGCCCACCGCCGCCGACACCCTCAACGGCAATCCCACGCTTGAGCAGATCGAAGAGAGCACCGAAATCCTGAGCAAACCGCTGAGGATCTTGCGAAGCGCCAGAAAGAGGCGAGGCGACCAAGGTGCAATGCAGGTCTTTGACATCATGTCCCAGGTCCAGGAGCAGCTTTCCTCGGCCCCTGATCTCGACATCTTCCTCAAGGTTCTCATTGGCATAGTCAAGGAACTCACTGGCTTTCACAGGATCATGATATACCAGTTTGACTCTTCGTGGAACGGCAAGGTCGTAGCCGAGCTCGTCGACGCTTCCAAAACCACCGATCTGTACAAGGGACTTCATTTCCCAGCATCCGACATCCCCGCCCAAGCACGCGACCTGTACAAGCTGAACAAGGTCCGCCTGCTCTACGACCGAGACCTGGAGACTGCCCGAATCGTCTGCCGGACCAAGGAGGATCTCGACGTACCCCTGGACATGACCCATGCGTATCTGCGAGCCATGTCCCCGATCCACCTGAAATACCTAGCCAACATGGCTGTGCGGTCATCAATGTCAATCTCGCTCAACGCTTTCAACGAACTCTGGGGCCTGATGGCATGCCATTCGTACGGGAACCACGGCATGCGAGTTTCTTTTCCGATTCGCAAAATGTGCCGCTTGGTGGGGGACACGGCTTCGAGGAACATCGAGAGATTGTCGTATGCATCCCGGCTGCAGGCCCGCAAACTCATCAACACTGCCCCTACCGATAAGAACCCCACCGGATACATCATTGCCTCTTCCGACGATCTGCTCAGGCTGTTCGACGCCGACTTTGGTTTGCTTTCCATTAGGGGTGAAACAAAGATCTTGGGCGTCATAGAACAAAGCCAAGAAGCTTTGGCCATGCTTGAATACCTTCGAATGCGTCGACTGACATCGGTGGTAGCGTCGCAGGATGTTAGAGAAGATTTTCCAGATTTGCAGTACCCTCTGGGCTTCCAGGTAATCGCAGGACTGCTCTACGTCCCCTTGAGCGAGGGGGGTCACGATTTCATTGTCTTTTTCCGCAGAGGGCAGATTAAGGAGGTTCGATGGGCGGGGAATCCATACGAAAAGACGCTTCGAGAAGGAACCGTCGGTTATCTGGAGCCTCGAGCAAGCTTCAAGACATGGAACGAGCTGGTCGTTGGCAAATGCCGCGAATGGGTGGAGGAGCAGATTGAGACCGCCGCGGTGCTCTGCTTGGTCTACGGTAATGGTCCCGCACCTGTTTATCGTTGTGTCGGCTACTCAACTAACACTCGCTGGTATAGGGAAATTCATTGAAGTCTGGAGGGAAAAAGAGGCCGCTATACATAATACTCGGCTGACGAGACTTCTGCTAGCCAACTCGGCGCACGAGGTCCGTACACCCCTCAACGCCATCATCAACTACCTCGAAATCGCTCTCGAGGGTTCCCTCGACCAGGAAACTAGAGACAACCTCGCCAAGTCACATTCAGCCTCAAAGTCGTTGATCTATGTTATAAACGATCTCTTGGACTTGACCAAGACAGAGGAAGGTCATCATCTGACTGTGCAGGAAACCTTTGAGTTCCTCCCATGTGTCAACGAAGCCTTGGACCCGTTCCGCATCGATGCCGAGAGGAAAGGGATCGACTATCAGGTTACGCACCATCCTGGGCTGCCGCGCTTTGTCATGGGTGACACCCGGCGTCTTCGACAAGTCATCACAAACATCACAGCAAACGCAATAGCGCATACGACTTCTGGATATGTGAATGTGGACGTTCTTGTCGCCGGAATGAGGGAAGATCGCCAAGTCCTCATCGACATTGTCGTTGAAGACTCGGGCAGCGGCATGACTCCTTTGCAGATGGACGGTCTCTTTCGTGATCTCGAGCAAGTGGGCACCGAAGAGCTGGAGCTGCGTTCGCCGTTTGAGGAGAAGGAGAAAAGTCGGCAACAACTGAAGACCTTGGGGCTCGGTCTGGCTGTCGTTGCTCGAATTCTCAGAAATGCAGGCGGCCAGCTGCGATTAAAGTCAAAAGAAGGGGAGGGTTCCCGATTCGTGATTGAGATGCCGTTTCAGCTGCCCAAAGACTCGTCTGAGATGGAAGGCGACGCCTCTACCAACGGCCTCGTCCCTTCCAGCGAAGAGATCTCGGCGGCCAAGTCACTGCCTCTGGCGAAAGAAGATGAGATACTCTTGATCAAACCCAACAAGACCATGAGCGATACAGCATCTGTGGGACGGCAGAGCATCGAAAGCCGCCACAGTGCTGTGAGTCAGGATGGGAGCCAGAGGAGCGATGCGGACCGCCTGATCGACGCCATCAAAACCCCGTTGTCTAGACACGACAAGGAACTGGATTACTTCGCCACCGGCCAGCTGCCCACAACCGCAAGCTTCACCGGCACGAGCTTTCCTGTCACTTTGAAGGAGCCTATCAGCCACAAGCTGACGAAGAATCCCGTCGACGAGGACGCTGGCGCCGCCAAGGTGCGCGACTCGAGGGTACCTGTCCGCGCGATCAAAGTTCCAGACGAATATATCGACATACCCCCTGCCGCTGTACCTACACACAACAGGACGGGGAGTGTTTCTGAAGCCGATACAGATGCAACAGAACCAAAACGCGCGACTGGCATCGTCAGCGACGCTGCTGCAGACGGCAACACCGCACTGCGCGTGCTTGTCGCTGAGGATGATCCCATCAACATGAAGATTCTCAAAAAGCGACTGGAAAGGAGTGGTAATACAATTCAGCATGCCGTGAACGGACAGGATTGTGCGGCAAGATACAACGATGGCTCATCTGCGTTTGACGTCGTCCTGATGGATATGCAGGTAGGTAACGACCATTATGCAGCATCCAATCACCCTATCATGAGGACGCTGAAACTTACACGTGTGTTAGATGCCGATTGTCGATGGACTGACTAGTACTAAGCTAATCAGAGCAATGGAAACATCATCTGAGCACAAGGGTCACTCGCCCCTGGCCTCCAGATGTGGTCGCATACCAATCTTCGCCGTGTCTGCCTCTCTAGTCGAAGAGCTCAAGGACATTTACGTCGAGGCGGGCTTCGATGGATGGATCCTGAAGCCCATTGATTTTAAGAGACTCGCAACGCTCCTTCGCGGCATCTACGACGACGAAACGCGCAAGTCGTGTATATACGTTCCTGGAGAGTGGGAAAGGGGCGGCTGGTTTACGGAGTCCTCCACAGCAATCGCCGTGAGTGAGTGAACAGCTTGAAACGAACTAATGGCCGTGACACCCCTCAGAGCAGATGATCTTCTCCTTGTTTCTTTAACTTTTTCCTATTTTTCTTTTCCTTTCTGTTGGGTCTCATGTACACACACGGGCCTGTCTCAAGGGCGGGAACACCTGCAAAAAAAAGCATACACGGACGGGGGGGCGTCGGGGTGTTTCGGTACGGACACGGAAACCTTGTTTCTCTATTCTTCGGACGTATCCCCTTTTTCTTTCAACATACATTCTTCCTTGTTCTTTTCCTCTTTCTTCTCCGGCATCATATGGGGATTTCTCTTTTTTTCACTTTTTTTTTTTTTTTTCCTTGTGAGAATACGGGCAATAGACGAGCCATGAAATAGACAACAGCAACGGGAACACGACCTAAAAATAAGAATGAGAAAAAAAGAAGGGTAATCATCAACGGGCAAACACGGACGCACACGCAATGGATCCTGGAAGGCGTTGGGCATTGTTAGGGAGGCTTTTGTTTATATCTAGTTGATACACGATGCATTATTGTTTTTTTCTTCCTGGGGTGTATTTCTATCGCATTTATTTTGGGTGTATACCCATCGCATATACGTGTATACATATTCCACACTCTTGTTGCGCTGAATCGTTTGTACTGCTTTAGGTGGGAAGTTCTTTGACTTGGCCTGTCGGCTTGGCTTGATCTGTCATGTCCTGAGAGGGTGGCTCAGGTTTGGGCGTGAGTCATCGTCTTCATGCCCGACTCTGCACCATCTAGGGTATACCAAGTACAGCCAGGAGTATATAAATTTCGCTGCGACCATTATTGAAAGCGCTGTCCATTATAAGACGTGCATGGGAAATTTCAAGGCAACCATACCCTAGCCTCCATCATGGTCTCATAATCATCAAAAAGAGAGGAATTATTCGCTGTTGCCTGAAACGCAGAGCCCATTGGGCGCGTGACAGACAGTATAGACAAAAGCGCTGTTAATCTAACATTACACGCAAAAATACAGGTTAAAAGAATTTGGGTAGATAAGAGAAAGGCAGAGGGGCTGAAGGGTGTGAGACGGGCGTATCCATCATGTGCCGTCGTTGCGCCAAGATGATACAAATTTGAACGTCCTTTTCCAAACCCCTGGTTTCGCATCTTCGTGATTCTCTTCCTGCACGTTATGCTGACCAACAATATCCAAAAACACCTCGTCGAGCGACGTGGTGCTAACGCTATAATGCTCGACTCCAAGCCGCGCCTTGGTCTCTTCCAGGAGGACGACGAGTCGGCCAATGGCGCCCTGACTGATATCGCGCGCCACAGGCATCACCTTGTTGTTACTGGGGTCCTCGGTAAGCGACAGGACCTGGCTCGAAAGGACCGAGAACCGCAGCTGGCCATGGTACATCTTAGACTCAAGCTTGGCTGCCGGCAAGGTCTCGCGGATCCACGACGTAATGACGTTCATCTCCTCGTCTGTGGTCCTAGGAGCCGTGCTCGACACGAGATGGACGTGCAGAGCATCACCGTAGCGATGTCTCAAGTCGTCGGGCGTACCTAGAGCCAGCATTCGTTTGGCTAGGATGCCGACACGACCGGCCAAGGCATCAGCCTCTTCCATGCTGTGCGTTGTGAGCAGAATGGATCGGCCTGGGACTGTTGCCTCGAGCGTCCTCCACATAACTCGTTTTGATGCGGCATCTAGACCTGAAGAGGGCTCATCCAGCAAAAGCACCCCGGGATTGCCCATGAGCGCGATTCCAAGACTGAGCTTGCGCTTGTTGCCACCAGAGAGTTTGGCTGCCATGCGTGTTGAGAAGGCACCGAGCCCGACGGCTTGCAAAACTGCAGAGACGTTATGTTCGACGTTGGAAACGCCTCGAATTCGAGCATAGAATTCAAGATGCTCTCGAACAGTCATCTGATCCAAGGCGTCGATCTGGGGACAGACGCCAAGATTTGCCCTCGCAGCCGGCAGATGCCTCGCAACAGACACGTTATTAATAAAGACGTCTCCGCCGTTGAGGTCTGGCTTGAGGTCGCCCCGAATTAAAGAGATAGTCGTGGATTTGCCCGCTCCGTTTGGACCTAGCAGAGCAAAAACCTCGCCACGCTTGACGCCGAAGCTGACGTTTTCGACGGCATAATTCTTGCCAAAGGATTTTGTCAAATGAGAGACTTTGAGACCATCGTCTGCTGCCGGGCTCAAAATCCTCATCTGCTCATTCACCACTTCTTCGTCCGACTCAATGACCTCGCTTGGGTGTTTATGCCTGTTGAAGAAAGCTCGGACAGAGGATCCCACATTCCCGCTGTCCAGCCAAAGCAATAGCCCGAACAGGATCAAGCATTGGATGATGAGATAGAGAATGGGACCTCCGTATTGCTTGAGGCCTCCTGGGGTTTTCGAGAGGTTGATGTCCTCGCAGGCCGTGGCGAAGAGATTCGTGGCGAGAAACATGGCCCTGGCCACTGAGCCGATGGGCATAAATGCTGAAATGACAAAGTGACAGACCAGTAAAGTATTGTCGATCTTGTCAATGTCAACATATGTGACGACGCAGACATACGCAATCAAGTAGCCGAGGAAAAAGGCCGCCTGCCCGAAAGCCGCCCAAGCAAACGTGGCCAGCTGCGACCGGGTGAAGAGAGACACCAAGTAGGACACCAATATCGAGGCTAGGCCGTAGAAGAGGAGCACCACAAAGATGTATTCGATGTGATACCAAATATCCGACAGCCCAGCCCACAGAGCCGTTACTATTGCGGAGCTGGCGAGAACCATGACAAAGTCAAACAAGAGGTAGGCCATCCACAAGGGAAAGGGACGGACGCCGTTGGAATACTGAAAGCTGCGCACGAAGCGCCTGCGTTCGTTGCTTGGGTAGAGGGCGAAGAACGCCGGGTAGCAGGCGAGGGCCAGACCCATATAGATGACCAGGTTCAGAGACTTTCCAATGGCGGAGTCGTAGGGATCATCAAAGGGGGCCCAGGACGTCGCAATCGTCGTGTTTGTTAGCATCACGTCGAGGAACTGCTGAGCTGTGAGGGGGCTCGTCACGGCTAGGTTGGCAACCCAGGCAATCGTGGGATTCGTGCCGGCGTCGCCGAGCCACAAGCCCGCGGTGATGTTTTTGTTATGGTCCCGTAAGTACTGGTAGAATTCATTGTACGTGTCGACAAGATGAAGATTGTTGAGAGAAGTCGTAGCGATGTTCACGATGGAAGCGGTGCTGCTGGCAAGAATAGGCCGAAAGAGAGACGAGGCCAGCAGCGGGTTGAATTTGCTAGACGGGCCTGCAAGGAAAGAAAGGCTGTCGGTGTCTTTGATCTGGGTAAAGGCGTCTGCAGCTTCAGAGGTCGAATCCGCGTCAATGGGTTTGCATCCTGTCGGGCCATCGTCCTTGACGAACAGAGACGTCAATCCTGCCGCCATGACAGGCAGCAAAAAGGCAACGGAGTATAGCGTCCAATTTCTCTTCAAGACCGTCCACCTTTTATTGAACAGGATGACCGCCTGTTCGAAGTAGCCGAGTCGTCTGCCATTAAGCAGCTCGAGACCAGTCCCTGGTCCCGTGTTTCGACTGTGGCCCTGCGAAGAGCTGTCATCCTTGATGGGCATTTTCTCTGCGATGGTGTTGACCCCAGCGAATACTTCCTCCTCCTTGATCTCCTCCGCAACCTGCAAAAATACATCTTCAATGGTCGGGCCCGAGAAACGGTAATCCGTGATATCAGCCTTCTGGAGTTCCTTGATCACCTGTGCCGCCAGATTGGACGTGGGGGCAGTATACGTAACCAGATCAAAAGCATCATCCTTCTTCACCCCAATTATAACAGGAAGGGGTTGATAATTCGCCGTTTTGTGCACGCTGACTCGATAACCGCCTCCAAGCCGATCTTTGAGCTCGGCAGAAGAACCTTCGGCCCGGAGTGTGCCCTTTGACAGGATCGCGATGTGGTCGGCGAGAAGATCTGCCTCATCCAGGAAATGCGTGGTCAGGATCAAGGTCCTCTTCCCTCTCTCAGCCAGCAGAATATCCCAGATCTTGCGTCGAGATAGCGGATCGATGCCACTGCTCACCTCATCGACGCAGCAAACTGCACTTCCTCCTACCAACATCATGCCAAGCTGCAGCTTTCGTTTCTGACCCCCAGACAAGGTTCTGGCGAGGGACTTGGTTTTATGAACAAGGTCGATTGATTTGATCAAGCTGGTAATTTCCTCTTTGCTTGCGGGAGCTTTGGGAGATTTGAGCTTGTCGAAGATGATGAGATGCTCCTCGACAGTTAAATCGTCCCATAGGACATTCCTCTGCGGGGCAATACCCAAGCCGCCGTGCCCATCAATGGTGATGGACCCGGCGGTTACTTTCTTCAACCCGGCAATGGCATCTAGGGTTGTGCTTTTGCCGCTTCCGTTGGCACCTAGGAGCGCGACAATCTGGCCTTTCCTGACGTTGAAACTGAGTTGCTTGACGGCCACAACGGGGTCTGATGACTTGGTGCGCCTCGATAACAGTCTCAAAAAGGGCTCAAAGCGCCGAGGAACGGATGGTTGATAGATCTTGGTGAACTCATCGAGCCTCACGGCATCTTCACCGAGACTGCTGTCCCCCTGCTCCAGTACTTTCCGGCCTGTCGTAGCGGTGCCATAAAGACGGACTTCTATGAGTGCAGCGAGGAGAGGGTAGACGAAAATGTGAGCGATCAAGAAGAGCCAGAGAGCGATGCCTGGCAGCTTCCATGGACTGCCCGGGGCTATTTCGACAAGGTTGGCTGGCAGAGCTGCTCTCTCGAAGCGAGACATGAGTGTGATGAAGTAAACGTACGCACAGGGGGAGAAGAGTAGAGATAAGACCAGTACGGGTGCTGTTGCAGGCAGTGTAAGAGACTGCGCTAGGATGCCAAGCAAGAGGACGGCAAGTGTGGCAGCAACACCACTGAGCTGGGCCTTCTTGAAGAAGGATGCAACGAAAACAGACGATGACGCCAGAGCGAGACCTGCAGTGAGGTGGAAAAAGAGGACAATGGCCAGGCTGGTATGGGAAAATACACCGTAACGCATGATGATGGATGCAATTACCCAAGCAGGCGCATAGACGATCGAATAAGAGAGATGGTGGGAAATGATGCGAGCGGCCAAAGCTTGCCAGGGCTTGCTGACGGGCATCATGGCGTCCAGGAGCTGGGACATACCAGTCTCGCGCTCGGTGGCGATGTGGCCGCTCAAGTGGTATGTGACCCAGATAATAGAGGCAATGAAGGCGACACCCATGAAGCTCACAATGGCCTTGTGGAAGATGACTCTGATCTTGGCCTGTCTCTCGTCTTGAGTCAGGGTGGTGTAAGGCATCTCCTGGGTGTTGGCCATAGCCTGGGCAGCCTCCGTATCATTCAGGCCAACGATGATGCTGTCTATGGCGCGCTGAATGGGTAAAATATATACCTCTTCCGCATTGTCAGATCTCTCAACGTTGATCCTGAGCGGACTCGACTGCATCTCGGAATCGGTGCGAATGGTGTAGTTCCATATCCTGCCATGTCCTTCACTGGGGGATGAACGCATGACAATAGCCCCGAAACACTTGGTGACCCCGCGCAGGGTACTCCGACACTCTGTGAAGAGAGTGTCTTCGCTTTTCGCCCTGACGACGTTGATGTGAGGCCCCTGTGTAGCTATCTGGGCTTGAAGCTGATTCAAGACGGTGTCAATATCGCCCCCTGTGAATCCGTTGTCGACCAAGACGACCTTGTGCCGCCCGCTATCAAAAGCATCGCCAAACGCTTGCGCGAGTGTCTTGACGGGATGGACCTCTCCGAAGCCGAACATTGCAGGCGGCACGAAGAGGTACTTGGCGAAGGTGAAGAAGGCGGCCAGGGCTATGGGCAAGAGAAAGGCCATGAAGAAAACCTTTGTGGGATGGCGGTATAGTAGCTGTCGGAAGTTCTTGGACATGAGAGTCCAGACTTGCTTGAAGAAAGCCATGGTGAGACTGAAGGGCGTCGATGGCCTTGACGTCTGAGACGGACTCCGGATTTCTTCGCTTTCCTCCCAAACACCATCAACGACATAGAAAAAGATGATGTCGACCCCGAGTAACGATACAAACGTAGAACTGGACGACCGGGCCGCCAGCAAGGAAACAAGAAAGACGAGATGTCGATATTAAAGAGAGTATTTTCATATGTCTGTCCGAGGGGGGAAAGAAGGATACTAGAGATGGAACAAAAGGTCGGGGTTCGCGTCCATGGGGCGAAGCTGCCGCTGGCGTTACAGGTAGATTTGCCCGTCTATGCCGTATACGGGCGTCGGCGCTGCTGCTGGGATTCGATAAGGAGCAGAGGCGAGGCGTCGACACGCCACGGCGCCGAGACAGCAAATCGTCTCTCTGGATAACTGGCGATGCGTCGGGCTTTTTGACGTGGACGGAGTCGATGTACGCAGCCTATGGAACGGCACTGGCAAGAAGAGTGTAAAGATACAGCGTATGCGAGGCGCCACCAAAACGCCGACTCGTGGCTTGTCGAACTCGGCAGGGGTTGTCGATGCTTGGCTTGAGCTGCTTCTGGGCTGTAGCGCAAGGCCTTGGTTCCTCTCTTGTTCTTTCCAGGCAAGACAAGCTTCTGCCGAGCTTCTCGCCGCGATTGCAGGAGAAGACGAGGAGGAGGAGGACGAACGAGTGGCAGGGTGAGGAAATTGCAGCCCTCTGAAGGCGCCTACTCACGCATGCTGCTGCATCCAGAATCCACGCCACTGACTTCGCGCCGGCGTTGAAGCCCTGGTAATGAGAAGGGGAGAATAGAGACGGTGGAAGAAAGAAAAAGAGAGAGAGAGCCCAAGCATTGCCAGAATGCAACTGGAAAATCGAACGTTGACGCAGGATCCACACATTTACGCGGACGACCTGCAGAAGGAGGCCAGGGGTGATTTGCTTCGATCCAGCTGCGGCAGGAGATGGGCGGAGAAACTTGTCCGTACTCCGGAGTGTGCCTGCCTCATTATCTGGTGTTGCTTACCTACCTCTTGGCACCGACTTTGATGATACAGCACTTACCTAGATATGAACACTCCAATTCCGGAATATCTGAGTTGCCCAGGTGACGATCAATAAAAACTGTCACTGCTGCTAAACCACACCGAGGTACAATCTCGTCTCATCTCATCTCATCTCAGGCACATGCCCGTAGTTCGAAAGCCAAAAAAGGCACGGAAGTGAGCGGAAACTCCGCAGCGCCCACTTGCACTAAACCACTACTATGGAGCAACGCCTATCTACCTTACCTGTACTTTATTCTTACAGCTGAACGCCTTTACGGCCTGGATAATTTGTATTTTTTAGCCATCAGACAAAGTTGAGGCTGCTCTACGCGCAGATCGGATTCTCTGACTGGGGAGCTTTACTTGGGCACTTGTCACCGGACATCCAGCTTGTGGTTGGCCGGGATTCGGGCGGACATCGACCCGAGTCAGATCGCATGAGTACTAAGGTACCTATAGGTAATTGGTGTATTGCCGTTTTGGGCAATGAAGATTGATGCGTTATATGGACTCCAAAGCCCAGGTTTGCAACACCATATATATAGGTAGATCACGTCTAAGCAATTTGCAAAGTAAACCCTTGTAAAGACCCTGTAATAGATCTCTTATTATTTATGGTGAGCATCTCCTTTCTGCCATTCTGACAACCCCCAACTCGAAGTGTGAGGACAGCTGCTGCCATTGGACCGTACCGACCATCGACCAAAAGCCACCCGTTGAAAAGGACCGACACAGCTCCGAACAATGCCATTGATAAAGGACACACAAAGGTCAACGGAAGTCAGGGTATTGGCTACAAACAAATCAAGCATCGCACGCACGTACACTACTCCACCAAGAATCCCCCGCCCCCTTCGTCGTCATCATCAACCACCATATCAAACTCCTCCGTCTCGTCGCTCTCGGCACCTCCTAGCTCGGCTTCTAGCTCAGCCTGTCTATCCGCCTCCTTCCTCTCGTCCTCGCCGACGCCGCTCCAAATCCTCTCCCGAATTCTCAAGCCCACGAGGAAACGCCGCCAGAGCTTCAGAGCCACATACCGCCTCTTGTCATCCTCCATCTCTTGCTCCAGGTCGACCATGCCTTGGATCACCGCGCGAACGGCCTCCTCGTACTCCTTTGCAACGACAACCCCGTTCAACACAGCCGTGCCCTGTCGTCCCTTGAACTGAAATCCCGTGAGTGCCGGTGCGCAGTCAATCCCCAGTAGGTACGCCGCACGCCTCGCATACTCGCTCGCTATGTGGACGCCACCTTTCGGCACCATGCTGGGCACATACACCTCAATGTTGCCAAACTTGTTCTTCGGCACGCGTCCGTTTCGTACCGGAGGCGGCTCATATAGCTCCGTCTGATCCGACGTGTATATTGGAATCCCCGCATCGCCCTCGTTTGACTCTTGTTCAGCTTCCTCGTCGCGCCCAAATCTTCTCTTCTGCACTCTTTTGGGCAGCCATTTCGCGGGAATCTCTAGAGGCTTGACTTCACGACCGAGACGAAACCACTTCTCGGCACTCCTCGCAATTCGGACGTCTTTGCGTCGGAACACCTTTTCCAAGGGAGCTCGGGCTCCAGCTGAAACCGTTCCGGACGGTACGGCCCCGGGAGCGAGGACCTCATGTCGACGGAGGTGGCGCTCCAAGGCATATACAGGATGGCCTTTAAAATCCTGCACGTTCCTTGGCATGGGCTCTCTCGCCTCAACGCTGGCAAGCTCAATGTCCTCGATCTGATCCAGGTCATCAACCACTGCAGGCTGGAACGTCTTCATGACTTTGCGCCACCACTTCTTGCCGTCGTCCACAGCAGTCTCTATGCGAAGTCTTCGTGTCTTTGCCGTATAACCCTTGGCATACCGTCGGGTGACATCCTTTGCAGTGCCATCTTCATTGAATGCCACAACGTAGCATAAGCAGTTTTCTTGATCTGTGATCGGCGGCTCAAACACTCTGGGCTTCCAAAAGGTGTGCGTTACCACGGGGTCCGTGGGCTGCCATTTCTGATGCCCAACATCGAGGATTTCCACCCAGTATATTGGGTAAGGGGACTCTCGTATCTTCTTGGGGGACGCAAAGGTCGGGCGAGGCCTGCTGGGAGCAGCCGTGGGCTCAAACCTGTAATCCGTTGCGTTTGGGTGGCCTAATCTGCGCCTAGCAGTCGAAGGTCCCGCGCCAGAGGTCGTTGAGACGGCAGCCGCCATTTCTCTATATCTCGCTACCTGGGATAGCATGTGTTCGGCCTTGGTAGCCGATTTGGACTTGGTGGTGGTTGCTTTAGCCTTTGGAAGGGTAGGCCCTGCAGAGCCAAACGAGAGCGGCTGTAATGAACACACGAGCCGCGCACGAACACCAATGCTTCGTAGCAGGGCGCAGTACAACTGGGCTCCGACATCGCGTGAGCCTTGCAGCGTCTTCGCTGCTTGTCTAAAGTCAGATTTATCCAGACATGATTCCATGTCATCCGGGAGTTCATACTGAGATCCGTCAGAAGCTGAGCATGCCATGGCTGAGGATGATGGACACATACGCTATCAAGATCCTCTACCTTTTCCGCCCACAGAGCTCTCCTCATGCCGCGCTCTGTAATCTCAAACTTGTTCTTCCACATGTCTGCGACAAGCTTCAGCCCGTTCTTGAGGCTCTCGGTCCTTCCAAACTGCGAAAGGTTTGTCCCAGGGGTCAGATATTGAACCATCTTATCCGTCAGGTGAGGCCGAAGGGACTCTTGGACTTGCGCGTCATTGCACCAATGGTTGCGCTTGGCCACGTGAGTCAATAGACAGAGTAGATGTGTCTTGTGGATGTCAATGCGGCGTTCCTTTTCTTCCTTTTTGAGTGGCTTTCGTCGGTCTGCCCCTTGTTTTGACGTCATGGCAGATTTTTGTGCCGAGAGATTGAGTTCAAGTTCCTGTGGCTCTTGTGATTGTGAGGCTTCATCCGGTAAGGGCATGTTGAACTGCACGTCTTCGAATTGAAGCGCCTCGTCCTCATCTTCTTCATCGTCGTCTGAATCAAGCTCAAGGGTTTGAAGAGTAGGTTCGGGGATGGCGACGTCTTCAAATTCCATCTCATCATCATCCTCTTCTGCTTCCTCATCGCCGTCACCCGGCTTTTCAGTCTTCGATCTCGATGCCTCTCCCACCGATGATGATAATGATGATAATACAGCCGGCTCAGCTTTCTCTGATACAGCCCGATCCGGCGACGAAGCAACTCCGCGTCTCCTCTTCAGCGGCCTCTCCGGTGAGCTCACAGCCGGCGCAGAGACCCCGGCCTCAGCCAGCATCTGCTGATAGATGTCGGGCTCATTGCCGCCGCCGCCGCGATTCGCCTGTTGCCGAGCGCCCCTCTGCGGAGTGTTGCGCTTCCTTCCGACCATCTTTACATGCTTTGAATATTTAAGGACAACTAAAGATGATGTTTGCTCATATTGGCCGCCTGTCCGCGATCTTCGACTATTGCGTCACAGCAAAGGCGCGAGAGACTGCGCGAAGTCACGTGATAGTTGATGACTGATGATTAAGCCAGAACAGACGATCCGAGGCTCGAAACAGTTTGGGAAGTGAAGGTGGACATTGACGCTCCAGAAACGCACTTGAGGGGATTCTCAATCTGCTGAACTTCTGGAAAGGTTATCAAATCCATTCTCGCTAAGAAATTTGTACACTGGTATTTGGACCACGTCCGGTTCTTGAAAGGCCCTGGTTCATCCATAACGGGCAGTTGTCATGAAAAGTGGACACACGTCGCCTTGTATAAATGCCGAAATATTTTCTCGCAGCTTGAGGAGAAATAGTCATGGCAACATCAGGTCTAAACTACACTGTCATTGACAATTCAGATGCGATTCGTTACTCCGAAAGACTGTTTCAGCAAATTCAGCGTCCCGCTGTGACTCTTTGGAAACTCCATAACCGCCCAATCAAGCACACAACGTATAACAACATAAAAAAACTCCATACAAAAGCAGGATATAACCACCCACTATAAGGTCAACGCCAGACAGTATCAAGGCCCAAATCTCACATAGTTTTCCCTCTATTTGGTCAGCCAGCCCAGGTAGTCGGCAACAATGAGGGTGACCATGCTATATAAGCAGTCAACGGTTAGTTGCATTGACTTCTCACGGATGCAGAGATCAATAGGAGAGAAAGAGAGAAACTTACGCATGGGGCGCAATGCGGACGTAGTACGTTCCGAATCCTCGGTAGAATCTCATGACACCTTCCTGCTTGGCCACCTTGGCAAAACAATCGGCCATGCTCGTGTACGGAAGCTTGCCATCAGGTCCCCTCGACTGCTTCTGCAGCCTGGTCTTGACGAAGTCGAACGGCAGACTGAAGAAACTGGCGAAGAATCCGGCAATGGCGCTGGCACTCAGGGTCTGAGCCTGGGCAGACAAGTCCGTGTGCTGCTTCAGCTGTGCCTTGGCTTCGCTGAAGAAGGCCAGCTGTCCAAAGTTGAGGGCCATGGCACGGACAACAGTCGGCGCAGCGCCAGCCCAGAGAGCGCCGATGCCTTCACCCTTGGCGATGGACCCCAGTGCATCAACAACCGACTTGTAGTTTTTGCGCTCGGCAAGAGGCTTCAAGCCGTCGCTCTGCATCCGGATGAGGGCCAGGTCTGCCGGGTTGCCAATCATGGCTGCAAGACCGCCGGCGGCCAATCCAGCCGTGGCTCGTTCTGCAAAGCCGATCTGGCGATCCTGAGCCTTTGCCCGCTCCGTCAGCTTGGCCATGAAGGTGTCGAAGAAGCCCAGGCGAGCGGTTGTGTATACAGCCTGTCGGAGGAGGCCGGCGGAGAGGCCGGTGTACAGGTCGAGGAATTTTCCGCTCGAGATGATCTGCCGAGTGACAGACAGCGGCGTGGGCTTGGGTCCCCCAGAGGTGCCCTCACCAGCAAGCTGGATGCGGACCTTGACCATGTCGACCGGCTGGATCACCGACGTGGCCACCATGCCACTGATGCCTCCATTGATGAAGGGCAGAGCTGCGCGCATGAAGGGATTGTGGATGATGTCGGAGGCCTTGTTGGCCGCTTCGCTCCTCTTGGCGCTGTTCATGACATCCGAGGTCCTCGATCGAGCGGACTCGACGGCTTGCTTGATGGAATTCATAGTTACGACAGCGGAAGCGCCGCCTTATAAGTGCTATGGTCGGGACTCTGCGCCTCGGGTCGGGCCTCGCTAGCTGAGGACCCTGCTTGGCTCTCCAACAACCTGAATGACTCTGTCACATTAGTCAAGCTCCGTCAATGTTCACACTGCGATGACATGAGTGGCATAACGACGGGCATGGGGGTCATGATTGGTGGGGCAGAGAGAGGGTTGAACTTGGGGACTGCGATCCCGTCATCGGCAACCTCTTTCAAAGCCAAGCCCAACGGCAGGCCGACCAGAGCCGGCAGGATACCCGAGCAGTTTTGACGTCGGCCTTTGGGCCCTCGGAAAGTATAGGGTCGCAGAACGGCCCCGAGCTCGAGGGCGGGCTCAGGCTGGGCTCCGCTGGCCGGCGCAGATTGGCGGGTGGGACAAGCCACTAACAAGCAGAGAGGGAGGGATGGTCGGAAGACGGGAGCTGCACTCACCGGATAACAAACTCCGCGGTCAAGGCGCACGCTGGGAAGGGGATTGAGCGGGCGCTGCCACAGGATATAGCGTTGGTCTCGTTTTCCCCGGGGTGGTTTGTGTGTGCACGCGGGGATCGAGTCGCCTTTGGCGGGGGAGATGGAGATTGATGAGGGGCGTGGGTTGGGTGGGAGGAAGCAGATGGCGATGGCAAAAGGCAGGCGTACGACCCAAAATATGGACAAAGCCTGGGTCCTGCTCCAAAAGGCTGGGCTCTTGGGGAGAAGGGCGCTGGCGATTATATAACGACGTCCGGAGGCCGGATCTGGAATGCACCTGATGCAAGCGATTGATTTGCGTATCGCAAACTGCTTGTTGGCAGTGAGACGTGAGACGATTCCGACACAGGACGAGTCAGGATGAGACCCTGCGTGCCCGCGATACTGATCTCGTATACAAAGGTTGAGATACCTAGTAGCGAGAGGGTTTGGCAGAGAAAAAGACAAGAGGAGCAGCTTCCAACACGATGCGACGGGGATACGGAAAGAGTCAGAGTCAGAGTCAGAGGGCAAGAGTTGACGACGAGAACAACCGGCGAGGTCGACCGTTTTAATACTTGCAAGTATCCAGTCAGCCAGCGCAGGCCGGTGCTGATCATGGGCATTGGCAGCAGCTCTCGTCCACTGGCGACCCTCCACCAAGTGGCAAGGAGCGACTTGCTTGGGGGATGGTCACCGTGCGGAGGCAGCTGTGATGGGAGGCCGGGGGAGACTTGGAGGTGTAACTCGTACAAGGACGGGCAACGACCGGCTCCTGAGCTCTCGGTATGCCGGATAGCGGATTGCGGGGGAGCAGCAGATGGACGATGATGTATCCCCTACATACAGGGCCGCCAAGCAGCGTCTACTGTATGCATACTATATGCATGTACAGTATATACCTTATGTGCAGCAACCCCAACCACCAAAAGACCGTTCTACATGTATCCAGGCAGCCTAAGAGTGTTAGTCCTGACTGTGCCTTGCGTGGCGCTGCGCCGGTGGGTGGGTGGTTGGATTGCTGCCGGCTGAATGGAGGAGGCAAGGAGGAGGAGGTTGGCTGGCATCAATGCAGCAAATACTTTTGCCTCGCAGCAAGTTGGTTGGCCGAAGCGGCAGCTGAGACGGCATCGATGGCTGACGAGGTCGAGTCCACGTCGTCTCTGCGCAACGGCTTGGGGCATCTTGTGCAAAGTGGGAGGCCGGTTTAGGCTCGAGAGATGGGACCAGTGAGATATGGAAGTCTGTACCTGATCTGCTCAGGAACGAGGTGACGCTTGTGTCTTTGGGTTCATGTGCCAGAGGAGAAACAGCTCTGCGTCATGATACATGTAGTATTGACACGTCCAGCTCGGTGCATCGCCGCTGATCCGGCGTCAAGCAGTCGGGTGTTTATACCATCCAGTGCCAGCATTCCCCAGACTCGCCCAGCATCTGATCTAGTATGTACGAGTACTAGGTGTGAAGATTCCGTCCTCTCCAACACCCCCGGGATCCTCAAATGGGTTCCGTATTATTAGCGCAACTAACTATTCCTGCTACTAGTTCAAGTCTACCTAAGAAGCAGCAGATGCTCGATGCACTCTGAGGCCGAGAATGCGGGGTTTGCGCCATGTCCTGCCTTCAGCCAGCCCAGATACTACCTGTACGAGCAATCAATCAACCAGCCGGAGCGACGTCACCCGCGTTTTCGTCAGCCGCGCACATGCTCCGACACATTTTCGTTATCATTAGCCTGTTGCTGTTGCTGTTGCTGTTGCTGTTGCGTTGCTGCTTGACAGGATCCATGTCTTTGATCGATTGACTGCTCCCCTAGAATGATCTCAAGTTTCACATGCTACGACCCAGCTGGCATCACGGCTCCGGCTTCCGCCTGTCCTTGGAACCGCCATGTTTCACAAATGCTTCATCAATGACGTCTTTCCGTCAAGTGTATGTACCTACAGTACATGTACAGTAATAGTATGTATGCTGCCCTTCCTATCTCTTCATCCGACTGCCGGGATTTTATGGAGCAATCTCCATTTCCCTGCGAGATGCTGGTCCGAGCTTCTTGCAGCAGCAGCTTTTGACGGCCGCTGTGGAGTCTCTCAACTGGGAGCCAATCTGGCTATTAAATGGCGGGTTTTAGAGCAACCGAAGTAGTAGATGGATCGTTGACTCCAGACCGGAGCGTGACTCGTTATATGCAGCATTACTTCATGATTCAGAACCATCTATCAGAAGACTTATATGAAACTCATCATATGTTTTTTTAAGGACATACAGTAAAAAAGAAAAGTGAGAGACTTCAGACTCTTGACTCGCCAAAAAGACAAAGTATGGGTAGGTACTACTATACCTACCTAAGTGCTCTTCTTACACGGCACAACAAGCCTTCGTACCCACTACGAAGGACCCAAGCAAAGCTGCCCCAGAGCTCGGGAGTCGGTACGGAATCCCTGCGGGGAACGTTGCAGGGCCTCTGTTCCAGGTTCCTTTTTCCCGTCAGCTTCCTCGGGTAAGTCTTATTGACTGTCTCTATCCGATGAGGTTATCATCTACTCCTTTCCGTTTACAGACATGTTGTAATATCAATACCAACATTAGTCCTTCTGTTGAAAAGCTGATATGTTGATCGTGCCTGACCACTGCCCGTACAGTACATACGTATGTACCTAGCAAGATAGCCGTTGGTGAGCCGCTGAGCCGAGAATTCCCGGCCTTCTTGCTCCCTTGTCTCAAGGCTCATTGGCTCGAGACTTGAAATTCACCACTATTTCCGTCATTGACGAATCGTCTTTGGCATGGCAGTTCATCTATCAAATGGCAGGCTATTCATTGGTTGATCCCTTTCTTGGCTACCCTGTATGGATGTACTAAACACCCATTGCACGACAAGCTTAGGCTACCTACGTACTACTAACCGTCAAGGGCTGGCGATGTCTCTGGGATTATCCCCCAACATCTATCCCAGCCTCATATCGGACACCGACCATTGCCTATCTTTCTCCATGTTGACATAAGATAGTCTCCATTTTGATCCATGTCTCAGCGACTCCATCTTGCTCCGTGGGGGTTCGGTTTACAAGACGGCTTGATAAGATGCATGAGCCGAGTCCTCTGATGGCGCATATTCGCGGTTGATGGTGCTTTTGGGTATTCCAGCATCGTCTTACCAGTCGAATGACGTCCAAGAATACCAATGCTCATCATCTGTCTCTCGAGTGCTTTCTTACTTTCAAGGGCCGCTAATCTAATACAATGAAGGAAACCTCAAAAGGCGGCCTCCGTCAATGACAATGACCAGCCCGTTGCAGTAAGCCCCTGCCTTGGAGATTAGGTACAGAATCGTGCCCGCCATGTCCTGGTCGTTGCCCATTCTCTGCAAGGGAATGAACTGCGCCGGCACTCTGCCAGGAGTATCCGAGCTCTCGTTGAAGCGATTGACAATCGGCGCGGCCATTTCGCTAGGGAACACTAAGAGGGAGAAAAGGGGGCGGCACTTTGTCAGTACGGTGTGCGATTGCCATATCCGAGGTTATCCTCGTGCCGATGGCGGAAAAGGGGGCGGGCACGTTGACTTACATCCTGGGGCAATGCAGTTGGCCCTAGATGATAAAGATGGGACTCGTTAGTCAAACCATGCAATCATAGAGATTCTTCTCCTTGACATCAAGGAGCCAAAGGGCAGAAAAGGTAGGAGAGAACGCTGATACTCACCGGATATTCCACCGCGGCAGGGCAGCGGAGAGGTGCTTGGCGACATGCGTCGCAGCAGCCTTGGACTGGCCGTATGCCCAGCCTCCAGGAGCGGCCTTGTTGAAGCCGGCGATGGAGCTGGTGACGATGATCTGAGAGCTCTGCTCCAGGTTGCCCTTTTTGTTTCCAGCGTCGAGGAGCTTCAAGAAGGCAATGGCAGTGAACCAGACTGCGCTCGTGTTGACGGCGAAGGCGTTTGTGTGCTCTTCGAAGCTGATGGACCAGTTGGAGTCTGCCCACTCCTCGAGACTTGTGTCGTCCTGGAGCTGAACCGACTGGGGGCCGCCGATGCCAGAGTTGCACACCAGGGCGTTGAGGTAGCCCGTGTCTTGCTTGATGAAGTCGACGGCCTCCTGCAGGCTGTCCTTGGATGTCACGTCACACTTGATTGGCACGACGTTGGGACCGAGAGAGGCTGCAGCTTCTTCGAGCACCTCGAGGCGTCGGCCGCCGATGTAGACTTTGTGAGCACCATTCTTGGCCAGGGCTCTGGCCATCATGAGGCCAATACCTATAGTTAAAGGGGACATGTCAATCTCACATTCACCTAGGTAGAGACAACCTCGATCCCACCCTGGAGATTCGCCTCATGTACTCACCTGTGCCACCGCCTGTGATGAAAGCCACCAGCCCATCCACATTGAAGAGATTAGCGGCAACGACTGCCTCGTTCACATCCGAGTTCGTCATGTTGCTTATACGAAAGTCTTGTGAGGGCTTATAGAAGTGTGAGTTTGATCTCCTACAATGGCAGATTAGTCGACTGTTTCCGATGCACCTCGACTGTCTATAGGTACCTTGTTGTAATTGTAATCAAACGTCAGTCTTCCTTCACTTATTTCCCTCTGTTGCCCCTCCCAGCCTGATGGATTCTCCACCATTCTCAAGTTCTAGAAACCGTCCAAGCCATCCCCATGCTGTAAGTCGGGTTTGGTATGCCACACTGTGCGATATATTAGATCTGTCACAAATTATGGCACAAACACAGTGTCAATTCTCCAGAGTCCACACGCCCCGCTAGCAGCCGTCGTGCAGGGATTCCCAGCGATTTTTCGAACTCCTTCGATCTCAGATCTTATCTTAGCCTCAAAAATTGTCCAGAGCAGCATCAAACACAAAAAGACAAAAAACAGCATCGTCAACAGTCGACCATGCCGAAACGAAAGCGCTCCGTCGCCGAGACAGTGCAGATCAAGCTAGAGAAATACCGGATAGACATCTTTCGAGCGCTGAGTTCGGCAAAGGTCCACGAGCGGAAGCGCTTCAGCATCAAGCTCCACGAGCCCGGCATCACAGTCGCGAAGAAGACGAGGCTAGAGCGCGAGTATGGGGTGTTGAAGGTGCGTCGCCTCTACGAGAGTCAATGGTTTCTCACTCGGGCTTTCCATATAAGGGGACTGTTATTGTAGCTAACCTGACGACTTCTTTCAAGTCTCTCGATCTGCGGCACACGGCGCGACACCACCTGCACACGAATCTGATCCGAATCAAGGCCGTCGAAACGTCACCAGACATTCCACAGGAGCTCCGCGACCCCGTGCCCTGGCCAGCTCTTCCGCAGGATGAAATCACCCTCCGGAACAATGTCATAAGCATCCTCTGCAATGCGGCATCCGTGAGACATGCCCTCGACCGAGCAGTTGCCGACATCTGCGGAACGCTGGGCGTTCCCGTTCCGGCCAAGTCGAAGCGTGTGAGGAACAAGAGGAAGGATTCAGAGGACCAGCCTGCCGACAGGGAAGCAGAGGGACAGGTTGATGGAGAGAGCGCAAAATCTCCAGCCAAGACTGGCAAGAAGAAGGAGGCTGCGAAGGAGGCTGCGGAGGAGGAAGAATCTGAGGAGTCCGATTTTGAAGGCTTTGGCTCTGACTCTGATGCCGGTGATGACGCGGATGAGCCTCGGCCGACCATTGAGGAGCTTGACGACTCAGACCAGGAATCTGAGGTATCAAAGTACGCTAATTTACTCGGCGGCTCCTCTGACGAGGACGAGGACGAGTTTGACGAGGAAGTACTGGCAAAGTATCGAGGAACAGAAAAACCCAACCTAGACGACATATCACTCTCTGGCTCAGGGTCTGAAGACGAAGACGGTGACGATGAAGGCGACGAGGAGGAAGAACCAGATCCCATAAACGGCTCACGATCACCATCGCCAGTACCCAAAAAGAAGCAAAAGAGGGCGACTGATGACGACACAGAGGAGACAGCGGCTGCGAAAAAGACAAGCAAGGAAAAAAGGGAGGAAGAGAAGAAGAAGCGGGCGGCCAAGGCTGCGGTAAAGGCAGCTCGGCCGGGCGATTCCACGTTTCTGCCCACCCTCATGGGAGGCTACATCTCGGGGTCTGAATCCGCGTCCGACATCGAGGCGCCGCGGAAGAAGCGCCGCGGCCAGCGAGCTCGCCAGGCCATCTGGGAGAAGAAGTACGGCGCCAACGCAAGGCACCTCCAGAAGGCTGCGGCCAAGGGCGGCCGAGACGCCGGTTGGGACTTGAAGCGCGGAGCCGTAGGCCCAGAGGACCAGGGCCGCGGCAAGTGGAGGAAGGGCGGCCGCCTGCCTGGGAGGCCCGCGGGGGCTGCTGGCGGTAGAGGCTATTCACAGGGCCGAGGCAATGATCGTGAACAGGACAGGCCGGCGCCTGTGGCTAAGCCGACGAAGAAGGATAACGAAGGGCCGCTGCATCCCAGTTGGGAGGCGAGGAAGAAGGCCAAGGAGGCGCAGAAGAATGTTGCGTTTGCTGGCCAGAAGGTGGTGTTTGATTAGCGATATGAGCTGTATACTGAGCCGTACTACTTGGATCTATGCCTGGGTACATCTTAATCCCATCAATACAATTAACCTTGATCGATGCGAGAGCTGATGCAGTGCATCATGTTTGCCAATATACCTACCTAGGGGCTATCCTTGTTACGCGCACCTCTGAGAGCTGCAGTGAGGACGAGAGCCATGCACTATCATGGTCACGACGGTGGTGATATATTTCTGGAAATATTCAGGGCCACGATTCATAACGGTGTCTGACTTGCATCAACAGACAAATTAAATCGCATAGGCATCTCTGCGATGCAGTGAGCATGGCTAGGCAGCAACGGCGAAGCTAAGCCTCACCCAGGTCCTTGTCGAGATGATGCAGAAAACACTGCCAACAACAGACACATGTTTTCTGTTTCTCTTTCGTATCCTTCTTTTCCAGGTTAGTTGTCAATCAAACATTCTCTCATTGCAAGCAATCGACAATGGGACTCTTCATCTTCCGCCGCGGAAAACTGCATGAAGACTTTGCAGAGACTCCTCGATCAGTAAAGAAGCCTCCACAAGATGACTTCTCGTACGACTTCCTTTCCGTCAAAGAGTCCAGTCTAAGTAACTCCCGAACAACTCTCTGCCAGCACTGTAGCGTTCTACAGCTCAGAGACGTCAAAATCGTCCAGGAAGACACGTCTCGAGGCAGGAAGCCGCCCGAGCTGAAAGCAGATGTCCCAGGCTTCGAAGCAGACCTAGTATACCGTCGTAGAGACGTCGTTCCGCATCTTCCCCTGATGGCTAATTCTGCCGACTCTGGGTGCGGATTCTGTGTTTTGCTACGGAATGCTATTATCCAGCACTTCAGGCAATATCTTTTGGGGCGTCTTCCTGACGACGTGATTGAAATTGTGCGGATACGGCAATACTGGAACAGCGGGCTTGCGGCGTTCACGGTGCATAGCCCGGCGTTTGTGAGGCCCGGGCATAGGTTTGGGTATCTTACGTTTAGGGTCAGCGTCAATTCAACGGGTATGGATGCCAGAATGCATGACGAAGAACTATGCCCGAGTTAAATGCTAATAAAATGATTGGGGCTTGTCTAGATCCGTGTGCTTCCATGTTTGATATCGATTCCGAGCGTGTTCCGGAAAGCGTCATCTCTCCTGCGGGCATATTCACGATGAAGCAGTGGGTTTTCGGCAAGGGGGAAGAGAAAGCCGCTCTGCAGACATGCTATCGGCCTACAAGACTGATATGCGTCGAAAGTCGAAAGGAATCGGGCTTGATTCGCCTCGTAGAAAGTGACGATGGCGACAAGGATGAGAAACCTCAGCCATATCTGGCATTGAGCTATTGCTGGGGAAGAAAAGCTCCCTCTCTCGTCACGACCAAAAGCAACTACGCTCATCTCAAGTGCTCCATTCCCATCAATTCCCTGCCAAAGCTCTATCGGGATGCCGTTCGCCTTGCGCAGGTTTTGGGAGTCAGGTACATCTGGATCGACGCCCTCTGCATCATCCAAGATGATCTGGACGACTGGGAGAGGGAGTCGCAGATGATGGCGGACATCTTCCGCAACTCTCTCATCACGGTCATACCGCTCCGTGCAGTATCGACAGACGAGGGATTCCTTGAGAGGAACCCAAATATCAAGGTCCTTTACCATTCCGATGAATGGAACGTCAGCGGTTCATTCTTTGTTCGCCATATGCCCTTTCCATACGAAAACGCCGAGTCTGCGATACGCAATGGGCCCAGCTTCTCGGACAGGCCTGTTTCTCTTGAGCTTCAAAACTCAGCATGGCAGACTCGGGGATGGACATTCCAAGAAGACATGTTTTCTACACGCAAACTATACTTTGGGGAGCTCATGATGTACTGGGACTCTCTGAGGCCTGTAGACATAATGAGGACAGAGGACACGATCATCGATGACAAGCTGGATCGCATTGACACTGCCGAGTTGTCTCTTATTCACTCGTCTGGACCGTGGCGAGGTGACTACGACTATGATGGCTGGTATTATCCAATTCTGCAATACAGCAAAAAGAAGCTCACTTACGAGACTGATCGGTTGCCCGCTGTGTCGTCGTATGCGAAGCTCATCGCCAGCAAGAGCGGGGACACATATCTGGCCGGTCTGTGGGAAAACAATCTCCATCGGGGCCTGCTATGGAAGCTACAGAGAAGAGATCGTGTGACGTTTGATGAGTTGATACCGAGACTAGCAAGTCCATCCAAGTATATCGCGCCGTCTTGGTCCTGGGCGAGTCGCCGTGGAGCTCTGGACCTGGACAACACTGACGATATGAAGCTCGAGTGCGGCATTCTCGAGGCGAAGACAAAAGCCCACGGAGGAGACGCATATGGCCGTGTCCGTGGCGGCCATCTTCTGGTCCGTGGAAGGGTCTGCAGCGTTCCTGGGGGGAGGCTCCAAAAGCTGCCTCTCGGAACGCCTTACATGGACATGCAATGCGAGTGGCTGGCTCTGGAAGACGAGCAGTATGTCGCACAATGCGCGCTCGATTGGAGATTGACAAACGACCGGGGCACGCAACTGTCCGAGGCCAGCGGACGTTCCATTGAGGCGATTGTGATGCTCCTCGTATCAAGTGGGCATTCGACAACTCCCAGCGTCATCTCTAGGAACCCTCAGGAGTGGGAGGACAAGGATGGTGTTCCGTCGCTTGAGGTGATGCACGGGCTGCTGCTGTATCCAACTGGAAAGGCGGACGGTGAGTATTGGCGGGTGGGATTGTTCCACTCGCTGGCTGATGAACAGGGTGGGAGAGGTTACTTTGACAGGTGTGACGAGAGGACGCTGCGGATCGTGTAGGTTCGTAGGTAGTTGTCAGTTGATGTTCGTTTGATTAGCACTGTCGGACAATGTGCTGTTGAATCTTGCATGTTGGATCTGACTAGGGCGCGCGTGCATGAGCGCCATTGGGAGCCTCAATCAAGAGTTTGGACGCCATTGGCACGGTAGTCTGTGGGAATCACCAGGCAATTATGCTGCAGGGAGTTTCGTGCATATGCAGTCCATCACATGAGTGATACCTTACCTGCCCGTGTGGAATATGACTTGCCTGTTCGATGCGGTTCCAAAACTCGCATCTTGTCTGGTCTCCCCTCCCCGTCAGCAGAGACATTCCAGAAGCATGCCTTTCTTCCATCTTCCTGGAAAAGGCACGCGAGAATCAGGCTTTTGACGATGCTGTTTGTCTAGTTTAGCTCTTTGTCTGTGCTTCAGCCTTTGTCCAGAATTCGGGCCATGGTCACGCGCACGTGAGGCGATGAGGTCATCATTGCCAACAAGGCAAGTCCTATCCATCCACATCCACCACTTTGGATGGCATCTCGATCTGGAGGACCGATGATAGCCTCAAAACCGGGCTTTATCTCAGCAATTGTCAATAGTTCATACATACTGTAAAACTGCCACGATCATCGTTTTAGCATGTTTGTATGTATTGTTCCAGGACTAAAAGCTCCGGTCCGCGGGAGTGGTGGGCAAGCGTCTCACCAGGCTGCGACTTCCCTTCCATACCTAACCTAGGTACCTCTCTGAGACGTGCGAGTGTCAGCGGGCAACTGCGCAGCATCATACAGGCTGCTTGGCGCCTTCCTCGCAATCTCCTTCTCCTTATTCAGCGACCATGTCCCGATCCGCGACCCTCCAGAGAGCATCTTCGCCCTCGATTTGCTCATTATGCCCCCTAAATGATTTCATCTTCCCTGTTGCATGCAGTATCGTTGCAGTTTCTTTCTCCTCTTTTGTATCATCACGACCTCGATTGATTCTAGATCTGCGTCACAAAGAGCCTCACCAGCATCGCCTGCAGCATCCCGCCACGCTAATTCGCCGCACGAGTCACTCGCTGACACCAACAGATCGGCTCGGCGACAACCCTCAGGACCCCTGCCCAAAACAAGCTTCACCTATCAGACATGGCGGCCGCGATGGAAGACGTCATGCGCCATTCACTCGCCGATCTCCTGGAACGGGAGGGTCACGAGCCAGGCTCCTCTCCAATCGCATCTCCCCTTGGCTACCCCGGCTTTGCGGGTCCTCCCTCTCGCAAGTAGAGCGCCTGCGATGATGAGGCTGCGGCTGGGCCGTCCAGACGGGATACTATTAGTATAACGCCTCTGAAGGGTCAACCCTGCCAGATCAAACCTTCCCCCAGCACCGCGGGAGCCACGACGCACTCCTCCTCGATTCCCCTACGGCCATACCTTGACGGGCTGCAGCCTGGTATCACTTCCATCGCCATGGAGAAGCTCAGGTCTGATCCAAGCGCTGGCTCCAAGGCCGCCAGCTACCCCAGTCTTGCTCGAATCTCCAAATCGGCCATCAACGACCCCAGTGAGAAGCGATCAATGTCTATGCAAGAGACGAGCCACCCCCTGTCTTTCCAACCAGCGTCCAAGACATCACGTCGCAGAGCGACGAGCCAAATTGCTTCCCCCGTCGTTGTTTCTGAAGTGGCCATTGCAGAGAAGCCACAGAAAGCCACCCAGAGCCATCATCAGCCAGACGACGTGCCCAAGTCATATTACCTCATCAACCCCAAAGTTCCCGGTTCGGCTTGGTATATAACCAAGGCAAAGAGAAATTCCAGCAAATTTGAATACGAAGTTGAGAGAGTGCCAACTCATCTTGTCCATGTCCAGCCGAATCGTGTAGGGTACCTGGTAGAGACAGCAGTTCGTGACGACGTGACAGGGGCTGTTGCAGATCGATCCATCTCCTGGACCCCTAGCCTCCAGAGTGATGCTTCTACTATCTCATCTTCTTCTACAGAGAGAGTCGGCAATGCCACAGGACTGATGCCCGGTAAAAGGGTGAATCGGTTTGAACGAGATGAACCGGAGGTTCAAGTCAACGCGCAGCCGCAAGACGAGTCGGATATCATCCTTGAGCACAAAGACATTCCCCTCATCACGAAGAGTATCATTCGCCAGCTGCGCATAGCTGGATTCAGACAACACCGCCCTAGCATGGACAGAGACGAGTCTTCGTGGTCAGATGATGACGAGGAACTCGAGAAGACCATCAAGGCCAGTCTAATGGAGTTTAGGAGTCCAGTACAACGCAGCAATACATCCGAGACAGAAGTGGAAGACGCCTCTCCTCACAGCAAACTGCCGGTCCAGTCTGCCTGGGAGAACGCAAATCGACATATGAAGCCGCGACCATCTGTAGTCGCCGACCCAGCTCTCACGTTGAGCCCGCCGCAGACGGCATCTACCGTCTCCGGGTCCAGCCACAAGCACAAAGGGAAGCGAGACACGCCATCAACGACGAGGCTGGTTTCGCCGCACAGCGTCACGGCAATCACCTGGACGAAGCACAGTGGCCACCTAGGTGAACCGTCCGGCACCCCAGTTGTCACTACTCCGCCGGAAACGCGCCCAACGTCCTCGTGTAATGACCATATCCAGGACCAGGAGGAGCCGGAGACATCGCAGGCCTCTCTTGGATCTTCTAGCCTTGCGTCGACAATCACGTCCTTTCCGAAACTTCTTTCCCGGCATTGTACCCGCGAATGGATCAAACCCATCGTTAACCTGGAGGACACATCTACAACTTCATCCCATCAAGCAATGAATACGCAGGCCGATGACCGTTCTCGCCACCATCAAGCGCATTTCGACGAAGATCCGGTGTCGATGAGCTGGGACGGCGAAACTCTTCGTTCCTCCGACGCTTCAGGCTACTTCACGAATGAGGCCCCAAGCGCCAGACGCTCAACAGTATCCCAGTCTTCAACGAAAAACTTGAAGCACTTTGGATCTCACCTCGGTTCGTCGGCGCATCGACGTCGCAGTTGCCCGGCCGACGAGTCCAAGGCCCTTTCTTCGCACGACCACTTCTTCCCCAGTATCCTGGGCAAGTTCTTTGCCAGCCGGAATCGTGAGGTTCTCGGAAGCCCCGATTCGGAAGAAACGCCAGATTCTGGCGCTCTAGAGCCTTTCAACTCGCCGGCTCATGAGCATCTGCCAGTGACCACTCCCAGTTCAGGATGTGGATCGCCTCCGAAACGCACCTCTACCGTGTCTTTGGAGGATAGAGCCAGGATACACGAGGCTCTTGTGGGAAGCAGCGGTGCGGCGGTGGATCGACGTCGCCGGGATACGTGTTCGGAGGATAACAGGCCTCATGTGTGCGCGGATGATATGGATAATTGAGCGAGGGAGGTGCAAATTGTGAAAATAAACCGACAGGAGAAGCCTTTACCTATGTAATATCTTGTATGTAATACTAATATTCTATCCTTTCCGAACAGAATGTACTATTACTGCCAGACCCAGTCTTCATCTGCCACGAATATACGGAGTTATGAGAGACCACCACAGATCGAGCGGGATAGAAGGGGTATTCTCATTATGATCACAGTCGTATTCGTCAGAAGTGGAATGTAGCAATCATGTACAAAAGTATACTCATTGCACAGATCATCACATATCGCATTTAGAAACCCCCTACATACCATTTTGTACCCTCCCGCAAAGGACATGAAAACACTCGCGCGCTCATACAGCCTTGGACGCCCGCGCCTTATTCTCCCGATGCCTCTTCTCCTTGGCCGCCGTCTTCCTGCGCGTCATCCACGAGCGATTCAAATCCCGGCGGTTCTCCCAGAACCACTTTTGAAAATCTGTCGTGGCGGACTGTCGTCCCTGCGCGGGATTCGCCTCTCCTTCATCATCATCATCATCATCATCCTCGTCTTCTTGACCCTGATTCTCTTCTCCGTCGTCGGGATAATAGTCTTCTCGCAGGGCATTGGCCACGTCGTCCTCCATCTCGGCGTCCTCATCATCGTCAGGCGATGCGCCCCAGAAGCGCTGCGCGCGCGAAGGATGCGCGGTATCGGGCGTCGGGGCAGCGCTCCGGACGTTGCGCCATTCAAAGTCCTGCCTGGTGAAGGGCGTCATGGGCGCGAGGTTGGCGGCGGGAGCAGAAGCAGCAGTGGTTCCGGAAGGAGTCTCCTCGTCGATGTCTTCGTCGTCGGCTGCGCCGAAGAAGCTGAATGGCTCTGCCTCCTTGGGGGCGGACGTGGGGTCGTTGTTGCTGCTGTTGCCGTCGGGCTTGGGCCGCTTGTAGAGGGCTTCGAGGGGGTGGACTTTGGTGTTGCTGTTTGTCGGGGTTTCGGGGGGAGGGATTTTGATGGCGAGGGGTTTGGTGCTTTGGGGGGTGGATTTGGAGGCGGGTGTTTTGGAGGAGGACGGTGGTGTTGCTTGGTCTGTCGCCTTTGAAGATTGGTCCTTTTGCTTGGTATCTTGTTCTTCCTCTTCGTCGTCTGACTCGTCGCTATCGCTTGTGTCGTCGCTTGAGGTATCGCTGTCGTCCTCCTCCTTCTGGTCTTCGGCCGCAGCCTTGGTCACGACTACGGAGGGGACTTCTGCCGCTTCCTTCTTCGTCGTTTCCTTCTTCACAGGTGATTTCGTGTCTGCCTCGGACTCTGCCTCGGACTCGTCTTCGTCTTCAGATGAAGTGCCTTCTGATGAAGTACCGCTACTGCTGGTGCTATCATCATCGTCCGATTCCACAGGCGTTTTCTTCGGTAGAGGGGCCTTCTTCGGCCGCTGAGGAAGCTTCTTCTTCTTCTCCTTCTCCTTCTCCTTCACTTCTTCCACGAGATTGCCCTCCTCATCCACCCATCCCTTGCCCTCGACAAACTCCGCCGCCGGCTTCCGATCCGTTGTCGTAGAAGTCTTGAGAAAGCTGGGGAACTTTGTCGTCTTTTCAAACTCGTGGATGACGACCTGTCGCGAGCTGCTGCCCTTCTTCTTGCTCCTCTTCTTGTGCTCCAGCTCTTCTGGCGCCAAGTTCTTGATTGTATTCGGCGGCAGCTTGGTCTTTAGCAAGCACTCCTCCCCTTCAGTGTACTTGGACTTGGGGCGCTTCTTCTTCTCCTTCTCCTTCGCCTTGTCCTTGTCTTTGCCCTCCTTGTCCTTTCTGTTCTTCCTCTTGTTTGTAGTCGGCGGCTCGGTCCATCCTCGCTTCACATGGCGATCGTGCAGCGCCACGCCCTCCAGGACATCCGGCTCCCGCTTCCGCTTCTTGGACTTGTCCTTGTCGTCCTTGGCCTTTTTCCTCTTCAGCTCGACGACCGCATCTTCTGCCCCGGTGGGCTCGATCCGCGTCTCCGGACGGGCTTTTTCAACGCGCATCTTGCAGCCCTTGAGCGTCGTCCCGTTGAGCTTCCGCCTCAGCTTCTCCGCGTCCTCTGCCGGCAAGTCGACGAAGCCGTACCGCCTCTCGGGGAACGTCTCGAGGGTGTGGTAGGAGATGTTGCGCGCCGAGGGCAGCACCGCGGCGGGGATCACGACCTTGACCAGCTCGGCGTCAAGCGGCGAGATGTGAAGGCGGACAAAGTCGCTGGCGTCGCCCATTGGAAAACCGCAGAAGGGGGGGGGGGGGGGGGGGGGGGGGATAAGGTCACAAGACAGATGACAGATTGAGCTTCTTGCACCGCCTCCTGGAAACAACTTCGTACAAGCGCCGCAACAATGTCAGGATTTCGTCGTGGTGCAACGCAGTTAAGCGCCCGTCATGGGGGTTAGAATGGGAAAAAAAATCTCCTGGAAGCGCTGTAAAGGCGATAAGGAGCTTTTGGAAATTTTAGCGGGTCCAGGAACGAGAGCGCGGAGTAGCGGCGCTGGTTGTTCCGCAGCGTCAGGCTTGCAGGATACATAGGATTGATTGCTACCCTAAGGCTGTTGAAGTTTGGCCGCAATTGATTTGTTCTTTATTGAAAAATAGGTCATCATGGATGATAGAAGAAGTAATATAAATTGTCAGTTCTTAGATGTAATTCGAGGCGGTTGGAGTAGGAGAATGGGCTAGAAATTGGGTGCGCATACTCTTCGCCTGTGGCATCTTAATCATGTTGATAATACGAACACTGGACTCGGAGGCTCTTAGTCAGGAGCCTTTTCATTGTAGGTAGCATGAGCAGCGTGAGCTGCAGATAATACTCGTCTCTTTCCAGGCTGGACACCAAAACAATACTCGTCATTGTATGTAGAACCAGGTAGTGTATGACATTATTTGGACCATATTAGACAACGCCGTTCAAGCGACCTCGCAAAATCTACATATCCCTCTCTATCGTAGAGAAATCTACCTTCTACTCTATAAACGTCATGTCTGATAAATTTACACATTGGGGGATAGGAGATCGTATTTGACGCATCGTTCCACCTGTGTAAACCGTTTGTTAGCTTGACTTGAAGGCTCACCACTGACAGAAAGAGGGAGAGGGAGGTAGTAGAGAAACTCACATCATCAACACTAGCCTGCAAAAACTTCCTCGTCTCCAAGCCCATCCACAACATAATCATTGAAAAATCACCATGCTTGGCCATGGCCGCGCCGCTCTGAGCGCTCAGCTGCCTCAGAATCGGCAGCGAGGTGCTCAGGAGGTCGACATCAGGATTGAGACTCCGCCCAATGCCTTCCAAGAGCAGAATGCTGATGACGACGTTGACAAAGTCGCCCTCGAGGCGGACGTGATGGTTGCGCACCATGGACAGCACCTGCTGCAAGATGTCGCCAATCTTGACGTTGCCGAGGGCGAGGGTGCGGCTCTTGACGCTGAGGACGAGGTGCTGCATCTTGAGGGCAAAGACTTCCTTGTCGATGACGGCCTCGGGCTGGCGGCATCGCTCGCACATGAGGTGGCCGGCCTTGTAGCCGTCGAACTCGGCCACGGCCCGGAACAGGGCCAGGAAGTTGTCGCGGTTGACTGCGTTCAGCTCCGTCACGAGGCCCGTGTCGATGAAGCAGAGCTGCGGACGATAGCCCTCCTCATCGAGCTTGGCCAGCTCGGCCTCCCACGCTGATTTGTCCTTGCGGTGCCGATAGGGGCGTAGCCGTTCCAAAACCTGCTCTGTGACATCCAGGTGGCGGTCGTTGCCGTCCGAGGGGGCCGGTTTCTCAGCAGACCGGCGCAGTCGAAGATTTGGCTGTGCGGATTGGTAGAAGCGAACCATGATGTTGCCCGGGTGCAAGTCGGCGTGGACAAAGTTGTCCAGCAGCAGCATTCTCAGAAAGGCGTCGAGTCCCTCATCAGCAATGTCGTGCTGAAAGACACCGCCCCCATTCTCCATAAAGTCTGCTAGGGGAATACCCTGGGCAAACTCCTCGATGAGGACGTTGCGAGTGGTGAACTCGGAATAGGGGATTGGGAACGAGGCTGTCGTCCTATCTCTGAAGTTCTTTCTAAACCTCTCCAAGTTGGCAGCCTCTATGCGCAAGTCAAGCTGAAGCTTCATCATCTCCCCGAACTGGGCAACCTCGTCTGGTAGGGAGAGCCACTCAATCGTGGGAATGGCGTTGAGTATGGTGGCAAAGAAGCCCATGATTCTCAAGTCCCGCTGCACGATGCGCTCGACGTTGGGATGCAGTACCTTGACTGCGACATAAGTCGACGGGACTGGATTGGGAGAGCTCTTCAGCACCGTTTTCACGCGTTGCTTCACATTCTGGGCAAGGGGATGCGGCTCCTTGGAAGCGACATCCGGCTCCTGCGGCAAGGCAAAATCGGGTTTGAGCTTTGCTTTGTAGACCTGGGCGATCGCGCCAACTCCAAGAGGCGTCTCTTGGAACTCGTCAAAGATGTCGTCAAAGGAGCGTCCGTTGAACGCAGCCTCAACCGTCCTCCTGGTAACGCGCATAGAATGGGCCGGCGCATTCGAATGCAGCTTGGACATGGCGTCGCACATGGCGGTTGGGAAGATGTCGGTCCTCGAAGCCGCCCACTGGCCGAGCTTGATGAAGGCAGGGCCCGCCAGCTCCATGGACTTGACGAGGAAGCCGTACCACCAAAGAGTGCCGCTCCTCTCGTCGTCCTTGTCGGGATGCCGCCGCCCAAACCAGATGGCAGGGACCGAGAGGATGACGGGCACGAAGATGACGACGAGGTGTAGGAACCGTGTCCCGGTGCAGATGGGCTCCCAGATGTAGTGATCCCAGAAGATCAGGATCTGGTGCGCAAGCCGGGAGATGCCCCGTTCGTCCTCGTGGACAGTCTTCCGGATCTCCTCGCGCGATACCTCCAACATGCGGTGCTCGCCCGTCTTGTCGCTCTCGCCATTGTCCACCTGTGAAAGCTGGATGAACGCCCCCGTGCCCAGAGCTGCCACGCCGGCCGAAGAACACAGCGCTGCTCCGGCCCTCGGCCTTTCTCCTCCTCTCCATGCCGTCCGTCTCGCGGTGTGAATCCAGCCGTGCAGCCTTGCACCGCCCCTGAAGCCCGTCTGCCGCAGCGCTGGATGCGGTCGTAATAAGGTGCGCCCACAGAGCCGGCCCAAGACGAAGCCGGTCCTCATGTCGGCGGACAGTGTCGCGTGCTCGATTCGAGGCCGGTGCGAGCCGAGATCATAGTTTAAGCCTCATTGAAGAGCTTCCAGGCTTGAAGGAACAGAAGAGAGAGAAGAAGTCAAAAGAAGAATGAGCCTCACTGAAGTCATCGGAGAATCACAAGCTCCCGAGTCCTCCACGGAAACCCCTGCAAGTTTGCCGGGATCGATCGGTGACGTAGTGGAGTGGTCACGGCGATAACCCGGCTAAACACGTGAAGGAAGAGAGAGAGGGAAAAAAAAAGTTGAGGCGGACGGATTTGGCTGAGGCCGGAGTGATGCCATATAGCATTTTGGCTTGCATTTTTTCGCGCCTCAAAGCCGAACTTTCCCCTCCATCCACTCCCGATACCCTGACGCAGATCCTACCGATTGCTTGCGAAACAGCGACGCGCGCAAGTAATTAACAGTCTTTGCAAGTCCTTGAGTCTCTATATATTTCCTTCTTGCTGAATCATCGCAATGGGCTGGTTCTGGGCCGAGCCGCCGCCCGAGGCCGGCATTCCGCAGGGACACCCTGCCGTGCCTCTGAACAAGGAGCCTCCGGTATGAACGACTTCGAGTTTTTACCTTTGGTAGACGCTGGACAGAAGCTCACAAGCAGCAGCCCGGATGCCCGATGCACCAAAAGGCCGCCGATGCCTTGAACCCGCACAAAGCCAAACCCGTCCAGCCCGTCGAGAAGCCGTCGGCCTCCGGCTGCCCAGTCCCCCACGGCTCGTCATCGCCTCTTCCGCCATCATCCTGTCCCGTGCCTCATGCCTCTCGTAGCCAGGAGCAGCAGAAGCAGCAGGAGGAGCCCAAGTCAATACTCTCCCAGCTCAATCCCCTAAACTACATGTTCCCGGACCTGTCACAGAAGCCCGCGCCCAAGCAAACAATGGCGTTGCCGACGGAGCGCGAAGAGTCCAGCATCCCCAAGGGGTCCGGCGACGGCACGTGGGAGTACCCGTCTCCCCAGCAAATGTACAACGCCCTGCTGCGAAAGGGCTACACCGACACGGACATCACGGCGGTGGAATCCATGGTTTCTGTGCACAACTTTCTGAACGAGGGCGCGTGGCAAGAGATTGTCGACTGGGAGAAGAGGTTCGCGCGCGGCCTGTACCGGGGATGGCAGGTGTGCAAGCGTGGAGAGGCCCACGCGGCCGAGGAGCTGGATAAGCAGTGGGATGGGGTTGAGGTCAACCCGACGCTCATCCGCTTCCAGGGCCGGCCCAAGGATCTCACGCCCAAGGCGACGATGCTGCAGGTCCTGGGCTGGATCTACCCTGCCAAGTTCGGGTAAGGATGGGAAAAAACTCGCTACTACATATGACAAGGGGAAAGAAAGAAGTAGGTCAGCTAACGTGGACTTGACAGAACCGATCTCCCGTTTGATCGTCACGACTGGTACGTCTCGCGCGACGTCAACGGCCAGAAGAAGGAGATCCGCTACGTCATCGACTACTACTCCGGCGAGCCGGAGCCGACCGGAGAGCCCGTCTTCTACCTCGACGTCCGGCCCGCGGCCACGCCCCTTGGCGCTGCTGAGCGCATCATCCGCTGGAGCACCGACGTGTGGTGGAAGGCGATAGGGGGTGACCAGCGGGAGCAGAACCCGCAGCCCTTTTTTCGCCACAACGCCGTCAAGCCTTGGGGTTGAATGATTGGGCATTGAATGTTGAGCATTGAATGAGTGATGAGGATGCTTGTGGCTCTTGGGTTGCGGCGTGGGTATGCGTTTTGGTTCGACAATCTCCCTACATAACTCTTAATGACGCATGCTGGTATACTTGTACATTATCATGAATGGAACAGGCGTTGTTGTATTCTAATAGATCTTATAACTTACCTCTGCCTATTGCAATACAATACATGCAATCTCAAAGCGACATCTTCCAGGCTCAAGGCGTCTGGGTCAGGAGTAGGCCATTCTTAAAAGAGGCAAAAGGAGTCTATTTGCGTCGACATAATCCAACGTCTACCAGTCGAGAAATTAAAAGTGATATGTATTGACCGTAGCCTGGACCATCCTTCCGCTAAAGAAGAGCCATGATTGCCGTCCTTTCCCACAACCCTTCAATGCGCTGTATCCACGCTTGTGTAGGGGCGTCGTGGCGACCTGCCTACCATATGGACATTGTGATGTTTCTACAGATTTCCTGCCAACGCCCAGCAAGCAGCGGGGGATGACTGTTTCCGAAAAGCCGACTCCTGGAAAATGAGATAAAAGGTGACATGTAGAAAAGACTGAAAGAAAAAGAAGAAGAGGTATCAAGCCCCCCGTCGCTGTCAATGAGGTGACTCTCATGAGACCTCCCAAGTCATAAACCGGTATTTGCTGGCAAGCCATTTTCGTTGGAGCTGGAGTATTTCCTTATGATGGTGTGTATATGTGGTCGATGATGAAGACGTGCTGCACTGTTCGTGCGCACCGTTATGGAGATGGGTAGTTGGCCGCCTGGTTCAGTCTGTACTGGCACTCAGGTCCATTGGTTTCTCCCAGAGATTCCGCAGCAGTGCCGCTATGCCGTCCTCTTCCTCGCCTCCCACGAGACTGGAGCCACTGAGTCTCTCACTCAGTCGGTTCATGTCGTCTCCTTCGAAACCGGAATCCGCGTCGTTATTTGTCTTCACTGAGGAGCCCCCCAGCCTGGTGGGGAGCAGCTGCCGTCCCTCCGGCATGCTCACGTTTCGAATGTGGCGCATCGCGAGATCCGTTGCTGATCTCTTGCTGGTCGTCGTGGAGCCCGTGTTGGCACGAGGAATCCTCTTGGTCTTGTCCAAGCCAGGCAACTGGCTAAGGCGGTTCAGCGATCGCACAATTGGATTCTGGTGGCGCCGGACGACCAGGTATTCCATGCCTGTTCGCTCCAGGAGCTTGCCGACGCGGGGATCGCGGCTGTTGCCTCCATCGTGTCCCGGGTCTCCGATGCCAATCAACGGCCCGGCTCCTACGACTCCGCCAACGCCGGGCACTGCCTGTCCGGGCTCGAGCGATGAGCTGGCGCGCTGCAGGTTGAGCTTCTGCTGCGTGCGCGAGGTGTTCGCCGCTGGTGCAGCTGTCCTCTTGGCGGGCTTGGGCACCAGCGCGCTATCCTCACTCTCCATCTGGATGGCGTTTTCACTGGGGTATTCGTGAGACCGTGACAACATGGCCGTTCCGTGTGGCCGCGCGGGGAGGCCCTCTGACCGGTGGGAGCCGCCTGCGCGAACGGGGTTGTAGAAGGATCCCTCACTGGTGAGGCCCGAGCTAGGGACCTCAACGAAGCGCGAAATCAACCCATCGTCGTGGCTGCCCGCAGACGGAGAGGGCTCATGGGTGGTCGGCTGGAGGGTCGCGTGGTCGGCGGGCGACAGGTACTTTGGGGCGGCCTTGGCCTTGGCCATGGCGATGTCGGTGGACATTTGGGGCGGAGCGCCGTGGGAGGGGGTCCGTTGCAGCAGTCGCGTCGTTGGGGTGTCCTTTCGCTCTGCTTCTTTGCGGGCGGGCGACGTGGACGATTCGGGCGGCGCTGCCAACGCGCTGGGCGTCTGCGGACGGGAATTTGCCGTGCTGCTGCCAGGGGGGTAGGAGGAATGCGTGCTGCTGTTGAGCGAGCCCTTTCGCGAGAGATACGGCGAGTTGGAGCCGCTGGCGTCAACCCATTCGTCTTCCGCGTCCTCGGAGCCGAGATCGAAATGGACCTGCGACTTGGTGGGCTTGTCGGGCTTGTCGGCCTTGTGGATGCCGGTGCCGCTGGAGCTGCGTTTCAGCTTGTCGGAGGACTTGGGGCGCTTGCTGATCTCGACATGCGACCGGTTGCGCTTCAGGTTGCTCTGCAACGGGCTCTTGGAGATGGTGGCGTCCGGGTCCTGCTGCGGCAATTTGGCGTCGCTGGTGACGCGGCGGTGCGGCACCGGGCGCAGGGCGAGCTGGGCTTCGAGATCGGAGGGCGAGCCCTGCCTGCGGTGCAGGTTGACGCGCGACGAGCTGTGGTTGTGCTTGTGCAGGCCCTTGCTGGCGGAGGGCACTCGACCGTGCAGGCGGCCGACGTGGTGCTGCTTCTGGTGCTTGGGGCGAGCGGCAGAGGCGTGGCCGGATGAGGTGACGGTGTTGGCCTCGCTGTGGTCGCTGGCATGGTGGTTGAGGGGAGGGCGCTTTGATTGGCCGGCCGGCGCAGCTGCAGCTGCAGATGCAGATGCGCTGTCTTGGTCGCTGTCCGAGGCCATTGCGGTTGCGATTGCGGGCGCGGGTTGTGTCTGCGTCTGCGTCTGCGTCAAGGGTATTGTGGAAGGCTGCGTCAAGTCTGCGTCAAGCCTGCGTCTGGCTCTGCCGCCTGGCCTTTGCTGCCCGTGAGGCTGCCGCAGACGAGCGTCGTCTCGTGTCGACGGCTTGAGACTCGCCGCCGTCGCCTCGATGCTGATGCCGGCGATGGCCTGGCCGTGACTTGTAATAGCCCTGGACCCGACGGGATCCTGGTGGAGGGTGTGAGACACGTGTGAATGGCTGTGGCGGCAGCAGAGGGTGGTCGATGTCGGCTCAAAGCGACGCGATGCGACAGGCGGCTTTCCGAGCGGTCCAGGGGGGGTGGCAATTGACGGCAGCGCCTGTACCGTACTGCTACGAGTAGTACTCGGAGCTGGCCTTGTAATGGATAGCTAAAGATAGGAGCGAGGCGGCTGCTGCTACCTCTGCTGTGCTATTATGTAGGTCAGGTAAGGTATGCCTGTGCAAGCCGTGCCGTGGCAGCAGTCGGGGACAAGGAAAAGCTGGAACGGCCGTAAGCGGCGAATTGGCGCGGCGGGCGAGGGATTGCCGGGTGCACAGGATGGCTGGCGATGCGGAGCGAGAGGCCGGCAGATGGAGGAGTAGGAGGAGGAGAAGTAAGAGGAGGAGGAGGAGGCAGGTTGGAGAGAAGCAGATGGAAAGACGGTGACTGGGCTGGTATTAAACACGGAGGGAAAAAAAAGTGCGATCAAATGCCATGTGTTTGCTGCTCGCGGCAGGTGGGAGGGTCGAGCAGACTGGAGACTGGAGACTTGGAAGTGAGCACTGCACAGAGTAATTGTCATGCCCTAACAAGGGAATGGTCGCCGTTCCCGACGACTGACCGCTGGATTGGGCCGAGAAAAGAGCTTGGGATTGGGAGGCAAAAAAAGGCAAGGAGGAAGACGAACAGGTTGAGGATGGAGGGTGGCCGAGGCTGCACAATGGTTGCGGCTCTGGCTTTCAATTAGAGGCAAACCGAGCCCGTCTGCAGTCCGGCAGTCCGTCACTCGCCAGCCAGTTGGTCGGTGGCCGCTCTGGACTGGCTGCCTTTTCTTGTCAAGTCTTGTTTGTTGCTTGTGGCCCGCCAGAGCTGATCGGTCCGCATCAGACAGATACGAAGCAGCCGCTCTCCCGCATTGCCAGGCGTGCCGTCACGGACGGCAGTAATCTTACGCGCCTTGCACAGAAGGGTGCAGAAGCTTCGATTCTGCATTACTATCATGAACGAGCGTTCACAAAGCCTACCTACCTAGGTAGGTATCTATCTATTCCGTTGATTCTACAAAGAGGCAAGTTCTCATTGCTATTCGGTCCCAGCCAACCAGCCAGCCACCAGCAAAAGACTCATTCTACTGCTGCTGCTGCCCGGTGCGGCCAAGCTGGAATGCGACCCAGAGACAGTGTCTTGGCTCTATTTAACCACGCTCGCTCAATCGGCATAATTTGCGTCATACTGCCTGTGTTCTGTTTCTGGTCTGCTCTGGTCTGCTTGCTCTGTGCTCCCCTTGGCGCTTGGGCCGCATCAGGCAGTACCACCATTCAATCTCGTTCCCCCACGAATGGCAAATCCCAACTCCGTTGAATGGCTGGAGCCTCCGCGCTGTGGCGCACCGGTGAAGGTCCTGTTGCGCATCATTTTCTGGGGGGTAGGACGACTACTGACTGCGCTGTTCATCTCGTGGCTTACACCGACATGACTTGAGAAGACAGCCATTGGAGCTATTAGGCACTATGTCGGTGTTTTTCATCTTGTCAAGGTGGCCATCCGAGTGCAAAAGAAGGCGTCTTTATCCTCCTTTTCCTCCCCTCCAACACACCATAGATTTCCACGAGGCATCTTGCAGATACCCGAGTCGTTCTAGATCACTCATCCGGGGCCGGTTTGCTGCTGCGGCCTGGGACGCCCAAACCGTGTGCGCCTCTCTGCCCGATGCACACTCAATCCCTGGTGTTGATGCCATACGAAGCGTTTGAAGATGCACCAGCTCCGCACGTAGTTATGACGTTGAATCACCTGAAGCGTTTCATTGCTCCGTTCAATCCTCTCCTGCTAGCGTACAATCCTGTAGGTAGGGAGACACGGCTTGGTGGTGATCTGGTTGGGGGCGACGGCAGAGCAAAGAGCCTTATCGAGATGAAATCGTCACAATACGCGTATTCAGCACTTCGGCACCGATTCCGGCGCTGCAGAGAACAAGGCCATCAACTTCAGTGCTCTCTTCGCACTCACAAATACCCTGAATTGTCTGTTTTTCTGGCATTGACAATGTCACCTAAGCATCGAAATTGATGCAATACTGTTATATTCAACGACTTGCGCTGAGTATGATCTATCTGGATGCCTGAATATAGTACGCATCTCCTACTAGGTAGTAGGTGCTGAGCTCATCTGGCCAGGTTGATCCCGCATCTTGCAGCTGAATTGCCGTCAGAACGAAACATCACGTGATCAGCCTCTCTCCGCCATTCATCTTCCCTGATAAGCTGCTCGGACCCATAAAAACTGCTGCAGATAGACTTGACTGGACTATCGCCATCTCGCGCGTCTGCAGTTGAGCTCGAGCCTCTGCGCCTTTCCCATCCTCCAAAGGCGTTGCGACTCCATCCGGCCACTCCTATCCATCCAAGACAAACCCAGCGCCATCGGAGAGACAAACTGCTCGAACATGTCCTCGATCGAAGAGATTCAGGCCGAGCGACAGACATACCAGGAACAAGTATGGACCTCCCTGGCGCCGTCTTTTCCAAAGGCTCGCTGCTAACCCAAGTTCTAGCTGGAACTCGTTCTTGGCCAAATTCGCGATGACCCCGACAATGTCGAGCTCAAGGCCCTTCACTCCGAGCTGACCGAATTTATTCAACTTCTCGACGAGAACATCGCCGACCTCAAGTCGAAGCAAGCACCCAAGCCCGCCGAGAAACCCGCCGCGCCGACTCCTGAGCCGGCCAAGTGGTCCAAAGAGAATCATCCTGCCTTCAAAAAGGCCGCGCCGCCGGTCGAGGACAAAGAAGAACCCATCGTGCACTATCAAGTGAACGATACTGTCCTGGCGAAATGGGTCTCGGGCGACAAGGCTTTCTATCCGGCGCGCATCACGTCCATCACGGGATCGTCCAACGATCCCATCTACATCGTAAAGTTCAAGTCTTACGATAATACAGAGACTCTCAGGTCGCGAGATATCCGCCCCATTACCAACAAGCGAAAGGCCGAAGGCCCTCCGTCAGCATCCACTACTCCAGCGGCTACCACGCCGGCTCCTGGCGTTGTCAGCTCGGCTGGCGCCACGATGTATCCAGAGGCCCAGAAGGAGGCAGAGGCAGACAAGAATGCGGCCAAGGCGCCCAAGGCCAAGAAGATCAAAGCCACCAAAGAACTCGAGGCCGGCAAGTCCAAATGGCAAGACTTCAATGCCAAATCCAAGTTTGCCAAAAGTCACAAGAAGGACTCCATGTTCCGCACGCCCGAGGGAATTCACGGAAGAGGTAAGTTTCTAGTCCAAGCCCCATTCCAGACACACCTTGACTAATCATGTTCACGTACAGTTGGCTTCACTGGCTCAGGCAAAACAATGAGAAAGGACCCTACCCGTAGCCGCCACGTCTACCAGGTGAACGAAGAGCTCGATTAAATGTTTTTGCCTACTTGAGCCAGTGCGGAAGGATTTGGTCCAAGGACAGGGATATCGGAGGCGTTATGGAGTTGGAGGATTATTGTTGATACCGCGGTAATCTACCTTGCATCAATTGTGGCACAAGCTAACTGTTATGCATCTTGCCCTTTTACCATACCAGAGGAATGATATCGCGGTTTACGAAAAGACTTCGGTTATGGAAGATTTCGGTTGCTATTTGGCAACCTTGGCAAATCACCAGATGTTTCATCCAAGAATAGGCCCCCCTTGGAATCTGGGATCGATTGCTAAGCTACGATGGCAGGTTCAACGACCAGGTCTCTCGTACGATGCCTACATCCCCGGAACATGTCCGTCCTGATTCCCATCAAGTCGATCCGAGAACAAACATATTGTTAATTGTTCTGGCGGCCGGCTCCCTCCAGGTCAATCTTGGGGCAGATAGCTCTAGCTATACGGAGAAAGGCCGATGCTCGTTCGCTGGATGGCTCAGAGACGACAGTCGGCTTGCCTCTTTCCCCATCATCACCAATGTTGGGATGAAGAGGAATGTCTCCAAGAAAGTCAATGTCATGATCCTGACACAGCTTCTCTACTCTCTTGTTCGATCCAAAGACGTGAGTATCGTGATGGCAGTTGGGGCAGTGGAACAGAGACATATTCTGCACCAGGCCTAAGATGTCGACGCCAACTGTTTTGAACATGTTGATGCCCTTGACTGCATCCTTTGTGGCCAGAGTATGTGGTGTGGTGACGATGACGGATCCTGTGCTGATCAGTATTGAAGAACAGCAGAGCAAATGTGCGCTCATTCTGGTGAAGAAGCAGCCGCCTACCGTCTAAAATGACTTGCTGAGTGATGGTCAACTGTGTGTCTCCTGTTCCCGGGGGTAGGTCCAAGACAAGGATATCCAAGCCGCCCCAGTCCACTTCGTGAAGCAACTGCTGGATTGCCTTCATGACCATTGGCCCCCTCCATACCACAGGGGCACTCTCGCCCACGAGGTAGCCCATGGACATTGTCTTTACTCCGTAGTTCGTCAAAGGTATCAGTTGATTGTCTGAATTGAGTTAGTCAAGGGCGTAGTCGAGAGCATATGCGGAAGCGAGAGCCGCCTTACTGCTAGATAGCCTTGGCTCCCCTGAGAGATCGAATAGAGTAGGTATAGAAGGGCCGAAGATGTCGGTATCTAGTATTCCGGCGCGGAATCCTAGCCTAGCAAAGGCCAGTGATAGGTTTGCTATTTCGACTCATGAGACTTATCCACAATACGTTGAAGATTTTGGCTACTGATGTGCCGCATACCTGCAACTGTGCTTTTGCCGACGCCGCCTTTGGCTGAAGACACTGCGATGACCTTGTCCACTCCGGTGATTTTCCGTCTTTGAGGCCGTTTTGGCCAGGTCGGCGGAGTGCCTGATCGAGGCAGGCCCTGATAGATTCTTCTTATGAGTATATACATTGCTTGATTATCTCGTGAGGTTGGTCATGACTGACGAGGGGGTTTTCATGTTGAAGAGCTCTTGAAGCTCGAAAGAGCAGTGAGGAAGTAGTCCGCATTGCCGATACCGAAACAATAGAGACTGGGGGATAGCAAAGAGTTACAGGCAGTTTTGGCTCAAAACAGCCATCCACTCGAAAATACCGTCAAATGCCGGCCTTTGTTACGACCTGTAATAAGCTTGGGTGAGTTTGACGCAAGAATCGAAGCTCTCTCATAATGAATGCCAGGTGACCCACCTCCTGGAGTGCGATGCTTTTCCGGGTCTGGCAAAGGTACAAAGGTACATGTAAGTCAACATTTTTGCCGCCACTCACCGCCTAAAAGTTCAGAACCCATTGACTGGCAGAAAAAAAAATCCCAGCTTGAGTCGCCCCAAAATAGGTTGCCTTTTGTTTCCAAGCCGAGCCAGCATCACATTCAACAAACATGGCCAAGGGACGCGCAAAGGATTTCAAGGATCCGGATGAGGAATTGGCCAAGGGTAGGATTGACTTTGATATGAGTTTATGTACAAATGGCAGGCAGAGATGCTAACTACTTCTCAGATTACGATCCCGAAGCCAATGGGCACAGCGACAACGACAATGGAAGCGGCGCAAGCGAGGATGAGCGTGCTGGCACCGAGCACTACGTGACTGTAGGGCGCAGCAAGCTTCGAGAGAAAGAAGGCCTTTCTCTGGGACGCCAGTACCGTGGATCTCGAGTGTCGCGACAGGCTTTAGAACAGGAGTCGGACGATGAAGTTGACGAAGACGAAGACGAAGACGAAGACGAAGACGACGAGGAGGAGGAAAGTGAGGACAACGAAGAATACGATGATCCAGAGGAGGCCAACTTGGAAGCCGACACCGCAGAGGCCAGCGACTCGGAAATCAGCAGCGACAACGCCCTGGCAGAGTCCGACGATGAGCGATTGGGCGACTTTGTGTTCCGGGGCAGCTCGAAGCCGAAGAAGCCCAAGAGCAAGCGACCTTCTGCGGCGGACTTTATGTCTGCGTCTGAGGATGAAGAGGGTGAGGATGAGGTGGACGACGAGTCGGACGAAGACGAGGATATGGACGACGGCCTCGACGACTTGCTCAATGGCATTGGAGGTTCTGACGAAGACGAAGATGACGACGAGGAAGAAGATGAGGAGGAAGACGAAGAAGAAGACGACGACGAAGACGATGACGAGGAAGAAGATGACGGAAAGGAATCAGAAAAGCAAAGCGCCAAGCCTTCACTGGCTACTCCATCAGCCCAGACCGAAGTACAGAAAGGAATTGCTATTCAGCAGCAGCGCAAGATCTACGACGGGCTCTTGAACATGCGCATCCGACTTCAGAAAGCGCTCGTTGCGGCAAACACCTTCCCCACGCTAGATGCAGACTCAAGCTCGGAGACGGAGGCTTACGAAGCCGCTGAAGAAGCGGCCATCAAACTGCTCAACACCATCAGCGACCTCCGAGAAAACCTGGCTCCCCCAACCGCCGCAGGCAGCAAGCGGAAGCGAACATTAGAAATCGGCCTTTCCAACGAGCAGATTTGGGAGCAGCTCCAAGAGGACCACCAAAGAGCCGTCAGGTTCCGAGAAGACAGGCTGGACAAGTGGTCTCGCAAGGTGCAGAGCGTGACCGTCGCTGCGCCGGCGAACAAGCTCGGCGCAAAGCCCAAGACGCTCATCGAGGCCCTGCAAGACCAGCTCGCCAACCCCGACGACAGGCTCGTCAAACGCACGAGGGTGCCCCGATCCTGCGCACCGGCCCAGGCAGCCAAGAAGATCACCGAGAGCGAGGACATTTACGACGACGCCGACTTCTACCAGCTGCTCCTGAAGGAGCTCGTGGACCAGCGCACAGTGGAGTCGGCGGCGGAGCAGTCCAGCGCGGTGGCTTCCGTGATGCTGACCGCCAACAAGGAGGCCAAGACGCGCAAAGTGGTGGACCGGAAGGCGAGCAAGGGGCGAAAGATGCGCTTCACGGTGCACGAGAAGCTGCAGAACTTCATGGCGCCTGAGGACAGGAGGAGCTGGGAGCAGGAGGCGATTGATCGCTTCTTTGGGACGCTGTTTGGTCAGAAGATGGAGCTTAATGAGGACGAGAGCGAGGATGATGAGATGGAGGCTTTGTATAAGCAGGATGAGGGACTGCGGCTGTTTAGATGAGTTTCCGAGGCCTGTGTTTATCTCTCTCTCTCTCTATACATATTGGCATTGATAGACGGTTGGAAAGAACCAGTCAGGTCGGGCTTGGGATATAATACAATGGTGTAAATGTTCAGCAGGAATCTGTCTTGATATTGGTGTTCTTGATTGCTGGGTTAGTAGGTGTGAGCTGAGGCTCTCACAATGCTATCGCACCATTTGGCACTCATCGTTACGACAAATAGCTACACATCGGTGAGATCCGCAATTCACACAGGACTCAAAGCGATGCATTCTACCGTCTCATTACCATGCAATTGTTTCCAAGCGCGCAAAGCGCAATTGACCAATGCTTCATTGATTGCTTCGTCTCGTCTCCTCTCTCTCTCTACCTACCTATTCTTCAGAGGCCTTCATCGAGAGCGGACCCATTTCCGAATCCGAATCCGCCTCGGAACGCATCTCCCCGTGCGCGGGCGGGTTTCTTCGGCTCTTCCCCACAAACGCGGAAGTGCCCCGTCGCCATTCAATCCCACTTTGGGGAATGCCGATGATGCCCAGAAAGCTTCCAAGCTTGGAGCTTCTGACTTTCTGAACTTCTTCCTCCTCTCGTCTTTTCTTTTTTTTTTTTCCGACAGCGCATAGATTTTTGCAGAAATTCTGGATAGCGAAATGGCTTCATTAACTTCTTGGGTCCCGCTCGACCGGAACGGCGACTTTTCGATTCACAACCTGCCCTTTGGCATCTTCTCAGACGCCGGCAGCTCGCAGCCCCGCGCCGGAACTCGAATTGGCGACTTCGTTCTTGATCTCAGTGCGCTCGCTGGCGATGCGCAGGTGAAGCAGCAGCTGGGCTCGTTCAGTGGCCTGGAGGGCGTTTTCAGCCAGACTTCGCTCAATGCCTTTGCCGAGCGTGGTCGCGCAGTCCACCGTGCTGTGAGAGCCGATCTGCAGCGCCTCCTCAGCGAATCCACAGACGTGCCGGCGCTGCTCAAGGACAACGAGGCGCTGAAGCAAAAGGCGCTGGTGCCGGTCGACAAAGTCACGATGCACCTGCCGATGCAGATTGGCGACTACACCGACTTCTACGCCGGCTACCACCACGCCTACAAGGTGGGCGTCCTGTTCCGCGGCCCGGACAACGCCCTGCAGCCCAACTACACGCACCTGCCGGTGGGATACCACGGCCGCTCGTCCAGCATCGTCGTGTCCGGGACGCCCATCCGCCGGCCGCGAGGCCAGATCCTGCCCAACCCGGCGGCGACCCCCAAGCAGCCGACGACGGTGCCCTGCCGCCGACTCGACTTTGAGCTGGAGCTCGGCTGCTTCATCAGCAAGCCCAACGAGATGGGCGATCCCATCGACATTAGCAAGGCCGAGGAGTACATTTTCGGCTTCGTCCTGCTCAACGACTGGAGTGCGCGCGATATTCAGGCGTGGGAATACGTGCCTCTGGGACCGTTCAACGGAAAGAACTTTGGTTCGACCATTAGCCCGTGGGTTGTTGTTCCTGATGCCCTGGAGCCCTTCCGAACGGAGCCGCTGCAGAACGACACTCCTATTCAGGATTATCTCAAGGAGACGCAGAAGCAGAGCGTATTTGACATCCAGCTCGAAGTTGGCCTTACAAGTGAGCAACCGTTTCCTCTGATATCACTCGTGAGCTTTACTTGCTAACATGATGTGTGCTAAGCCGCGGACGGTGATCATGTCGACCTGACCAAGACGAGCGGCCGCAACCTGTTGTGGTCGTTCCCGCAGATGATCGCGCACCACACGGTCGGCGGATGCCCTCTGCGGGCCGGAGACTTGCTGGGCTCAGGAACGATCAGCGGCACAGAGCCTCGCGAGCGTGGCAGCTTGCTGGAGATGACCGAGGGCGGCAAGGCTGACGTTCAGCTTGAGAAGGGTGGTGTTCGTCGGTTCATTGAGGATGGCGACAGCGTGAACATGCGAGGCTATTGCGAGAAGAACGGAGTGCGGATCGGATTCGGCGACTGCGAGGGCAAGATTTTGCCGGCTCACGGATCATGAGCTGTAGTTGGAATGAGAACTGAACAATTCATCAGGTAGACGACCTGGGAATAAGAACGTCGCACTGCCGTGGATTCTTACTTCATCTTGCCATCTGATACAACCTTGTATTCTTGCTATGATGCGTGACGAAATTTTTTGAGCCTGGACTCGAAAGGTATGCAGATGCGACAGATTGAGTATCGGGATGTAAGAAGCTTGAAGCCCTGAACAATTGATTGTACCTCGGCGCAGGCGGCTCATTCTCCACCTCGCAACCTGCAAGTTGCGACTCCGCTGTCAAAACGCAGTATGAAGCAATCACAATTACAAAGCCTATATCCAACTGATATCGTCCCCGTTTGTATAATCGAGAATATACGGTTCAATACGTAATAAGAGCATGAGACTCGTCTTGTTCTCACGCTTCTTTCCTTTCCATCTTCTTCCTCACCATTTCCCCAGCTTCCGTCGCTGGCCGTTGAGGTCACGTGGGCGCGGCTTTCTGCTCGGTGCAGGAGCGAGCCACAAAGTCCGAACAGTAGCAAGCACCTTGTTACTTCACTACCCGACCTTACCTTACCAACTTACTCACTTGGTAGCCTTGTCATACTAATTCTTCCCATCTTATCAGCCTCGAAATCTCATACAGCCCATGGATAAAGTCGCATAAGGCAAGGGGGAGCAGAGAAAAAAGAGACCTTTCGAATGGAGCAGATCGAGACGCAGGCCTCCGACCTGCGCTACCTCACGGCGCCAGTCGCCGCTTTGAGCGACTCGGCCAGCGTCTCGTACGAAACGCCGCAGCCACGGCCGCACATGAGCCCAGGTTCCGCCATGTACGGAGACAATTCCGCGCTTCACCAGCAGCAGCACAGCGATGCCTCGCCAGGGTTGGGAGATGCCGATGCTGGAGCGGGTGCGACCAAGAGGAAGTCGGTGGACGAGGCGGGCGGCGCGAAGCAGACGCGGAGCAAGAGGAACCGGGTGAGTCTCGTCATGTTGTTGCTGTTGTTGTTGTTGTCATGAAATGCCAAGCTGGCAGCCGATGTGAAGATGATGAGGAACTGGTCATGTTCGATATGCCCACCTTGAGATGGGAGGGAGAGATGATGAGATGCAATGAGACGCCGAGGCGGTGGGAAGCAGAACGCGCCATGGCGACAGTTTCACATAGCCTTTCCTCTCACGTCGCGCATCTCGTCAAGCCCCCTTTCGTGGAGTCGCGTCTACTGTACTCATGCCCTTTTAGTCGAACCCTCTCAGCTGACTCGGTGGTCCAGTACATTTCTATCGCCTGGTAAGCCCACACTCGGTGCTCTCTGTCATTCAGTCGTTTTGCAGAGGGCAATACTGAGGTTCGATTGGAGCCCATGAGAAGATCGAACGACTGCACGACGAATGATGGAACCATGCTGACGCTTTGGCGCAATGCTTGCATAGCAATGAGTGCAAGAGACGCAAAATCAAGTGCAACGGCGAAACGCCATGCCAACGCTGTGGCAACCTCAACCTGGCGTGTCTGTATGCGCCCAACTGCTGCTCCAACAATTTCAAGGACTCGGATGAGTTCAAGAAGATCACGGCGCAACTGAGCCGCCTGCAAGACGAGGTCAACTGGCTCAACCAGAACATGCGCACCATGCAGACGGAATCGCGATTCGCGCCCCCAGCTTCGGATCGCATCGTCCCAGCTCCGAACTCAATCATTGCCCCTTCTCCATCGCAAAGCTCAACATCCGGCCACCGACCGGACTATCTTGGAAGGCAAACGCCCTTTCAGGGCCCGACGAGCACGGCATTTAGTCTCGACGTGGCCAGAGAGACCATCAGCAGCATGGGGTGGAAGCCGACAGAGGAAGGTGATGATAACGAGCCGCCACCTATCAACCACATATCCTCTGCAGTCTCACCGCATATATCAGAGCCACTCCTGGAGTTTGACAAGGACGAAATGGTGCGCCTGTGCCGAGTTCACGAAGAGGAGATCGGCATCATGTATCCCGTGATCAATATCCAATCAGTGATTGCCCATGTCAAAAATGTTTCGTTATACCTCAGGAATCAGCGACCAACCGAGCCCCTGAACGATCTTCAGACCCTCCAGTTGAAAGCCATCATGTGCTGCGCTCTGGTTGTGGAAGGCCACGGCCACTGTGAGAAGGCGGTGCGGCTGTATGAGAGCATGGAGAATATTATCAACCGAAAGCTCATGTCGGACGTTCTTGAAGTCTCTGACCTCCCCCTTCTGGCACTTGTTGCCGGCTACAGGTTCTTGTCCAACGAGGAGGTGCTCGCCTGGCGAGTCATGGGCCAGGTGGTGCGCTTGTGTATAGAGCTCGGCATTCATCAGAAAAGAGGGCTGATGATGATACAAAACGAGACGGAGCGAAAAAATGCGCTCAACAGCTTCTGGTCAGCCTACGTTCTCGACCGTCGATGGGCGTTTGGGACGGGTCTGCCATACGCCATTCAAGACGATGAGATTGATCCGACTTTGCCGATGCCTGTGAGTTGAGATGCTGCAAGAGAATGTGCGACAAGGTGGTAGACTGACTTGTGACCAGGACGAATATCCCTACCTCGTTGCCATGATCACATACTCTCGAATAGGCGCCAAGGTCTGGCGCCAGGTATCCCATTTTGGGCCCGTTCTTGCGCGAGAATTGGGCCAGGAGGAGATTGAGCGGCTTGACCAAGAGATATTACGATGGTACGAGAGTGTACCAGAAGAAATCAGGATGCGTAGCTGGGACAAGGATACCCAGATGACCTCGACACCATCATATAACCTTCAGCGGCTGAGGATATGGACCTATTTGCGCTTCAACCAAGTAGGTGGCGAAACAGGTGACAAACGTAAATTCTCATCAGCTAACAGAAGCTTCAGATACGGACATGGCTGTACACTCCCGTCCTACATAGCGCCACCAGCATCATGTCGCATCCATTGCAGGCACAGCGCGTCGTTGATCTGGCCAAGGACACGATCCAATACCTCCACCACCTTAACAGCACCACCAACCTCTACCGGAGAACGCAGGTCTTTTACCACCAGTTCCTCGCAGCCGCCATATCCGTCGTCTTTCTTGCCTCGGTACACGCACCGGTGCGGTTCAGCGCAGTCTGTCGGGAGGAGTTCTACATGGCCCTCGACTTAGTCAAGGATCTGTCTGCCAAGAGCTGGGTATCACAACGCCTGTGGCGAACCATCAAGTCGCTCAAGGATGTGGCGCCGCGATTCGGCCTGAATCCGGACGAGGACCCTCACTCGAGCGCCGCTCTGGGTATGATTGGGCTCGCAAGGGGACACATGGACACCATGCCCGGTAGCCAACCTCTGTTTCAACATCCTCCAATGCCACCCAGGCAACCTACGGAGACTCCGATGAGCAACAGCAATACTAGTAAGAACAACAACGGGCAAAGGATACAGAGCGAGATGTCGCGTATATTCGAGGGCTACGTTGGCCTAAACGGGGTCCAGTTTGGGGGCAATGGAGAAGACCAACATGTGTCTCCCCACGCCGCCTTATCTTCTTCAGATTCGCAGAATGCCATGTTTGCGCCGGCAGACGGGACAGTTTTTCCTCATATGCGCGAGATGTTTTGAAGGAGCTTCTTTTTTCTCCCTTGTTCATATGGAGTATAGCACTGGTTGCTTTACGGGCGGTGTTTAAGGTGCTGAATAGCGACCACTTGTTTCTGTAAATAGTCAGAATAAAAACTCCCCTACTGGTCATAGCCACGAGGGGAAGTTACAATAACAAAGTTGCAGATGCTTGACCGTTGCTTTGTTGTCTCTACCTTGAGTACTCTGGTGGTGAGTCGGGAAGCGGAAGAGGCAGAATTGTCGCGGGCGGTCAAGTCACGTAGGGAGACGTCACAAATTGGTCTTTGCAGATTGTAGTCCGTTTGACAATTTCACCCACACTTCTCTGGCCAGCCAGTCATTCTGACAGCTCAGGTTGAGCAGCGAAAACAGGTTCAAAAAAAGTACACAATCAACGAAGAAAAGACCAAAAAAAAAAGCATCGTGTCATCGCCTGTTCACTGCTGATAACATACACGTATGTCGGTGATCTTGGAAAATCAGCCCAAAGCTGCCCGCGGCGTTTTTTACGTATCGACTGCGACAAAAGGTCGGGAAACGCCTGCATGTGGCACCATCCGGGGGGGAAGGGGGACTGAAGACCCAATGAAAAGAACAATGCACCCCTGAGCAAGGATTCCAGTCGATTCGATTGCTCAAAGCGGAAGTTCTCAGCAAAAGTGACCACTAGGAGTCCGCGGTTTATTTTTTCAGGGAGGGTCGGGTCCAGACTGGGTTTCGATTCATGGCTTTTTGCCTCCTGTGAGTTTCCCGCGGGCGACAGTGGGGGGAGGGTGGCCCGGAGCTTCTTCACCTTCTCCAGAAAGGAAATGGAAAGGAAAGGATTACGCTTGGCTAACGTTGATGATGCAAAGGGCGGTAGAAAGAGGAGGACGAGCATGGACCGATGACGGAAGGGCGCTGTTTGTTACGGACGGCATCGAGACGTTTTTTTTCGGATGTCGCCGGAACCTGGACCATCTGTCTTCGTTGCTTGCATTGTCAGGCGGCTGGTTTTTGAGAAAACAACGGGGGAAAGATAACGTCTGACAGCGGCAGGTTCAGCCACATTCTGCCGTCCGTTCTATCAGTGCTGTTGGTCGAACGACACACGACCGTGCAGCAGCAGCTTGTCCAGTATAAGCACTTGCTTATCTGCCCCATCATCTGTGCGAGAACCATGTGGCATCGATCTTTTCGGCAAGACTCGTATCTAGAACGTGTCTGGAATCGAAACCTCTTCCACCTGGTCCGGGCAGACTTGTCGGTATACCTTTCCCGCGGGAAAATACTAGGTATCCATTAGCTACTGAACAAGGATGATCGAATCAAACCCGCTGCGGCGCCGCTGCTACTGGCCCGACGACAGAGTTTCGACAGGCAACGCCCGATGTTGCAGCCGTCATCGGACGTCCTTTTACTTGTCAAGATTGGCCCTTTCAGAACAGTTTCTATGACGAGTGGCTTTGGTGCCAAGTCGACGTGGCACGGGAGCGGAGCGCGAGATGCAGTGAGGATGCGGCATCGCACGCCACCATCTGATTCGGCATGCATCGCCCGATCATGCAACAGCGGACCAGCCGGCTGAGCGTCGTTGTCTTGATAGGTTACTTGTTTTAGTATTTGTTCCGAATTCAAGGTCTGGCTTTCGACAGTTCTCCAGCAGCTAGCGAGGGCTTCGACGGCAGTGTGACAAGGAGCTATTGACGAAGAAGCTTGAGGGCCCTGGATCTGTGTACCACGAGCGGACCTCTTGTTTCTCTCAATGGCCGAGTCGTTCAAAGAGCGATGGCCGTACGGAGTTACACCGTCGCCGGTGTCCTATCAGCAGTGCAAGCAGCAGAGCTCTTTCACATGCCATCTGTCCAACAGGGGGGGGTGCGCTTTTGACAGCTGTACGGAGTACCCATCAATACCCCAAGAAGTCATTCCCCCTGTTCACAAGTTCTTGATAGTACTCGATTCAGACCAGGTTACAAGATACCTGACCCTGCACTCCACGCTCTGTCAAGAGGACGGGCAGAGATGTGTCATCCCAGCTGTTATATCAATGAGCAGTTTGATGATCTTGCCGGGTATTTGAAACACAATGCTCGCAAGCTGATCAACGGCTCGAAGACAAGACTTAACATCGAGAACGAAACTACGCCGACAATGTGCATCAGCTCGACTTGCAAGTATCTGGAAAAGGGCGGCGACACTGCATTTGACAGAAAACGAGAAGCGCTCGCTGGTGGATGTCATCGCTCAACAGCGGCTTACGGTCACTCAGCATGTTCTACCCGGATATCTCGCCCCCCCTTTTCATACAACTGGACTGCAGTCTACATCAAGCCGCCTGTGGTCGCCATAAACAAGCCAACGTCGCATGCTCCAGTTTCTGGCCTTCGAGCAGCTGACAGCTTAGGTATTCATCATTCTGAGCTAAGACTGCCGGCCCGGGCATCTGGCTTGCCTGGCTGTTGAGCGGGCCTCGTTTACTACTAGAGTTCCTAGCGTGGTCGCTTGGAGAACTCAATTGCTGCTTGTCTTTCCCGCGGACAACTTGGACCTGGCGGGATTCTTCTCTCCTGCATACATGCTTCAGCATAAGGTATGGTCTATATGGTTGTGCATATTGCCTACCACTGCTGAAGATTGATTCGATGCCTCAGATGCCAAAAGCGGGAGCGAACATGCACGAGAGTCAGCAGCGGCAGAGCGGCGGCAGGCCGTACAGATCTCACCTGCGGCCGGCGTGTGTGCCGTGCCGCCGCAGAAAGTCGCGATGCCAGACCGCAGGCGATGCTGCCGTCTGCCTGACCTGCCGTGCCCATCAGACCGAATGCTACTTTCCCGGCGACTCGCGGGAATCTGCATCTTCGGAACCTGCCCGCCGACGCCGCCGTGTGGAAGCCCGGCCCTCGTCTTCTGAGCCTTCCGGAGCGAGCCCCCTGAGGGTTGCACAGGCCGCGGCATCATTCCGCGAGGGCTCCAAGGCCAATACATCTGCGCCTGTGGTTGGGCCAGTGCCGAATATTCCTCCGAGACCTATCGCCGGCATGTCGAGAACCGGTCAAACCTATCACGACCCCGAGGAAGAGTCAACGCTGGCACTGGGCTCCGACGATGACCAGCACCTCAATCTACACATAGTAGGACCTGCTGCTACGAACGACAGCCAGGTGTTGTCCACATATCTCTCGGGTATCCCCGGTGCAACCCGGAGTACGCGGATGATTATCCCGGAGCCCGCAAGCTGTTCGCGGCCAGTGCTGTTTACCGAGGTTCAGAAGAGGCCGTTCGGCGTCAAGTTGAATCGTAGCCCTTCAGCTGAGAAGCTGGAGATCATTGAGAAACTCCTGGAGCCTCATAACGAGGCTGTTATTGACGAGTTGGTCGTCCTCTCTTTGACATCTTTGCCTTCTCACGTAGCTGACTCTTCTTCTTCTGCTGTAGATACTTCAGAAAAGTGAATGTGTGCCTTCCGCTGTTGGATGAAGCCTCATTCCGCCGTCAATACCAGGAAGATAAGACGCGGATCTCGCCGGCGCTCATGGCCTGCCTGTACGCGCATACGATTGTGTATTGGCAGAGCTCGCCTATTCTGAGCCGCTACAGGTGCCCAGAGAGCCGCTTCATCTGGAACCTTGCCAACGAGGCAGTATATTCCGAGCTCCATCTATCACCTGGCATGTCTATCATCAAAGCGATCGTGCTGAATGTAGGCGGACGCCCTACTACCTCTCTGATAGGCAACGGGGTGTTACTAGGGTCTGCAGTTTCAATGGCACATTCTCTAGGGCTGAATCACAATCCTCTCCCGTGGAAGATTCCGCAGCAGGAAAAGTATCTTCGCATGAAGATTTGGTGGGCGCTGTTGGTCCATGACAGATGGTACGTGAATTTCGCCTGTGAACGGCCAAGACGGATTAGAAGGGACTGAAGAAAATGGGAATGGAGAGAGAAGCCACAATGCTGACTTCCAGTCATGAATCTGCAGGACAAGCCTGGCGCACGGCACGCCGCCTCACATCCAGAGATCACAGTACGATGTGCCTCCGCCGACTCTGGAGTATCTTGGCGAGACTCTGACAGAGACCAACAACCCACGGTCTGAGCTGAGAGCCAACGTCTTTATCTCGCTGGTAACGCTGAGCGAAGTATTGGGCCGGTTTTTGCAATATGTGTACTGCGTTGGGCGAGATAAGCCGACGACCACCGATCTCGAGCATGCATTGCATCAATGGATTGAGACGCTGGAGGGCCCCTGTCGTCGGATTGTCCTCCGCGGGTCTCATCTGGACGTCACCGGGGCAGCAAACCTTCGCCTGGCATTCCTGACTGCTAAACTGCTTCTGCAGCGGATACAGCTCGAGGCCGAGAAGCAAGGAGACTGCGTCAACGAAGAGGGTGTAATGAACCGCTATTCGGAAGCACGCATGACTTCCGAGGAGATTCTCATGCTCATCCAGGACCTCCAGCCGGAGAATCTCGGTGACTTCTGGATGTCCGTGAGCGCCTTTTCCTTCCCGGCCGCCGTCAACTTTTTGCTACGATGCGCGCTGGAGACGGAGAATTCTCCCGAAGGCCTCGCCCAGAGCCCCTCGTTCAAAATCGCCCGCGATCTCATCACCACGCTCCGCTCGCACCAGGAGCAGCACAGGTGGGATCTGGGCGACGTCTGCCTTGCCCAGCACGCCGAGATTGTAGACAAGATGCTCACGGGCGCGGTGCCGGACGAGCAGGGCGGCAACAATAGCAGCTTGGACCTGCAGGACTTTGACGTATCGATCCTGGACCACATCTTCCCAAGTGTATGGGACCCTTTGCAGAATGCTTGGTAGATGCACAAATCCGTATCGACTTTCTGCTTCTGGGATAGACATAAAGGGGTGCGCAAAAGATGCTTGTGGAGTTGAGTCAGAAGCTCCGGGAAGAGTCCTGGTTTGCTCGCTGTCCGCGGCCAACAAGTTTCCCGCGGCCAAGCTAGGGAAGCCAAACACACTTGTCCGGCGAGATATCCACCGTCGCGATACGATATCGGAAGTGAAGAAAGTTGTGTTTGATAAAGATGTCTTTGGTTTTCTTTAAAAGGTCAAGATGGTATCAAAGTTTCCATTGTCCTTCATCGATCATCAGGAGTTGCAAGTCAAGATCGAGACTTATATATCAACACATTGCTTTACCTTGCATTTACAAGGTGACCTGCTTACATTGCGATTTGACATCTCCATCCAAGATCAGATTCACCTTCAACTCTCATCTCTCAGACTCTACAACCGTCCGACATGGCCCCAGGAGCTCTCATCGGATCCGAAAGTCCCCCTCTGGCCCCCCTGCCAGGCAAGCTCGACGTCGTCCCTGCCCTCTACGCCGAAGTTGACGAGAACGACCTCCGCGAAAAGGCCAAGGCTCACCTGGCCTACTACGGCACCAAGTTTCACGACGATGTGATTATTGGAGCTCGGGGGATGTACCTCTACACAGCCTCTGGCCACAGGATCCTTGACTGGACCTCGGGCCAGATGTCCTGTCTCCTCGGTCACGGACACTCCGAAATAGTCAAGACGATCCATGACCACGCCATGCATCTCGACCATCTCTTCTCAGGCATGGTCTGCCCGCCCGTCATCAGGCTAGGAGAGCGCCTCTGCAAAGCCCTTCCCGACGGCCTAGACAAGGCCTTCTTCCTCTCCACCGGCGGCGAGAGCAACGAGGCCGCCATCAAAATGGCCAAAATCTACACCGGCAAGTGGGAAATCGTCGGCCTCGGCGCGTCCTGGCACGGCATGACGGCGCAAGCCCTCGGCGCGCAGTACCACTTTGGCCGCAAGGGCCAGGGCCCGACCATCCCCGGCCAGTTCATGCTGCCCTCGCCCAACGCGTACCGGTCCCAGTTCCGCAAGCCCGACGGCTCCTACGACTGGGAGGCCGAGCTCGACTACGGCTGGCGCATGATTGACCTGCAGTCGACGGGCAACCTCGCCGCCTGCATCGTCGAGTGCATCCAGAGCTCGGGCGGCATGCTCGTGCTCCCGCCGGGCTACCTCGCCGCCATGAAGCGCCACTGCGAGGCCAGGGGCATGCTGCTCATCGTGGACGAGGCCCAGACGGGCGTCGGCCGCTGCGGCGACTTCATGGCCATCAACCACGAGGGCGTCGTCCCCGACATCCTGACGCTCTCCAAGACGCTCGGCAACGGCCTGCCCCTGAGCGCCGTCGTCACCAGCTCCGAGATCGACCGCGTCTGCGAGGAAAAGGGCTTCATGTTCTACACCACCCACGTCAACGACCCCTTGCCCGCCGCCGTGGGCGACAAGGTCCTCGAAATCGTCTTCCGCGACGACCTCGTCCGGCACGCCCGCGCGGCGGGAAAAGTCCTCCACGACGGCCTCGCCCGGCTCATGGCGCGGTACGGCTGCATCGGCGACGTCCGCGGCCGCGGGCTCATGGCTGGCGTCGAAATTGTCGCCAGCAGGGAGACCAAGGAGCCCGCCCTGGAGCTGGCCAAGCGCATCGGCGACGCGGCCTACCGCCTCGGCGTGTGGGCCAACCTCAGCAGCCACCCGAGCTTCGGGGGCACCTTTCGCATCGCGCCGCCGATTACCGTGACGGCGGAGCAGATTGAGGAAGGGTTGGACATGTTGGAGAGGGCCTTTAGGGAGACGGAGGGGACGATGCCCCTGTACGACTGAGGGGGTGTTGAGGAATCAGTGTTTGGAGATGGCGGTGGTTAAATGTTTATGATCGGGCTTTGGACGTAATACCATGAGAATCAACGGGTTTGTTTGAAACGCTGGCATGAGGAGATTTGAAAAGGGGGGTTTAACCCTTGATTTGCATTGGGCTTGTTTGGTTTGCGAGTTATACTGTTATAGAATGAAAGTCAGGCATATAGAATGTTGATATTAAATAGCCTGTGATGGATATACAAAGGCTTTCTCTCGAGATGCTTGTGCTAATCGTTTGAAAGAAGAATACCGCGGCCAACGTAGAGTCCTCCTACGCCGCATCACTCGAAAGTAGCTATCCAGGGCAACGATTTTGTCTTACCTATATCACTGGTGTAAATAATCTCTGTTTAAGAGACAAGAGGTAGAGAGACTTCTACTGTGGCTATGAGAGACAGAAGAGGAAAAAGGTATCATTCATAAGCTCATCATACAAAACCCAGCAACCTTCGCCCTGCCTTATCAATGAATCCGAAATATCACACAGTCCTCGCTTGCTCAGTTGCTTTTCCCCATTTTCATACCATGAACTTTGACACAAAATAAAAAAACAAACAAAAAGCCCCCTCGAGTCGGGTATAGTTGTTCCAGTCAATCAAAACGCCTGCTGTCGGAGTAAATTTTCGATAGAAAAGAAAGCCGCCATGCTCGCTCGCTATATGCCGCAACGTGGAGATCCGTTGAGAAAAATGAAAGATCTTCCAAGGAGTGTGTAGTTGTGAATTTTCGTGCTGCTCAGTTGACTGTGGTTCGCGTAGTTTAATTTTTGTACGACTGCGGACCTTTTCTGCTATGGATATCCGGGATTATGTGCGGTTTCGAGTGGTTTATCGTCCTTCGGTATCGTATAAATTCATTGTGACCGCAGTTTGAGGTGTGGGCTCAGCCGTCTGAAGATGCTGCGCGCAGCGACGCCGAGAACCATCAGGACCTCCAATCCGACAATGCCCATCCAAACGGTGTTGAGGAGCTTCTCTTCGTAGTCCGAAGCGTAGCCGTTGAAATAGTCCGAAGACATGGAGTAGCTGGACATGCTCCGGGCCATGATGAATATCGATGCGTGGACGGATCTCCTCGACTCAAGCTGTGCAACAATTGTACGCGGACAGGCTCCAGGAGGCGCCTTTGGACCTTGGGTGACAACTGCCCTGAACGACACTGCGGAATCCTCGTCAGAATAGGTGATGAGGCACGAGGGAGAAGGATATAAAGACAGCGAGAACCAGCTGGCTTGAAACACATTGGCATCACTGCATGCCCAACTCGAGCCCAACTCACATCCCCGCCGCAAAGGTCGGTCACGAGTGGCATACGAGGGTGGCGGCCACGGCAAATGTCGCAAAGGATCGGGCGATTTCCTTACCTCTTCTTATAGCAGGCTATCCAAGATTCACAGCAGAAGACCGTCGTATGGCATCTGATGGGCGCCAACGATGTTCACGGCTTGGGGGATGTCCAAGTCAAATCCTGCCACTTCGTACAGGTCACAACCAACTGCAAAGGTCCCGCTGGCAAGTGGGAGAGTGATTCAACGGCCGGCTGGCTGATCTGTGATGCGAAAATCTCCAGACCCTCAAGAGCGGCGGTCGGGGCGCAGAGATCGAGTCGGTGCTAGTTTGTATGCACTCGAGTGGATTCTTCCCTCCAGCAAGTGCGTCGCGTGAGCGAAGAATCTGGCTGGCCGTACCCTGTCCTGGCCTGGTCCAGCAGCGACTATTGGACGGCTATCGCGAAGGCGTCGAAACAGGGCCTCGAGCAAGGCGAAGTGAGGGCTGCTAGGAGGAAGAGCGAGGAGAGTGAGAACCAAGTTCGGTGACGCTGGACAACGGAAGGGACCGTGTTGAAAACGTGGCTTTTGCCGTCTTATGGTTCTGCGGGCGGCTGGCCTCCTGCTTTGCTGGGGGATAAATTCTCCTCTTGGCTGTCTTGTCTTTTCCATGGTAACGGGTTGCCCTTGTCGCCCTTCAGCACTCAGCCCCACGTGCGACCAGCTTCATCGTGCTCGGGTCAATGAGACCTACATGAATGTGTGAGCAAGACTAGCCACGGGCGAGATTGAGGCTGTTTTACGGCTGCCGAGAGTGGAGCCGCATCCCGGGCACGACAGACAGGTCTCGACGCCCAAAGTTCAGCCTCTTGAGTGTCTCTCGAGGATCAATAACGGAGGTTCATCCGCCAGACGAAGCGGCGTTGGTCTTTGCTTCGTGATCCGTACGGATACGCGAAGACGCTGGAAAACTTGCCTCTGCAAGTTGGCGGGTTGGGGCTTGCAGCATGCCAACAAGGGTCCAACTCATAGCCCCCGCTCGGTATCCCTGTTGTGCCCTATGGGGAATGTAGCCGTCGGACAAGGGTAGTAATAGAGGCAATCGCTGAAAATGCGGTGACGCCGATTCATACAAGTGCATTTGGCTTCGACATGGTGATTCGAGAACCATTGTCGATAAAGGTTCGCGATAGTACTCGTGTTGTAACGCTTTCTTCATCGTCACCTCGATAGCCCAGGATGTAGCTGAAGTTGCCAATAAGAGCCGCTCAGATATGCATCAAATGATCTCAAGGCTGGCAAAAAGCAAGAGTATACCCGGGCGGCGCGCAGCCGCACTAGCCGCAAGCAGGGAGGTGCAGCCGCGTTATTGGCAGTGTTGAAGGCAATTTCGTTGTCAATGGCTGGCTGTAAGACATGTTCCATATTGCTGAGTATGTGAGCACACCATCTTGAGGAAGGGAACCCCCTGCCTTCAGAGTGAGACAGTCAAAACCATGCAGTCGAGATCGTACTGTAGCCTCGACCACGACGAAACCATGATTCGACGCTCTGTGTGATACGTAAAGGGCTCCTCTGCTCTTGACAAGGGCGTGCATTAATGATGGCCTCGCTTAATGCAGACATCGTCGTGGCCCGCTCCGCATCAAGTCCCATTTCTCCAGACCTGCGGAGTCCAGCGCTATAATAGCCCATAGGCGATAAATGGTGCGTCTTGTCTGCACAGTGAGTAGTAGATGGTATCACTTTGAATGGTCTCAGCCGTTGATGTTGGCCATGTCTCTTTGACGGCCTCTGGATCTGCGCAGGTCGGCTTTGGTCGCAATATCAGACCCTGGCCCCAAGCAGTTAGCAAAGAGATTGCTCTAGGAGAAACTGAGCTAATTCCAGCGAGGTTCAGGTAGATCAAGGAGCTCCCCGAGCTGATCAATGAGTAGATCAAATGGCCTCCAAAATAGCACGATGCGCATAAAGGAGAACGTCTGCAGACGGGCAATATGCGATGTGTCAACAGGGATATCTGATGCATCATAAGATCTTCCTCACCTGCCGTCTGATCGTCCAAAGGCCTGATCGAGTTTCATGGCAGTTGCAGATTGTCAGGAGAGCAGTGAAGAAGAGAGATATTGCATCTTTGCACATCTGGCTGTCGAGAGGGAGATTTGATGAAGCTCCAAAGGTTTGATGCCAGGGAAGGCGAGTGGGCAGTGTTTCAAGTGAGGCAGGAAGTACATGGAAGGGTGTCCACGTGACCGAAGTCTCAGCCACAACCTACTGATGAGCGAACCTTGAAGCTTCTTCTTTTGAGGCTCGAGGAATGGGCTTGAAACTTGCATCACAGCAGGCGACCTTGCTCTCCTCCTGTGGGTAAATTGCGCAATGTTCGAGCGGCGGAGGACTGAGCTTCTATCGATAGGTATGGGCACAATTGACTGGAAATACGATATTATAGAGATTGTGGCGTCACTAACAGGCGACACCCGCTGATTAGCGCGAGCTCCATACTAGGTCTCAACGAGCTCGTCTTCCCGCTCAACTAATGTAGCTCCCATCTCCCATCTCAGTGGCTTGTCCTGGTTTGGTGATGGGGTCGCCCTAGATCAGCAGCTATCATCATGCACTCGTAAGCTCCCTACGAACAAAGGTGGAATCACCATCAATCTTGTAGGGGACTTTCTGACTCTCGACCAGACCCACGAAATCGGGACTCCAACAAGCCTTGCAAGTTATACCTCCCAAGAAGCGTGTGCCAGTTCGACCACCAAATCACGTCTACCTTACCTATATTTGGCTGCCTCGCATCCTTTGCTAGCGTTTTGCTTGCATCCATGCACCGGGTTGGTAGCCGGCCATGCAAGAAATGGCCTCGTCAAGGGGCAGTTGCAAGAAAATTCGAGCAAACACTCGAACAGCAAAGAAAGTCGAAGCCCTCGTCAAAAGGCCATCTTTCACATGCCAAACATGAGACGACGTCATCTAGTCTGCTGCTGAGCCACAGCGTTCGCACGCCTTGACAGCTTAGGTACGCACCGCCACAGCGCCTAGCTGCTATGTACCTGCTAGCTTCTGGTCTCGACCCCTTCTTCATGATGACGTCGCACAGTTGCCCCGCCTAAACACCCCTCAATCAAGCTGGTGCTTCTCCTGGGTGTTGCGATACTAAATTGCGCGGCTGCCTCCCGCCAGCTGCAGTGAAGCCACGATCCATATAAATTGCCACGCTTGTGCTCGTCATCGGCTTGCATCATCATCCTATTCCATTCTCACTCCTGGCAACACAACCTCAAACAAAGAAAAACATCTGCTTCCAAACATCTACGACACTTTCAACACACCCACCCACATACACACACACACACACAAACCATCCACAACCAACAAGATGCCTGCCACCGTCTACGTCAAGAACATTGCCGCCGCAACTGGCGATGCTGAAATCAAGGACTTTTTCAGCTTCTGGTTCGTTTTACCCCTCCCCAAGGTGCCAACCGAGAGTTAAAGCTAACATCTCTGCAGCGGCAAGATCAACGACATCAAGGTCACCACCGAGGGCGAGACGAAAAGCGCAGAGGTCATCTTCGAGAAGGAGACGGCCATGAAGACTGCCCTGCTGCTGAACAACACACAACTCGGCCCCAACCACATCACCGTGTCCAGCGCCACTGGCGACTCCGAGGATGACGGCTCGCACTTTGCCCACTCGGGCAACAATACGGACGAGATTACGCAGGAGATGAAGCCGCGCACCCGCATCCTGGCCGAGTACCTTGCCCACGGGTACGTTGTTGGTGATGCTGCGATTCAGCGCGCCATCGAGCTCGACCAGAAGCACGGCGTCTCGTCGCGCTTCCTCAGCACCATCCAGGACCTCGACAAGAAGTACCAGGCCACGGACCGCGCCAAGACGGCCGACCAGAGCTACGGCATCACCCAGCGCGCCGGCAACTTCTTCAGCGGCCTGAGCAGCTACTTTGAAAAGGCCAGCAACACCCCCACCGGCAAGAAGATTGCCCAGTTCTACCTCGACGGACAGCGACAGGTGCAAGATATCCACAGCGAGGCTCGGCGGTTGGCTGATCTGAAGAAGGAGGAGCACGGCGGCAGCGCGTACAAGGCTGCTGGCCTCGATAAGGTCTTTGGCAAGCAGCAGGAGAAGGAAAAGGAGCAGCCCAAGGAGCAGGAGAAGGAGCAGCCCAAGGAGCAGGAGAAGGAGCAGCCCAAGGAGCAGGAGAAGCCTGGCGACGCCAGCTATGCTGCCGCCGCTGCTCCTGGCGGCGACTCAAAGACTGCTTAAAGGAACATGGAGCGTGTTAAATCCCGTGGCATGCCGCGCATGATGTTATGAGTTAGGGAGATACGTGTTTACAGTATTCACGCAGTTGCATGGATTTTCTCGTCAAAAGGGTTTACGGATTCAAATCGCAGGCATGGGATAGTTTAGCGGTGCAATAATTGATGCTGTCAATTGACGAAGAAGTAAAAGATCCAATTTTGGTATCCAAGTTTGACTGGTTCAAAAATGTCTACGATATGAAGTTACGGGCGGTAGGATATTGTGGTGCGATGACTGATGATAACGACCTAGTAGTATTCCTAATGATGATGCTATTGTCTCTCATGCTCTCTTGCCCTCGGATGTCTCTCACTCTCATCCTTGAAAATAACGATTGTAGAGGTCATGTCACGATCATTGGATCTCAGTGTGGAAATTAAAGCCATGAATTCATTATTGTACAATAAATGCCAGTTTCTCCCATGTTTCCCAATGCTCCCCAATCTCCTCCACTTCCGCTCTTATTTGTTCAACGGAGTGTCTATGATGGTATTTAATGGACGGCCTGTGAAGCCGCGCAGCCTTAGAAGCTACTCACAGTTTCCAGGTTCCTTGGAAAACTTGTGTTCGAGGACATCGTCCAGGGGGCCCTTGGGGTTGGATGTGAGATTCTGTCATCACACGCCTTGTGGTTAGCAACTGATTCTGCGTGCTGTGGTATTAACGAATACAAAGAGGGTCAGGCTGGTTTCTGACATACATCAAGCTGGCTCTTGGGGTCTTTGTTTTCTGACTTGTCGTAGTTGGGTCCCTTGCCGGATCCTGTGGGATCTTGGAGCTGGCGGCCGCTCTGGCGTTCGGGAGGAGGGGATTGACGTCCTTCAGGCATGATGGATGGATGTGTCTGTTTGATTAAATTCGGTGGATGAAGGTGATGGTGATGTTGTTCTTGGATTTTCGCGTTGCTTTGATGGTGGTATGGGATGATTGCAGGACAAAGTTCAATTGATGTCGTGCTCTGGTTCAGTTATATGCAATCGCAGCCGTGCTTGAGTGGTGGATGGACCCCTGACGTCAGCGCCATCATTGGTCGCGCTATTGCATCATGTTGATGTCGTGCAAGGAGAAACGGGGGAGCATCGATCGAAGGGCGGATAAGATAAGTTAGAGGCGCGAATGAATGAGTGGGATCCTTTACATGGAAACTGGATTCACTGTGGAGAGGAATCTGGGATTGGTTGATCGGAGCTGGAATCTGCATCTTGAGATGCGGTCATGTTGGAATAAAGCCCCGTTGGATGTCGTTTGCCGGCAGTTGTGGTGGACACCTTGTTTGTGCCGCCAATACCCTAGTTATGGAGATGTAGGTACGAGATGGAGGCCGAAACTTCATTGTCTTGTATCATTGGACAGACATTGTCTCAGTGTGTACTTGCTCGTTTATTGAGTCAAGGTTCATCTCCTGCGGTCACCGTTCGATAGTAAGCACAGGTATACAGAACAAGACGTCATGAAGCTGACCAGTACATACACCGTACAGTAGGTATAAGACGTCTCTTTGCATACAGCAAAGGTCAGGAGTCGACATGATTAGACAATTTCTCGAATGATTGCGAACCCCTGTCTGGAAACCCCGCAGGTGAACATTGTTCAACACTCGTCAGTCATTGCTGCACTGTATAAGTGGACTGTGTCAGGAGATGAGGCCAAGGACGAGTGTTGAGATGGTAAGCTCTCCATTGGTTATCCGTGTGATCTATTAGGTATCTATCAAGGCACCCTATCAAACATGGCAACAGGGCGTGTTTGCTCCAGGTTGCTCAAGAAGTACAGAATGGGTTACGTTGACCTAAAGTGGCTGTATGTAGCAGCAGCTGTCCTTTGTTGCGTTCAAGGTAACATGAAGGAGTTACCATGGGCAGGCACCCTGATAGGAACAACTGGCCTCTTGCTGCGGTAATAGCTGAGGTCCACGGTGTCACGCATCTTGGCGCACCATTTGGTGGTCATCAATCGTGGACATTGTTTGATCAACGAAGCCGTTGATGCATCAAAGTTTCCTCAACTGTATCCAGGCTTCAAATAGGTGAGGTGCACAGCTGCTGAATAACCCGACCGCATGCACCCGACAGCACCCACCACCGCCTGCACCAACCAACCTACCTACCGAACCCCCTGAAGCACCAGCACCAGCACCAGCACCAGCACCAGCGGCTTGTCGGGATCCCCCGTAGTAGAACCCTCTGTAGGTGAGGCACCGTGCCACCCTGAGGCACCGTACCAAATTCTCGAGCCCCTGCCGGCACAGTACCACAGGTTGGCACCATGCCAAGTGGTGCCGGCACGGTGCCAACAAGGTGCCAACAAGGTGCCATAGAGGTGCCAGAGAGACCCACAGGTGCCAGCGAGGTGCCATAGCCCAAAAAGGAAATTCCGCATCTTCTTCTAGATACCTTCTATTACACCCACTTTCTCTATATACTATAGGTATTTTTTTTCTTACAGAAAATTTTACACTTATAGGGAATCGAACAGGGCAAAAATGCAAGTTTATTACTACTCTAACCACTAGACTATCTAATACTACAGCGTGGTAGAGACCTCTGTAATTGCCCTTGTATAGGGACCCTGCTGGTGCCTCAGTACCTTAGTACCTTGGCACCTGGCACCTCTATGGCACCTCTGTGGCACCTCGTTGGCACCTGTGGGTCCTCTGGCACCGTGCCGGCACCCTTTGGCACCTTGCCGGCACCTATGGCACCCTGTTGGCACTGTCCTTACAAGGTAACTCAATCCCACCATTTTCTACTACGGCCGTTTTAGTGCCCGCAGGCCACCACAAGATTCCACTCACCCCGCACCCAACCAGCCCAATAGCGAGCGCAACCACCAGACCGAAGGGGGTGCCTGGCCCGTATCAACAAATCCGGTGACCTCGGCCAGCACGTCTCAAGCTCTCTCTCTCGCCTCAGCCCGGCCTCGACGCCTTCACGACACGACACGACACACCGCCGCCGCCCCAATCTCGTTTGCCCGCCGCCGCTCTTCTTTCTGCTTCTCTGCGCAACAGCAGCCCCGAACCCTGCCAGCCACCGCCGTCACCGGCCCGTTGAGCGAGATTAAAGACCACACAGATCGAGCAAAGACCAGCAGGCGGGAACGGGCGAGGAAAAGGGAAATAGAAGAATAAAGGGAACACGAGATTGAAGAACCGAACAGAAAAAAGGGCGCGCCCCGTACAAAAAGCATAACAATGCCGGATCTCAACTCGGTACCTCCCTCCCCTCGCGTCCTGGCCAGCGCCACAGCCTCTCGTCGTCAGTCCGGCAACCTGCAGTCCGCATCCTCGCCGCCGCAGTCCGCCTCCTCAGTCAATATCCTGCCCTCCAACCAGGCCGCCGTCAACCAGCACGTTCCGGCCCAGCCTCTCCCTTCTCCCGGACTCCCGCCGCAGTCGCCCATGGGCTCGTCCGATGCCGCCGTCGGGCCTGGCCCGGGTCCTCTGCGACACCCGCGGCCGCTGACGGCTTCGGAACTTCACATGCAGCTGGAAAAGGAGCAAGAGGCAGTGGTATGGACAACTCCCCCCCCCCCCCCCCCTTCCCCCTCTCTGCGCGCCGTTGCCTTCCCTTATACAACAGCCACCATGGCGCAACCGTCGACTGACCAGTGGCAGGTGAATCGTCTGACTCGCGAGCTCTCGCTGCTTCGTGCCGCCCACAATGCGTCGGTTGCCTCCAACGCCTCATCGACATCGAACGCTACCTCTTCCCACGACCCCATCGTCGAATCCTCGCTCTTGTCTGGCTCCGGGTTCTCGATTCCCACCTCTCGCCGCCACCACAGGACCTCGTCCTCTACCTCCCAGACGTTCCCCAACCTCGCCTCGTCGTACGAAGCCCGAGCTCGAACGTCCCATCCGGCATCGCTATCACGTCAGAATAGCAGTGCGTCTCGCAGAAGCCAGACTGGATCGCCCGCGCCGCCCAGCTCGATAGATCCGTCCACCTACTTCCATCAACAGAGGAACCCGGCAGCCGCCAGCTCCGTCATGATGAGCTCCGTAGTTGCTACCCCTGGCAGCTCCGTCCCCGGTGACCAGATGAGCCCCGGGCTGCTGCCCGCAACGCTGCGTTACGAGGAGACGGCCTTTTACCGACAGGAGCTGGATAATGCAAAGAAGGAGAACGAGGCCCTCAAGCGCCGCATCCGAGAGCTGGAGAGAATCGTTCGAGAGAGGCGGTCGAGTGATGCGAGCAGGAATAGGAGCGACAGCGCGAGCACCACGGCGAGCGCAAGCATTGCACCGGGCGGAGGCGTCAGCATTGCTGGCCCTCGAGACAGCATCTATGGCCAGGGCCGAGACCGCGAGCGAGCCATGCAGAGCACCACGAGCTTGGCTGGCGGAGTCAGCATTGGCGTCCCCGACGAGGAGGTCAAGGTAGGCGAGAGTGCCGCAAGCGGACGACCCGTAAACGACAACTAGAAGTGATTCTCGAGTACTCCGTACCAAATCGACTAGATCACAAATTTGCAAAGACGAGCGGGTTTCGCTATGGAAGGGTTGGGCTCTACTGTCCTAGGGGGGATATCTTAATGGCGTTTCGGGAGCTTTATCAGCGAGACTGTTGAGACGATTCTCAGAACAGGGTTGCTTTCTTTTGTTGCCTTTTTTTTTTTCTCTGCCCTCTCGGGTTTGCTTCTTCACTTGGACGGGGCAGAAAAAGACCGATGGCTTTGGTATCTCGTAGAGTTGTTTTCTTAATTTCCTTGTTTCCTTGTCAGTTCTCTTACGGTATTACAGAGCACTAAAGCAGCTTGATGCCGAGTAAGGCAGTTTAGCTTCACCATCAGGAGATTAATGACTCATGATTTACACTCTTTGTTTGATACTACCTGCTACCCAGTTTCGCTACATTAAACAAAACAACTCCAACTTCCTCTGCTCAGCGTCAGAATACAAATGTCCAGTGTCCCCCCACGCGTGGTTACTCGGCATTAAAACAACACAGAGAGTCCTAGAGGTGCTCAAGCCACGGATGATGCCTCGTCGTGAGAGGACGTGGTCTTGAGCTTCTTCGCCCTCTTCTTGAGAACCTCTACCAGAGGCTTCTCATCATCCGTGTCATCAGATGTAGCGAAATAGTCGCTATAATCCGTCCTCTGCAAGCTCCGATGTCGTTTCGACCGCGTTGCCCTCTCGCTGAGAGGCAAGTCCTCCGAGTCAAGACCCGAGTCTCTAGCATCAGTCATCTCCAAACCAGGTTGGCCGTGCTGCGGTGCCGCCTCAACCTCGCCTTGCTCCCGCTCCTGCTCCTGCTCCTCGTCCTGGCCATCTCCATCTTCTTTCTGGCTGCTTCCATCGTCGTCGTCGTCGTTGTCGTCGTCGTCGCCTGCCTGCTGCTCCACCAATCGTTCACGTCGACGCTTTTCGCACAGGTACATGATCACGTCGCGGATGAGCTTGCCCATCTTGACGCGCTCGTTGGAGGGCGAGTCCTTGTAAATCACGCCGACAGCGCAGCGGAATATCCACGACTCGTATGTCTTCTCCTCGAGCATTCTGGCAAGGAGATTCTTTTCCTGGGCCTGCGCCTCGAGGACGGAAACAAGGCTCTCGTTTGTGGCTCGCAGCTCCTTTGCCTTGTTTTGCTCTTGCTCAAGTTGGCGTTGGAGGGCCTCGTGTTCTATGGATTGGATACTCTTGGACTCCTGGCTGGCCTTGTGCTTTTCCGCTGCGAGCTCCTTTCGGAGAGCAATCTGGGCTGTTTTGATTTCCTCAACGTCCGCTTCGGCTATGCAGAGTTCTTCCTCGAGGGCCTCTATGGTGTTTTCATAGGCTGCGATGTCGGCCGAGAGGGATTCGTTTTCGGTGCGAACATTGTCGGCTCTTTTCCGTTCTTTCTTGAGCTCGTTTGTGGCGGCAGTGAGAGCATCTTGGAAGTGTCTGTAATCTGCTTCGACGACGGACTTTTCCTTTTCTCTTTCTTTGTTCGAGAGTTCTAGGGCTGCGTCAAGCTCGCGGTATTTCTTCTTGAGGCTGTCGTATTTGCCTTGGGCTTGCTGTTCTCTCTTTTCGAGATCCAGGACGAGTCGAGCCACGGGATATTGATCGATGATGGATTCTTCGCGAGCTTTGGTTGTGGCTTTGGTCTTGGGAGAGGAAGAAGACTCCTTATGTGCAGAGATGCCGTTTCTCGCAGGGCTTGATCCAAAGAGAGGCTCCTTCTTGAGGCCCCTTTGCTGGCTTTGGCGAGAGTTTGGAGCTTCTTCACCTCCGGACTCTGTGGCTGAGGGCAATGTTGGTGGCGAAGCGAATTGCGCTCGATTGGAGCCGTTTGCTTGCTTCTGCTGGCCACGAGGAGTGGTGACGGGAGGCATCGTTTGCTGCTGACAGAATTAGCGACTGCGTCGGTAATTTGGGAATAGAGTCAGAAGGTTTTGCGTACTGGAGGCTTGCGAAGCGATTGAGTTGATATCGGGCAAACGCAGCAACCTTGACGGTAGGTGTTTAGTGCTTTCGAGAGATTTTCTGAAGTTGGAGGGAAGAAGAAGAGGAGGAGGAGAAAAGCAAGAGATACTTAATCAGCTCTTCTTTGCATATGCTCTATGCCTGCTGGTCCGCCAATGACATTGCAAGGGCTATGGGTGAATCAAAAGTGAGCGAGGGTTGAGCTGAACTTCTCGGGCGAGTGAATGAAGTGCCCATCAGGCCCCCTCCCCCCCTCCACTGTTCTGCCAACACGTTTCCAGTTCTACACCAGGAACTAATTCTTCTCGAGATTGTTGAACAATTTACACCAGTGGCTGGAGAATGATGTCCATTCGGGTTTTTTTGGCTTTGTTTCATGAAGCCATCGCGAGATTTGTGTCTCAAGATCCAGGGGCTACCAATTACTACCTTGGTATACAAAGGAATGCATGCCACAACACAAATTACCACAGGATATACCGTTAAAGACTGCAATCAATGCCATATTCAATACAATATTCATGGCCTTATTTCTTCTGGAAAGTCATTGTTGCTGATGCGTGTTGAAATCTCCTACTTGGGAGGGAGACTCCTCGGAATATACATTCAGCCGAAGCGATGCCAAAACCCCAAACCCCCTGAATCCTGCACTCACGCCAGCACTCTTAATCAGCCTGACAATTCAACACCACTCCCTTGGGATCCCTAGTCTCAGCATCTCCCCACGTCGCCTCCCATCCGTGATCCGCCAGATAAACCTTCCACGCCTCGTCATCGTCCTCCAGCCTGCGCGACACATCCGGGATGACGAAAAAGGCCACAAGCCCGCCCAGCACGGCAAACGCCGAGCCGATGAGGAACGCAACCTGGTTCCCCTTGTCGGGATTGCCGGCGTACTTGTTGAGGATGGCCGTAAAGACCTGCGTGCCGATGGCGGCTCCGGCCTTGGAGCAGGCGCTGATGAGGCCCATCATCTGGCCGCGGATGGACGTGGGAAAGCACTCGGAAGCAGTCAGGACGACGGTGCTGCCAAGTGTCATGCTTGTCAGCAGTCTGTTTCCGCGACTATCTCACTAGATGATGAAGGAGAAGGGAACAGGGCTGGATCTGATGACATTGATACATACCTTCCGGGTCCCACCTCGCCGAGCGTCAAGAAGATGCCATAGAGCACAACGAAGAGAGGAAAGACTGTCTGGATAGGGCCGATTGCACCCCCAAGCACAAACCCAAGTATCGCTTGCAGCCCGAAGCCGATGGCCATCGTCTGCCGTCTCCCGATCCTATCAGACAGATAACCTCCCAAGAAGGGCCCCGGGAGGTAGAAGCAGTTAATGAGAACTCCCCATCCCAGAGACTTGGTCAGGCTCTGTCCCACATTGGCACGGTTGATGATGGTTGAACTGAAGATGCCAAAGGGAATGGAGATCCAGTTATACAGGAACCAACTGGCCGCGGCTCCTACAAGTGGCCGGTAGTACCGCTTCAGGGCCAGCCGGTACGGCACTCGCTGCTTTCGCATGGCAGACTTTCGATACGCCGTGGCAACGGCCATGCGCATACGAAACCAAAAGATGCCGAGCGGAGGGATCGCGCCAAGGGCAAACGACGTCCGCCAGACAATGTCATACTTGTCCTCTCTCTGGCCGACGCACAGCAGCAAGAGGAGTGGCACCAGCCCGCCAAAGACATACCCAAGGTCCGAGGAGAAATCCGCCAGCATGGCAAACATGAAGCCGCGGTGCTTTCGGTACTGGTGGCTCTCGTCCGTGGCCTCGACGGCACCGGCGCCCGACACGGGATACTCGCCTCCGGCACCGACGCCGGCAACGCCCCGGGCGACGATGAGCATCCAGAAGAGGCCCTTGGGCGAGGTGCCGTTGGCGGCGGCGGACATGGCGATGCCCAAGACGAGGAGGATGGTGGTGGCCACGGCGCCCGTCTTGCGACCCAGCTGGTCGACGACAACGCCGAAGAAGAGCATGCCGATGATCATGCCGATGAGGAAGGCGTTGCTGAGGCGCGAGTAGATGGAGTTGGAAAGGTCATTGGGGTAGACGACTCCGAGGAGGAGCTCGACGTTGCCTATCACGGCCGCGTTACTGTGATGCGTTGAGCTTGTGGACTTTTGTCGTGGGAATCGAGAGACGGAGGACCGCGTCTTACTAGCCGTCGGATCCAATGGCCAGGCCTGAGAAGAGGACCATCAACCAGACTGAGAGCTTGCTATAGTAGCCCTTGGGAGCCTCAATCACGCTCCCGGCCTCAACATCGACATTTTTGCCCTTTTCGTCATCTTTCGTTACATCCTCGGCCACTGTCTCGCCAACAGTCTTGGATATAGTCTCAGAGGGTACAGCCTCCACGTCAAGGGCCTCGTTTCCCTTTGGTCCGGTAGCCATGGTGATTGCAGTTGGAGAGTTCTACCAGGTCCTCCTCTCCGCTTGGATTTGTCTTCATCCAAGTGCACCCGAGGCCGACTAACACGAAGAGGGGCTATAGAGAAGGAGGCTGCAGGTAGGGTTACATGGGCTCTTGTTCAGGTTCATGCTGGCCTTGGACGGATACAGAGACAAGACTCGCAGCACTTTAGGTGTTTTCCTTGTCCTGCTTGGGACGCTATCCGGTTATTCAGAGAAGATCGGCATCGCATTTGAGATAACGAACGGTCTGAGACAGGCATGTCTCTCCCTAGTGATGACAGCCAAAATGCTAGCTCTGGGAGCCAAGATAACCCCTCCTCGGTAACTTTGAGCTTCTGCACAAGACATTCTCATGAGACTACAAAGAGCATGATCATGCTTCTGCTCGATGCCGGTCTGTCAATCCGTTCCCGAATCGATAGTTTCCTACCAAAGCTTTCAGCGCCAGCATCACCTGCGACAAGAACCAGGGAACCGCATCGCCAATACGACGTCATGATACAATGCTGTCCCAATTCAGTTGGCCGACCCTGTGGCTTACTTTGAGTTAGAGATGGAGTGACATTCATTGTGGGTAGGCTCAGTAATCACATCCATGTGTGATAGGTTACTGCGATATGAAGCAGACGAGAGGTAACAAACATGCGGGCATAGTTTACAATGTTCTCGGTGCATCGAGCTAACTTTAGGACAGGTTCAACTCCAGTATTCGCGCAGATGATAAACAAGCCAAAGACGGATACAGCACTGTCCCCCACATATACGAGTACGTCCACATCAAGCAGCGCCGAGTCGATTCCCAAGCAATTCATTGCAGTATTAGATGTTGCTGCAAAGCAGGGGAGTGCGTCACATCTGCGGACTCTGGTGCGGCTGGGGACAAGTCCGTCCATTCAGCCTATTAGCCGACGACTCAAGCGGTTGTCAGACACTCGCTGTGCTTAATCTGCCATGAAGTCTGTTTGAGCCTCTCTTTCATCGCATCGCAGAAGACGTGATTGTATACTGTGTACACACTCGCGATAGTCCTGGCTTGTCGAACAGGTACGCTGCACAGGCAATCAGTCAATAGTCTCCGTGTTGCAGTTTGTATTCTGACCTCTCGACGACAGAATCCGGGATTACGCCTGGCTCTCTGTGCTTGTTATGAAAGCTATTGCAAGACACGATGGGCGGCCAGACAATTCCCGGTGAAAAGGGTGCAGCCCTTCCGACGACAGCAACACCATCACCACCACTCTTGCAAAGAGAACCATCTCAGCACCATGCTATATCAAGGAGATTCCGCATCTCCATCTTGGCAATCCTTATGCTCACTCCTCTTCTCCTCTTGAAAAACGCCCACAACAGCCCCTTGTCCCTCTACACCTCCCCAAGCTCCCATCACAGGCCAGACGTTGCCAGCGTCCAGAAATGCTCCATCGACAATCTCAAGTCAGACCTCTCTTTCCTCGACGGCGCAAAACCCATTCAGACCGCAGAGTTCATCCTCCGCAGAGATCGTCTGGCACAGGCCCTCGCCGCCAACAAGGTCGACGCCTTCGTTCTCGAGCCGGGCTACACGTTCCAGTACTACGGCAACGTCTCGCAGCAGGACTGGGAGCCATGGGAGCCCGAGGAGCGGCCTTTTCTCATGCTCATCATGCCGCAGGTGTCACCCAACGGCAGCGTCTCCGCCAAGACGGCGTTCCTGTCGCCCCATTTTGAAGAGGGCCGCGTGCGCATGCTGGGCATCCCCTCTCGTGACGATGCCGAGCTGGACATTGTCGTCTGGGAAGAGCACTGGAACCCGTACACGACGCTCCTCGGCTCGAGGCTATTCGCTGGCAGCGGCGACGAGGCACCGACGCTCATGATCGACGAGGAAATGCGCGACTTCATCGTCCGCGGGCTCACTGCAGCAAGCTTCCGTACCGTCGGCCTCAGCCCCGAGGCGGAGCTCGTCCGACAGCAGAAGACGGCGGCCGAGGTGGAGATCCTCCGGGCCGTCAACACGGGCACCGTTGCCGCCGTGCGGGCCATGCGGCCGTGCCTCGTCCCCGACCTGACCGAGGACCAAGTGACCACTATCCTGGACCAGACGCTGCTCTCCATTGGCTTTGGGCTGTTCTTTGACATTGTCTTGTTCGAGGAGCACGGCGCCCTCCCGCACGGAGGCTTCGTCACGGGGGGCAAGAAGCTGACGTACGACTCCATGGTCGTCATCGACGTCGGCGCGCACTACCTCGGGTACTCGTCCGACATTTGCCGCAGCTTCATGATTGATCCGCCTCCAGGAAGACGACGACGACGACGCGCCCAACAGCCCCCTGCAGACTCTCTGCGTGCCGAAAAGGAAAAAGTCTGGCGCATCGTCCTGGACGCGCAGACCGCGGCCGCCAAGGCTATGAGGCCCAACGGTACTGCTGCCAGCGTCGACATTGCTGCCCGGACAGTCATCGAAGGCGCGGGCTACGGATACGGGTTCACGCATCGCCTTGGCCACGGCATCGGCATCAAGGCGCATGAGTCGCCGTACCTGAATAAATGGAATACAGGCTCGCTGCTCAAGCCGGGGATGACGTTCACCAACGAGCCGGGTATTTATCTGGAGGGAAAGTTTGGCGTCAGACATGAAGACGTTTACTTGGTGACGGAGGATGGCGAGGCAGAGCTCCTCACAGGCCAGCGAGCAAGGGGAATCTATGAGCCTTAAAAGGAGGCGAATGTACCAAGGATATAACAGGTGGTGGGGGGGGGGGGGGGGGGGGGGGGGGGGGTATCATTCAGGACTCCTGTCTAGAGAATATCTCATGTGCCGATTCCTCTCCCTCTCCGTGCTTGCCTCCCGCTATATACAATGTCATGGAGCTACGACACCATCGTACCATCACATCACCACGTCCGAAGAAACAGCCCCATCCACAGGAAACCCACTCGCAATGGCACTCCTCGGCAAACTTCTCAGCCAGGGCGACCCATCAGCCTCAGGCACGATACTGTGATTCAGGCTGCAGCTCACATAGACGTTCCCGTCGGCATACGCCCAATCCGCCACCTCCGTCGTGCTCTCGGCCACCTCCCCGGGGAACGGCGACGCGCTCACCGCGGCACAGAACCAGGACATGTGCTGGAAGACGTCGACCAGGGTGCGGATCTTTGCGCTGACGCTCATCCGGATCCACGACCCTTCCGTCTCGACGTGGATGAACCTCAAGCCCGGACACTGCGCGCCCTGGCCGTCGCTGCCGTCCCAGACGGACATGCCCGAGAATGCCTCTCCCTGGAGGAGCGACGATGCCGCATTGAAGAGCGCTTCGTCCAGGCATTGCAGCACGATGGGCCCGCATTGCGGCCACTGCCGCTCGGTGTACTCTGCCACCGTCATGCAGACGTGCTCGGCCGCCGTCCCCGTCACCACCGGCAGGGACGCCAAACGGATATACGCGAGATCGCCGAAGCCGCCCCCCAGAGGATTGAAGAGCTGACACTCATACCTGAACTGGACAATGTGAAACCCGTCCGCGGGTGGTCTGTCCGGCCTCTTGAGGACAATGTCCCAGATGGCCGCCTCGGCAAAGTGCATCTGGACGTAATGCGGCGACAAGAGCAGCCTCTTCATCTCGGCGACGAGCGTCGCAGCCGCATCCCCCGTCGTGATGAGCGTGTGCAGCGCGCGCGCAATCTGCTCCGGCGAACCCCCCGGCGACTGCTCCGGAAACTCTCGATGCCAGAAGCCGCACAGCAGCCGCAGCGCCAGCTGGAAGTCGATGCCCCGGGCATTGATCGACCACGTCAGCGGCCGTCTCGACAGCCCCGGGCCGAGCTCCTCGAGCACGCAGCGCGCCGTCTCCGGGCCGTTGAGTATGAGCACGAGCTGCCTGACGGGGCCCTGGAACAGCAGCGAGACCTGCCGCGAGAGCTGCTCGCCTGAGGGCTGGTCGGCGTCGTGGTAGAACCGGAACAGCTCGTCCCAGAGCTGCCTCGCGAACGCGGCAAGGAGGCGGTCCACGACGATGTCGAGGTTGGGCCGGACGCGGCGGTGCGTTGGGAGGTAGCAGTAGTAGTGCGCGAGGAGGAGCTCGCTGCCGCCGAGGCCGTCGGCGAGCGTCTTTGCAAAGGAAGCGACGAGGGCGCCTGCGACGAGGGGCGGCAGCTGGACCTCAATGCTGTTGTTGCTTTGAGACTGCTGGGAGAGGCATGCTGGGAATGGGGGCGTGGGAAGCTTGATGCGGGAGTTGTAGGCGGATGGGGAGGATGAGGGCTGTGGTGGTGGTGGTGGTGCGGGTGTCGTGCTCCTCAGGGTCTCCAGGGGCGGTGGTGGCATTGTCTGGTCATGGCTGTGTGTCGACTGATGACGATGAAGAAGAAAGAAGAAGAAGAAGAAGAAGAAGAGAGTATGAAAAGAATAAGATGAGTTGTGACAAGAGTGGTTTGACGAGAAGGTGTCATGCGTGTAAGTCGTAACGTATCAAGAATGAACATCAAGGCGTCGTCGTCGTGTAAGCCATAAGCCGCATCACCAATAGGCTACACCACCCTTCTCAGACTTTGAACTTGAGCTTTTTTGCACCACCAAAATCCCCCGAACACGCAAACCGAAATTCCCCGCCCAGAAGAGAAAAAAAAAAGAGGGTGCGTTTAGTCCAGTGCTCATCTCAATACATAATGTCAAAAATCAAAAGGTAGGAGCAAAAGTTCAGTAATAAGCGTACCTAGGTAGTATAAGACCAAGCAAGTACTGCTAAGAAGAAAAAATTGGTTCAGAAACTGTGTGTAGTGTTGGGTACATTAGGTACCTAGTGTAAGCTTCTTTTTTGGGTGTGAAAAGGCAGAGGCTGACGTTGCAAGCATTGCGCGTCCCGGTCCCCCAAGCTAAAAAAGAATTAAGGCATTTGATGCGTCTCCAGTAAAGAACTCGCCACGCATTTGCACGTTTTGACCGCAGTTTTTTTTTTTTTTTTTCCTCATAGGGGGAACAACAATCTGCCGAGTTGTAATCTGCTTTGTTGAACTGCGAAGATCGAATTCTGGGTATATTTGAGGTACGTAAGCATTTCAGAGCCTGGAGTTCCTTATGGAGTAAAGAAAGTTGTCGAGTTGGAAATGAGAGGCATTCAACAGTGAGGACACATACCTTACCTAGGTACCTACCCAATAGAGGCAAGTCATTCGAGATACATAGGTTCGCAAACAACTGCCCCGGGTTCTTTGCAGCATTATCATAGTCATCTAAGCTTCTTATCCAAATTGGCTATCAAACAGCCTTTCAAGCATCAATTTCGGAAAACAATCAATAGACGCAGTTGGCGTCAGTCCAGGGTGAGCGACCCGAAAAAGGGTGACGTACCTCCAGTTGGGGGGGCCCCGAATCGGGTACAGCTGCCTTGATGAATGAACAGCCCCGTGCATCTCAACCTTCGACGACAAATACAGTCAGTACACCGCCATCAGCAAGCAAAGTCAATATTCCAAGCTCTACGATAACAGATCTCCTCCATATACAAGAGGCAGCTGCACGTATCCTCATATATATATATAAATGATCCCTTCTCCTTCTTTCTCGTGGGGCTCAGTACAGACTACCGCGGTGAGACCCAAGATCCTACAGTACAATATAGAGCACCATGACCAGCTCGCAACGACAACGAAACCTCGCCGACCAACGACGTCCACTTCCAAGCATAGCAGACGGCTCCACGACGTGTTACAAACCTCGGTAGCCTCTGTCCTGCATCTCACAAGCCCCGGGCACTTGCAATAGAACAAGTGACCTCTCTGTGGATGCCACATAAGCACAACATCCATACGTCAGTACCTACTCTGTAACAACTCCCCCTAAGGCTCTAAACATACCGTGGTGCCCTTTAGAAGAGCCGACTGTGGGCATGATCATCGCCCAGGGCCGAGAAGAGAAAACTCATGCTTTTTACGGGTTAAATCAGGCGCCATGAACTTCATAATGAAGAAGGATATCCCAATGCAGGCCATCGTGGGACCAGAGCGCCGTCCATCAACCCAATTGGACTGTCCCTGGAGACGCTGCATGCGGCTGCTGCGGTGCTTCTCTTGCTTGTTGCTCGTACAGTATGAGCATCACACAAAAGGTCTCGAGAGCAGCAAGACAACTGATTCGTCGATCGCTGCAACCCCGCATCCATCGACACTGCAAAGAGGGGAAGCCGACAATCACGCACCGCTAGATGTATTGCAAGGCCCATGATGAAAAACGTCCCTCAAGAGTATTAGACCAACATCACGCAGCAGCAGAGAGTCGAGTAAAGAGTCCAAGTTATACATTAAGAGCGCAGAGCACTCCGTTGCAAAAGCATTTCAGTACATTGGCGATGCTTCCAGCAATCGCAATATGCCCCGACCAACAACATCTAGTTGCAATATCCCGGGCGCCGACTCGCACCGAACCGCGAAGCCAAACAAAAACAATTGAAGGAACTATTGAACAGACATTAGGATGGGTGGATGGGTCATTTACTCGTCCGCATCCTTGTTCTTCTTCTTCTTCTTGCCACCGCCGCCGCCGCTTGACGAGCCCGTCGCCGGCTGGCTCTGGAGGTGCACTTCAAAGTAGTTTTCGCCTCGTTCCCATGCGAAGCCCTTGAGGTATGGGTTGTCAAGCTCATCATCAGCCTGCAGGCATGTTAGCCAGCCGTCTCGGGAGAGGGATAATGCGACGACGACACTTACTCGGTTCTTGTTCGCCTTGTAAATGGCCGACAGTGCGTCGCCTATTGTCAGGCCCTTCATGTTGCGAGCCACGACCTCTTTGCCATGGGGGAACTTGAGCGTTATGCTCTTGATCGGAGGCTTGGTGAGGGGGATCTGTAGCAGCTGATCATTGTCAAGATCCTTTGGCCGCTGGTTGATTTTCCTGTTGGCAGCAAACAAGGCGTCAGCAGGATTGCAGCAAAGAAGAAGAGTCACCCCAAGGTGCGGTAGATGAACAGGTGACAACGTACCAAGCAGTCTGCTGTGTCTCCAGCGCCAGATCCAAGGGCGCGTTGCTTTCGTCTATTGCAGGGCGTCAGCATTCTGCTCGTCGGAAGCGCGGAAGCATACGGAATGTGACTTACTGATTTCCGCAATGGTCATGACACCAGCCGCGCTAGAGCTTGTTCTCCTATGGCCCTTCTCTTTCGGCGGCGATGATGACAGGCCTTGGACGGCGGAATCGACCTTGGTGAGAGGTTCAGACATGGTGGTGGCTGTTTGGTGTTGGTGGGATCAATATGATTCCAAGAGCTGTTGTGCTGTGTGAGAAGATGCGTCGAGATCGAAAGAAGAGCCAAGGCACATTTACTCACCAGTTGATGAAGTGGAAGATGTTAAATGGAAGAAAGACGCGATGGTTTGTGAGGTGAAAGGAAGAAAAGAAGAGGAGAAAAGAGGAGAAGAGGATGCTTGGAGAGAGGGGAAGCAGCGGCCTGATAAAGGGAAGGAAGGGGCGGGAAGGGAATCAGCGAACTGGGAAGGCACAGGCACGGTCGTACTCGCTTCCGAGAGCAATCCCACCCACTGCCTGTCTGTTTGTCGGTATCCAAGGTATCTTACGCAGCTGGCAGGGTCGAGCGGGGTAGCAACTGCCTTCTCCCGGACGGGGAATGAGCATTGCCAAACCGGATCGCGTGACAATGATACCACATTATCCGTTCTTCACTGTGCAGGATTCCCGCTGGCGATGGCCGGGCCTGGACGTCTGAGTGGTACCCGATTAGGCTTAGCATCACCGTGCAGCGCTAGTAGCAGGTGCTATCCACCAGAATCCGGGGAAGGAATCTGGGGAAACGACCCACTGGCAGTCGAGTGCCGGTTGGAGAAAGAAAAAAACAAAAAAAAGGGAAAAGAAAGTCGTGCATCAGGGGCAGATGGGAATGAGGTCATGATGGCCAAGTATCGCGATCTGGATCTGATTTGGTCACAAGAAACAACCTCGGCCATCCATGTCCTCCCGGAGCTGCTGGGAGAGCAAACGAGCCGGGCGGTGGCATCACGAACTGGACTCAAATCAGCCCGTCCAATGCGACTAAATCGCCCCCCTCCCCGTCTCCGGCCGATCTCTCCGAGTGGACCCGGGTACTTGGCGGCCAGGTGCCCACTGCACTCTGCGCAAGGTATCCAGTACATCAGATACTACAGTGCATCATACCACTTCCACCACCTGCACCTGCAGCGCCCTTGTCTCAGAACAGAACAGAACAGAACCATCCATGCGTGAGGTGGGCAAGGGAAAAAGTGACGTACTCCCTCCCTCCATCATCCCATATAGCCCGACCAATGGTGTTGGCCATGGGCCCAGCCTGAATCGCATCCGGACTGTGACGCAGCGCCATTTCACTGCCCGTCTGGGTTTGGATGGCATGATGCTGGCCGTGATTGGCTGTTGCAGCTGGTCAGACGCTCACTGCGATGCATTCACTTGTACAGTACAGGCCGTACGGTATCAGCGGGCATCGCCAGTGTGGCAGACCCGAAACGCCAACATTTCCACTAGATATTGATTGTCACTCATTACCTACTCCGCAGCGGCTGATGGTGGTTGGGGGCACGCCTTGGATGGATGGATTGATTGGATCCAAAATGGCCTCCTTTCCCCTCTCCTGTGCTCGACTCGCCTCTCCTCATCTCATCCTCCTCTCCTCTCCTGAAGCACGCAAAATTCCCTGCTTCTTCCAGTCGTTTCATCTCCTTTTGCTCATCCTGTAACATAACAACATGGCCCCATTGAAGCCGCCCTTCATCATATCATGCCCTCGCCAGCCATCTCATCACCGCTCCAACGACAGATAGTCACTCAGCCAGTCGTGCTACTGCGGGACCGTCGGCCTGCACACCGAGCCCCGCTGTGGGCCGTGATAGCACGATGCATCGCGTGTTCTGCCGTCCAGCGTCAGCACAACAGGCCATCGATGCGATGCGACCAAGTCCTAAGACGCAACAAAAGACGAGACGTGAGACGTTATAACGCTCCTCAATCGCACGTCACGATGCTTTTCGCTCTCCCAATGCAGTGATATTGCCTCAAAAACGAGACTCACCAAAGCCTGCTCTGAACCCTGACCCCCCCTGCCACGGCGACCCCCCCGTCAATGAACGCTCACTCCCATCAAAACCCGCCGAAACGACAACTTGCGCAGATAACCATTAAAGCATCATGAGACCATTGTTATATAGAAACAGCCGAATCCAAAGCCAAACGAAGAACAAATCAAAACAGACCCCAAAAGCCTCTTTGTTGCTGACGTCCTTTTGTTGTCTGGCCATGTACTAACAGCCAAAGTAACCGCTGAGCACGATGACTCCTGCGACGCCCCCCATCTTCTGCCTTCCTACGAAGCCCGTGACCCAAACCGCCGTAACTCGATTAATCTCCTGCCTCGATGAAATCCGCCCGCGATCGTTGATGTCTTCCGACAGATCCTGAGCGCCAGGTTACCCTGTAGCTGGATATAGCGACCGGTGGAGGTCGGCGAAGTCCTGTTCAACACACTGCAAAGCTGTCCATGTGACCAACTGAAGGCTCCAGACACGCTCCAGACAACGCTCCAGGCTTCCCGGCGAAATTACGACTGCATACGATGCCGCAGATGTGATTTATCTGATATGCGACAACCCACGACGACCGTTCTCGACCGTCGAGCAATACATACCTCCAGACCAATGATGACCAACGATTACCTACGAGACACACTCTGAACCAACCGACATATTAACATTGCACAATCCACGATGATAGCCGAGACAATTCTGTGATGACGACCCCTCGATACTGGATGGCGATATGACGGTGGAAGATACCCCTCCCTCATTCGCATGCCGAACAAGCGCTCCCGCACCCGCGATCGCCTCAAGACTGCAATGCCCCTTTGTGGTTTCGACAAACAATTCTTTCGCAAAGCGATGGATTTCTTCTAGAGAACGAATGAGAAATTCATGATGGAACGAATGGACCAATGGAGCGAAGAACCTGCACTCCGATTCAAGTTTGCTTGAAGACCCCGGCGTTTGTATGTCTTGTACCTCCAAGCGTACGCTTACCCTGGAGGATTCGCTGACAATCACATCTCTTTGCAAAAGCCGTAGACGGCGATATTCGCAAAGAACCCCTCTCAAGCTCATTCGAGGTCCAAGTGGAATTCCAAGCGACTCGACTTCAAGGCGACGATCGAATCGGAACCTGAATAGTTGGGATCAGTAGGAAGGCTTATTTCGACAAGGTTGAGATGATATCGGAGGAGCCAAGGTATATAATCTTACCTTATCCCCGTGGTATAATTTGCACTAAATTGACCACGAGCTACAGACAAGATGAAGTTTGAGGAAAGGGAAATTGAAGATGTATTACTGGGGTTGATCTCTGGTCATCTTTGTGGTGCAAAAGTGATTGTATGCAGGTACATGTATCATGTTCCAAATGCAGGTTATGATGGAGGGCCTCAATCACCCCCGTGGCGCCTATTGGAAGTACCTTATCTGCATGAAAAAAAAAAAAAACCAAGAAGATGAAAGTACCAACAGATTCCTACAGACCGTCATGCTGGCGCTTCTTCAAAGTATGAATTCTCTTATGCTTCGCTCAGATATGTTCTTACAGTGAAGTGCACAGGCTTAAACTCGACTCACTCCACTATGTAGCAACACCAAGCAATGATAAGCGCAACTGCATCTGACATATGACATGCAGCGGCAACTTCTTCACCCATCCGGTTGGCTAGAGCAGAATCATCCAACCATCAAGAGGACCCTCTCTCAATTACATGTAGATTACACGCTGCACCTGTCTTTTGTCAGAACATAGAGCGAACTCTGGCGTGCTGGACACTTACAGGCGGAGATACGTCTGAGATGCAGTCAGCATCGAGGTATTGATTAGCCGTGCAAACGCTTCATGCAATGCGCCTCGCTGGATGTAGCGTAGCAAATGCGACGCAAAACATGATCTCAAGTCTCAAGGCGGACCTCTTAAAAGATGCCATGTCATGATCTTATGAGAGTCTCAATAGGTACTCAATCTGCTTCTTGGGTTCTAGCATGTCACGACCAAAGATGTTACGATGAAGAGCATTAGCAGCCCAAATGTAAGTGTCATGGCTTGGGCGTTGTAGACATCTCTGTACCAATTCAATGGTTGAACCGGGCATCACGTCAACATATAAAGGGGGATCCAACTGTACTTGGCTATATTTTTGACAACCTGAACATCACAACCTCTATCATGTATTCCTAATATACAAGCTCACAAAAGAATCCAGTGCGAGCAACGGCTCAGTCAGCCCAGCTTTCAAGCAAGCCTTAATAGAACCGGGGCAGCTCTCGGCTTTCAGCACGCAAAAGCGGGGCCATCAAGCGGCGGAACCGTTCCGGGCCAGAGCTGCCAAAAGCGGGGGGATCCAAGGCCAAAAGGAGGGGCGCGGGGCAGCTCCGCGCAGCTACCTAGCGGACAATGACGGCGCAATAAAAGTCCGCTCATAATGATGCTTGATTGCCCACATCTACTGCTCACTTATTTCTGTCACCTTGCTGTGCCGTCATCCTCCAAGATCCGATGAAAACCGTCGGATTCCAGGCGGAATCGGAACCAGCCGCAGAGCTACACCTCGTCCGGTGCGCTTGGACAGGCAAGAAGACCGTTTCTGGCGTCATCAGATGCAGCATTGTTTCACTCTCTGGAGGATCAAGAGGCAGCTTCGGCGTTTGTGCGGCACGGCGGTACTTCATCTGGTGCCCATGTGCCGCAATATATCTTGAACCTCGACCTCTTCACTTCACAACCATCCGCCTCAGCTTCTTACTCGACATCCTGCTATTAGCACTCAAAGAGCTGCTACACTGTTGGCGACCTTATCCAGACAAGCAGCACCGTCTCTCACTCCCATCGCATCACACCGGCAACTTCTACACCAAACAGCATTGAGAGACAGGTCAACATGCCCGTCACGCAGTTCGCCACCAAGGAGCGCTACAAATACCAAAATGGCTTCAACAACCACCTAGAGTAAGCCCATTGAACCCTCCTCACAAAGCAAACTTGTTCGCCAACTCCCAGCTCCATCCAGGTCCGAAGCCATCGAGGGCGCTATCCCCACGGCCCAAAACTCCCCCCAGAAGCCCCCCTATGGGCTCTACGCCGAGAAGCTCTCGGGCACCGCCTTCACCGCGCCGCGCAGCGAAAACAAGCAGACGTGGCTCTACCGCATCCTGCCCTCGTGCGCCCACCCGCCGTACCAGCCGGCGCCCGAGTCGCGCGCCGCGCAGGAGGGCGCCGCGCCGTCCAATCTGCGCTTCATCCCGAACCAGCTGCGCTGGGATCCCTTTGACCACAACGATTCCCGCGACCTCGACTTCGTGTCGGGCATGCGCCTGGTGGCGGGCGCCGGCGACGTGACGCTCAAGCAGGGCATCGGCATGCTCGTCTACGCCGCCGGCAAGAGCATGGACGAGACGGCGGCATACTACTCGGCCGACGGCGACCTGCTCATCGTGCCGCAGGAGGGCGACCTGGACATCCGCACCGAGTTCGGCTGGCTGCTGGTCCGGCCGATGGAGATCTGCGTCATCCCGCGCGGCGTCAAGTACCAGGTGCGCCTGTCGTCGGGCCCGGCCAGGGGCTACGCGCTCGAGCTCTACCAGGGCCACTTTGCGCTGCCGGAGCTGGGCCCCATCGGCAGCAACGGGCTGGCCAACGCGCGCGACTTCCAGGCGCCCGTCGCGCACTTTGACGAGGACTGCGGCGCGACGGCCTCGGAGGGCAGCCGGCTCTTTGACGTGACGGTCAAGCTCAACAACGCCCTCTTCACCACGCGGCAGGCCCACACGCCCTTTGACGTCGTCGGCTGGCAGGGCAACTACTACCCCTACAAGTACGACCTGGGCCGCTTCAACACCATCGGCACCATCTCGTACGACCACCCGGACCCGTCCATCTTCACGGTGCTGTCCGCCCCCAGCGGCGTCCCCGGCACCGCCGTCGCCGACTTCGTCATCTTCCCCCCGCGCTGGCTCGTCGGCGAGGACACCTTCCGCCCGCCCTGGTACCACCGCAACACCATGAGCGAGTTCATGGGCCTCATCTGCGGCGGCTACGACGCCAAGCGCGGCGGCGCCGGCGGCTTCGTCCCCGGCGGCGCCAGCCTGCACAACGTCATGAGCGGCCACGGGCCCGACGCCGACAGCCACGAGGGCGCGCGCAGCGCCGAGCTGAAGCCCGTCAAGGTCGGCGCCGGCAGCTGCGCCTTTATGTTTGAGAGCTGCCTCATGGTCGGCGTCACGGAGTGGGGGCTGAGGACGTGCAAGAAGGTCCAGGAGGGCTACAGCGAGGAGAGCTGGGGAGGCGTCAAGACGCACTGGGCGAGGCCGGCTGGCAAGGAGGTCAAGAGTCACCTGGCGGAGTAACTCGACATTGAAAAGAAAACAAGGAAAAAAAGAAAAGTAAAAAAGAAAAAGAGGGAGATGGAATGATGGACTGGGTGGGTGATTCGCAATAATGTCAAGCGGTGTCCTCTGCTTTGTCAATATGCCTTGTAGTCTTCTTTCTTGTACACGTGGGATCGATATGAAGCCCCCTTTGGATATTATAGGATACTATCATAACTCAGCCATTAACTCTTGATTTTCAGATGAACAACCTGATCTGTCAAGCTACGTGACCAACTCAAAGCTCAAGACTACCTAGACACACAACACCTTGATTCAGCGTAATAACGCCGCGCCTCTTGCTTTTTTTACACGAGGCACCGTTCAGAAACACGACATCACCCGCCCAGAGACCCCTATGAAGTAACAAAACACACACAGTCGACACAAATATACAAACGCCGGATATCAACAACGCCCAGACATCATACAAACCACAACATCAACATTAGCAGGCAGCCTCTCCCCTACTCATCCTTGTCCTTGCCCTCCCCATCCTCATCCTCCCCATCGTCCTCCACCGCCCAATCCTTCCACCCTTCGCCCCTCAACCAGCTCACCCCCTTGCGCCACTGCCCCTCCCGAATGGCCTTTGCATCCCGTTCATACACCACGCCCGTCACCATGAGCGCCAGCACAAACACCCACACGTCGCCTCCCCTCATGGCCTTCCACCAGCGCCTCTTGACGCCCACCTTCCACAGGCTGTCCACGCTCGCCCGCGCCGTGTACAGAAACACGCTGCGCCCGTGCCGCCGCTCCACCCACGCCCACATGCCCGCCAGGAAGCCGCCCAGGAAGACGCGCTGCGCGGCCAGCACATGCCGCGGGAGGTACTGCTGGAAGAAGCACAGCGACGCCCACGCCGTGGAGAGGGCGCCCGTGGCGAACGTCGACAGGCGCAGCGCCTGCGAGATGATGCGCTGGATCGTGGCGAACGGGAAGTTGTACAGGTTGCGGAACCGGGGGACAATGGTCAGCGCCGAGTAGAGGATGAGGAAGAAGCGCGTCATGCTCGGGAAGGAGTCGAGCCAGAAGGTGAGGTAGGTTCGCAGGCAGGACGGGTCGGATGGGTGGAGGGTTGCGCAGGAGAGGGACGTGATCAGGGGGTGAGCCTGTGAGCTCAGGGGCGAGATGCCGGTGAGCGTGGGTGGGAGGACTTCCTTGTTAGGGAACAGGATGGGAGATATGAATGGTCTGTTTAAGGGGGAGGGGGGATAAGCGGGTTAGCAGAGTTACACACAGCTACACTTCAGCGGTTTAAACTTACGGCCAGTTGAGTCGAGCCATCTCTGCGATATTTTCCAGGATCTGAGATGGCGAAGGCCACTTGAGATTTGTGGGATAGTTTTCTGGCCGCGGAGGCAGGTAGGTGGACGAGTTTTTGAAGATGAGATCCCCAAACGACTATAGAAGATGTCAGCAACACACCCATCACCATGAGAAAGAAAGGCAAAGGGAACGTAACAAAACGTACAGACGGGAAGCAGTCGGGATCAAAGACAGCCGCATGGAACAACTGCCCAAACGCAAAAGGCTGTAGCATCCAGCTCCCAAACCACCACGGCCGCTCGCGGTTCTTGCCGTTCCTGACGCCCCAGATCAGCCCGTCCTTTTCGCACACGTTCCAGCCAAACTCGAGGGCCCGGAACAGGGCGTAGATGGCGATGCTGACGCGCATCTGCTTTGACGGGTAGATACCCAGGGCGAGGCCGGCCAGCGAGGCGCCAATGGCCGGCGCAAAGGGCGACGTCAGCGTCGCCGTCGTCCGCGGGTTGCGCAGCCGGAAGGGCTCGGCCTGGGGGTCCAGGAGATGGGCGCGCAGCCGGGTGAGGAAGCGGAAGAGCACGCGGTAGAGGAACAGGATGGTTGAGAGGGAGAGGGAGAGCCGGAGGGCGGGAGACTTGTAAAAGGGCTTCTTCTTGCCACTTCCGCTTGACCTTTGGGAAGAAGACGCTCGTCAGCCACCACCACTGCCTTATCCACCACAGGCCGGCATAAGGCATAACAGAAACACCAGACCAAACTTACTCCTTGTTCCCCAGCCTCCGCATGATGGCGTCCCACGCTTTCATCCCAATCCACGTCGCCGTGAACACGCGCAGCGCATGCCGCACCGCCTTGGCATTGTAATCGTCGCGGCCCTTGCGCGGCTGCAGCGCCTTGTCCACGCTGCTCGGGGTGGGCGCCGCACGCCGCAGCGCACGCGACTTGGACAGGATGTACTTGTGCAGGGCGGCGTACTCGCGCGGCGAGATGGTGTACCGCAGGGCATTGCGCAGGATCGGGTCCGGCCCTGTGCTGGAGCTGCCGGGGGTGACGACGGCCTTGCCGCTGGGGGTCGATGGGGTCGGCGGGAGCGATGAGAGCGAGGCCGAGGGCGTTGACGATGCCATGGCGACGTGTGACGTGTGTGTGTTTGTGTGTGTGTCGTCGACTCGAGCGTCGCAGCGCTTCCCTTGCGGTGGTCGTACGCAGCCGTTGAAGCCACGCTCCAAACGGCCAAAGGTTTGTAAAGATCAAGTAACGGCGGTGTATTGTATTCCGCAAACACCGAGTTGGACCAGCCAGCAGCAGACAGAACCACGTCTCCTGACTCAATCGAGAGTGCGTCCCGACTTCACCGTCCACCAGAGACGAATCGTCGTCGTCGGCGCACCGGAACAGGAGACAGACAAAGCCAAAAAGGTGAGGAGGTGAGAGGGTGACCGCCCAGACAACGAAGAAACGGACCGCGACTGCACGCCCTGTTGCCCCTTGTAGCTGTTGATCCTCGCCTATGCAAAGCGCAGGCCCTCCCAGAAGGAGACTCAACTTTCGAGATAAAAGTCCCCGGAATTGAGGATGTCGCCAAACCACCAGGGACAGCTTGTCGGATGGGGTTCAGACCTCGTGGAGTTTGAGAAATAGCGGGAAGACGGGGACAGGCGAGAGGCTCCAGATGATGCTGCAGCCAGAGCCTCGAGTTGCCCCAAGCGCGGCCCCGGTTCGTGCCTTCTCCCTCTCACCTCCCCAGTTGCTAAAAGCCTCGGCAGAGCGGCAACATGTGAGCAACCCGCTGGTTCGTGCTCTGCGCAAGTACCGGTACATGTGACAGGGATGCAATTTCGCCTATGAAAGGCAGGTCTTCTCCACGAGATACAGGTAGAGAGTACATGCACAATGACTTCACTGCTCTCAAGCTTGTAATAGGTAGCCCACACAAGGGCTTTTGGGGTCTCGAATTAAGGGACCTTGCTTTTGGCGTAAGGGAGCTTGAACATGCCATTCACAGTTCAAGACAATTAAATGCCCAAGGCTTCACCGAACGCGTTGTTGTAAGTTGCATTGGTTTTTTTTTTCTTCAGATGTAAGGCATTATTCTAAAACAACCCTTTGAGTTGCAGTTAGCCCGGCAAGTGACATAAGTAGGCACCCACAAGCAACTCCTACTAGATAGAGTAATATTGCTACCTCACATATAAGGTAAACTACCTAGATAAGCTATCACAACTCATCGCCATTGACCTCCATGCCGTCAATATACTAAAGACATTACGGTACCTTCGGCCCATGACAAGATACTACCTAATCTTACTACCATCTAATACAAATCATCCGATTCACGACATTCATTCCCAAATATCAGGCTACCATGGCCTGTAACGTAACTGCCAGCCATCAATCATCTCGTCTCTGCCGCGTGCTCTAGATCAACGTGCGCTCCGGCACTCACTCAGACTCTCAACCGCCGCAATATGCATTCCATAGTACATATCTAGCCGCTACCTCGGTAGCTGCCCCTTGCAATCGTCAAACGTCATCATGCGCCCTCCTGCTAGGGCCATTTTTTGTTTCAATGTCATGTCGCCGTCCCGTCCCTTCCATTCACCTTCTAGATCTCCTCAGTCAACCCTCAAGCCGCCCTCTTCGTGCCCAAACTACCTAGGTATGTATGCAAAAACCCCTCAAGATAACGACTGGAGCCAACCGTCTCACGTATAGGGGTGCTATTGCCATCAACCTCCATCCCCAGATCTCACCAGAGTCAGCGCTTCGACCGGGAGCAATTTGTGTATGTCCCTGCGTCCCGGTTTTCCAGCACGGAAGGGTTTGCATCCCAGAAGATGCCCTCCACAAGTGCTGAGCGACCGCTTAATGTATGATGGGCGCTACCATCCCGTATCCTCCCTTTCACCTCCGAACCAAGAGTAGCCTATCCGCAGAAACAAAAACAATCCGCCGGCGATTTCCATGTTGCGTTCAAAGACACCAATGCACGCCAATGTTTGGTCAAAAAGAAGTAAAAGAGCTAAACGCTCTCCTGCAAAGGCAACATGCCAAAACCGAACAAAACTTTTTGAGAGAGCTGTGATGCAAGATGCTCAGTGTAAGGAGGTGTCAACTCGGTGACAGAGGACTCGTCAATCGTCAAACTAGACCAGCCATGACCATCATGGGTACTCGGCCACGTTGAGCAAGGACCCGTTCTGGGTGTCCATCAACGGGACCCATTTGCGTGCCAAGGTTGGACCATCCGGATTGCCGTAGGGCAACATCTCTTCCTGCCATCCCAGGGCCGTCCACCAGCCCAAGTCCCTCGGCTCGGGACTGGAGAGGCCTGCTCGGATCGCTTCCGCATCGGCAACCCTGCCGGACAAGACGGCATCCAGGACTCGGCGGCGGCGCGACTCACGCTCCTCGACGGCAAGCTTGATAATGCGGTAACGAGATTCGGCATTCGCCCAGCCATTGACGTTACCCGATCCGGAGGACTCAAGTATCATCTTCAGCTGGGTAAAGGGAATCTCGACCAGGATGCGAGACAGAATCGAGAAGGATGCCGGCTGAGCGGCTCTGGTGGCCTTGGGCGTGTTTGCGTCCGCCAAATTCCTGCCTTCAGTAAGGGCCAAGTCACCAAACTGGATGCCGTTGAGCTTTTGAGGACGGCGTCCCTTTCCAAGTTGCACAGAGGATCCCTCGTCGGCTGGCGAGAGCTTCTCATTGTCGAGGGCATCTTTGGCCGGCGGTGGCGGCGGGCTGATGGGCAATCGGCTATACGGCACAGGTTCCACGGCCTCGGTGTCGAGATTCAAGTGCGAGGGGAAATTGTGAACCACAAAGGTGACAACGGCATTGAGAAGCACCTGGGATCCGTTGCCGTACTGATAGATATCGTGAGAGCCCTTGTCCCTATAGCCATCCAGTGCAAACTCCAGCACCCGCTCCAGAGTTTCCCAGGTCAGGAGATGAGTGGCGACCTCACAGCCGCGTCGAACAACGGGGGTCCAGTCGAGAAGGTGGCCCGCCGCGGCGTACGAGATGGCAAAGTCAAGCTGTTCATTGACGGATCCGGCGGCAGTCACGTCGCCCGGCTCCATGCCAACTCGCCGAGGAGGAGCGTGCAGCAATGGCAATCCGTACAGACGCTGAACGGCCATGTAGAACGAATCCGAGCGGATCCACTTGCTACCCGTTTCGAGGAGGAGGGTCTGCAGAGATCGGTCGTTGGGGGACGTCTGGACACTCTGCTTCTGCTTTTGCAAGAGGTTGAAGAGTTGCAGGCTGCGAGCAAAGACCAGTCGGTGACCGGGAATCCTCACAGGTGCCGCCCTGTCGTCGGTGTAGCGAAGTTCAAGGACGCAATCGGCCAGCTCAGGAGACGCGAATTGCTGTTGCAAGTATCCGATGAACCCATCAGCATTATCGCCTTGGGCCATGTGAGGAGGCAGGCCGGGTGTGGGCATCATTCGAGGGTAGTCCGGCAGCCCAAACATTCTCCCCTGGTGATTTTGACCTTGAGCCTCGTCACCAGGCCCAACCGCAACGCCATTATGCATCGCTCCCGGGCGGTACTGGTTATACATGGCCGTCTCCTCCTGGTGAGCCGAAGACTGAGAGTCGTGGTAGCTATGCGGCGTCGATGGTCCCAGCGTGTTGCCATAAGGGGGGTACGAGTCCATCGGCGCAAAAGGCATCGGCCGGCCATAGCCATCAAAGTTGGCAACAGGCATCATGTCGGTCCCATACGGCACCATTGGCGGAAATCCGTTGCCGTTGGGAGGCATCATGGGATGCGGCCGTCCATCCGGCATTGGCATACCGGGTGGTGGTGCGATACCTCCAGAGTGCGGGGGCGCCGGCGAGGAGCTCTGGGAATCGTGAAAGGCCCCAAAGTGAATGCTGCCGTTGCTAGCATGGGCTTGATGCATATGAGGAGGTCCGTTAGGCAAGGGAGGCCTGGGTCCATGAGACATGTCTCCGTTTGCCACAATGCCCATCGGACGGTGAGTCGGTTGAAAGGGCGGCGGCATCTGGTATCGAGTCGGAGACACAGGTGGGGGAGGCTGCGAGGAGACCAGCTTGACAGGGGGGTATTGAGCTGTAGATGAGCATCGCCATTAGCTTCCAAGGCTCGGAATCTTAAGGGACAGACAGCGAGACGGAAGTTTGCTTACCTGGCCTCTGTCGGTGTTCATCCTGGCCAGCGTTCATGGCAGGGTCGTGGAACTTGGGTTGCATTTCGGAGGGGGCTTCTTGTGCGACCTGGGGAGCAGAAGCCTCGATATTTGTCGGCTGGACAGCGTAGTTTGTCGAGTCCTGGTTCTTGCCGGTAGCTTGGCTCGGTCGTGCGACGGGTTTGCTGCTGGCAATCACCACTTCCTTGGTCGAGTCTCGAGCTGTCATGTTTGGAGCCAAGAGTCAGCCAAGCCTTGTCTCATTGCACGATGTATGCGGGCCAGAGAGGGAACCAGAGCGCTGGTTTGAATGTTCCTCATCTTGCCCTTCTCACCCCTCTCGCCTCCTCTCCCCTCCGAGCAGGATCATGCATGGAAACTTACCATTGTGTAACCCGGCCTTGGCAGCAGACTTTGAATCTGGGCTGCCCGCCGAACGGGACTCGCTGGTGCGTGGCGTATCCGCGATCAGCGTGGGCGAAGACTGATTCATTTCGGGGGCTTGCACTTCGAGGGAGCCGTTCTGGGCGCTGTCGCTGGTGCTGGTGCTGGTGCGGGCATTGTCATCGACGTTGGTGCTCGAGGGCGACGCAGTCACAGTCGCAGTCACGGGAGCTGCTGCTGCTGCGGCCGCAGCCTGGCGTTTGACGTAGGGCAGCGGAATCGCAGGAATGACGGGCTTGGGCATCTGCTTGCTGGAGGGCACCGGCGGCCGGCGAGCCTTGAGGGATCCGTTGGACGGAGCCATGGCGAGTCGAGTCCGTCCGTCCGACGCGATGGATCGATCGAGCTGCGGCGAGGACGGCAGAGCCTTGAGCCTGGTTGCTGTTGCTTGTGCCCTTGCTCAGAATCCGCAGGTCGGCGAGGGGCAGCAGGGGAGGCCTTGGATTTCCGATCGCCCGCGCGCCAGGCCTGGACGACAAATCTGGAGATGTCGGCAAACAGGCATGAGTCCAGTCATGCGAGACTTGCGCTGGTCCAATGCCAGAAGCGTCGCCTGTTTGGGGCCGAAGAGGCTGAGGCTGAGGCGGGAGAGCGCGGAGTGGTGATGCTGGTGAATGGGAGAGGCAAGAGAGAGCAGACTCGAGGCGAGCAACGGGATTTGCCAGCAGCAGCAGCAGCAGCAGCAGCACGGCTGAAAGAGGAGTCCACCGGGCTGTTTCTCTCTGCCGTCTTGCTTCTGGGAGCCTCCCGCTCTGGCGCACCAAAGTGGGAACGTGCAGTGCAAGCAGCACGGCGCCTCAGCCAGTGAGTGATCCAATGCCACTAACAGCCCAGCTGCCCCCAGTGCAAGCAATTTTTTTTTTTCTCTCTTCTCCCCGCAGCTTCGAATCTAGGCGCTCCAGCTGCATCTCATCCCCATCCAATGCCTACCCGGCCTGTCCTCTTCTGTGCGCCTGCTCCAGCTCTCTGGAGGTCCGGCTTGTACTATGGACTCGTATTACCACCAGCTTGCGGCGCCACTGCCGCCGCTGGACGACTAATACAATACCTAGGTACTATAATCCATTGGATGTGCCAATCAACCGCCCATTATTCGCTGAGACATTCCAGTTCCCCCCATATGAATTTGTTTGTTTGCCATTGGCGGTTGAAACTCGGTGTCTCATAACCCCGTCATTTCGTCCAAACGAGGGACTCGAGAGAGCACTTCTGGTTTGCTTTCGGCCATGTGACGAGCTCGACTGCGTCCAGGGGTCCGAAGCCGGTTGACAACCAACTCTCAACGTTTGCGAAAGCGTCCGTGTTTCTGGGAACAAGATACAGTAACGTCGAACGCGTCTGCCCTCTCTAGACATTCTCTCTTACGTATCCCCGCCTTGTCTCAGCGGGCTACCAAGGTAAGCTGGGCCTGCAGCAACGTCATGTATGGCCCAGTACGGATCGAGGTAAGCAGGCCTGATCATGGCCTTTAGTTTTATGTATGGAATCGATGATGTGCATTTGATCGTTGTTCCCATGATAAGCACCCCCCATCTTACATAGCAAATGCTTTCCAGGGATGCCGTGGCAGGAAATGGGTACCCATGCGACCACGAACTCCGTGCGTGGTCAATCTCAACCCAATGACAGTTGGGAAGCTTATCATCGGGCATGAAGCCACGGCGGCTCAGGCCAGGATGGGCAGAGCCTTCACAATCGCTGCAGCGTGGGAAATCGCGACCTATGCAGTACCATTATCGAATTAAGCTGTTTATCGATCGCAACCAGAACGAGCCCATACGAGCAATTACTGATAGTGTTACCAAACCCATAAAGAACCCTGAACGCCCCTATTAAAAATCCGCCTCCAAGCTGCCGTTGGCGGTCTCCTCTATACCCTCGTTGTAAAGACTGTAAATAACCATGCCAGATGGCGGTAAAGTTGCCCCAACGCACAATAGCTACATCCTGGACTATCATGCCAATGTCTCATTGCCGCTCACCAACCTAGCAATCAGCACGTATATGAAAATCGCCGCGCCGGCAACCAGCAGCTTGTTCCGGTACAGCCAGCCTCGCCCAGCATCCCGCTGCTGGACAACGGCGTCCACCACAGCCTGAGCCTGGTTACTACTCGAAGCGGCAATGCTCAGCTGGGGCCCGCAAGGGGAGCCATTGTCGCCGTCTGCTCGATTGCCGGTGACTGGATCGACCTTGTGCTTCCTCATCCACTCCCAGTTCTCAAGGTCCACCTCTGGCCACTCCGAACGAAACTTGGCGCCTCCATCACCGGCCTTGACATTGCCCTTGGCAGCGACGTTCCCTCTTGCGTGCGAGCCACCACCAGTAGAGTTCCACCACCGCGACCGCGAGGCCAGGAACTTTCGCTCAGCGCTAGACGCTGAGACGGAACCAGTAGTCATCTCGTCGCTAGTCATGAACGACAGGAGGCCGATCAGGATGGTTGACACCTCCCATGCTGGGTTGAAGGATTTCGGATGGAAGTCGGATATGGAGAGGCAGAGTCTGGTCGACGGCTGGAATCGCCCCGATGGGGTGTGCATGCGGATCGCGGGGGGTGCGAATGGGTAGTTCGGAGGGAAGATGAGCGTCCCCCAGTACTGGCCTCCGTGATAGGGCGTATCCTCAGGACCAGTGATGATGTAGTGCCATCTAGAGTTTGACGTCAGCAATGCGCTGGGGTCAGTCAGGGCAGAGGGCGACATACTCGAGGATGTTGGATTCGGAAGGATGGGCAGTGATGTATGGCGGAGGATTCTCGGAAATGGCCTTGTACTCTCGCGTCAACTGGCAATAACCATTAGCAACAGTACTCCGTGAATGAACAGCGTCGCACTTGGCGTGAGTTGGAAACGTACCCGCTTGTGCGCCGCTTTACTGGCCATGGTGTTGACGTTGGTGAGAGGATTAAGGATTGAGTGTGTGGTCTTAGGAGAAGGCCGGAACGATCGCGTGACGCCGCCAAAGTAGAGCCCTCTGCTGCGATTTAATGAAAGGCGGAGAATGGAAGCAGACTGGAGAAATGGAGAAGTGAATACAGTGAAGATGGCAACGGAGCGCTGGCGGCCGAGAAATGGATTAAATATCTGAAGAAGAAGGACGCAGACAACGAGGGAAGGCGATGATGAAACATGGAGAGATTAGGCCGGATGACAGCGGCCCGGTGGACTCGAGATAACTTTGGGGCGGTTCGCCTTACTAAGGCGCCACACTACCTTAGGCGCGGCATTACTTGTAGTAGTACTCCCGCAATCCCGTCAAGCGAGAGAAAGAGAAGCAAGAGCGAGACGGGCCTTTACCTTAAGGTTTACGTAGCCGAAGTACCTAGTACAAGTATATGTCAGCCACATACGTGTGGCTGGTGCTGTCGAGGTCGAGCCACAGGTCCCAACGTCAATTGCGGGCAGGGATCGCGACCTCGAGCTGCGCCAAATCTTCCCGAATTTCATCACTTGCATGTGCTGCTGACTCCGTCGAGCGAGACGGCAGATTCAAGGCGTACACAATGGCGCCGACCTCAGAGTCGTCTGGGCGGCCGGTAAGCAAGCATTGGCTGGGACAAAGTCTTGGTAGAGCTTCCATGGCAGCTGCTGACCTCTCCAGCCCGCGAGCCACTTTAATAAGCTACATGAAGACGCCGACGAAGTCCTGCGCGAGGCCAGAACGAGGCCCGAGTTCCAGAGTGCCGAGGATGAAGCCAAGGAGCAGAGGATAGCTCAGTTGGTATTGTCTGACCGCGTCCCCGAAAGGGAGTAATTCTTCTCGGCTGACCATTGCTTCAAGATGGTAGATCAGATGTCGATGCCCATGACCGTCAACCAGGTTTCCGTCAATGGCGCAAAGAATATTCGCCGAGGCTTTCTTGATCCGATCCTGAATCCATTGCTGAGCGACAGCAATGATCCTCCCCATACGGTCGGGGAAGTGCTGTCAAGACTCCAGATAGCAACGGGGAAGCTCAGCGCACTGCGTAAGAAGGGTCACCGGGACAACATCTAGAAGGGATTGCTAACGGGGAGGGAGCTAGAAATCCTCAGAGAGCCCCCGCAAGTCTATCTGTCCCAGTCGAGCCATGCGGACGCATCGACGAGTCCTACTGATGTAGACATCTCCATCGGCCTTCGCGAACTACCTCGCTTCAAACTTCAGACCGGCACGGATGTCGGAAACGGCGAAGGGTCGGCATACGGCTCTTTGTTGTGGCGCAACATGTTTGGCGGCGCCGAGATGCTGACCCTGAACGCAAAGGCGGGAACTCGCACACGGTCCGCTTACAGCGCAAACCTCAGCGCTCCCGTGCTGAGCAATCCGGACATGCGCATCTCGTTGGAAGCCCTCTCGTCTGCCGTGGAGAAGCCCTGGGCCTCCCACGAGGAAGTCGTCAAGGGAGGAGCACTCCGCTTCTCATGGCTCAACCGTCAACGAGACACCCATTCCGTCGAGTATTCAGGATCATGGCGACAAATTACTGGTCTTGCGGCTGATGCCAGTCCAACCGTCAGGCAAGACGCTGGCGATACCATCAAGAGCGCTCTCAAGCATACCTTCTACAGAGAGAGGCGGGATAACCCTCAACTGCCACAGCAGGGGTACATGGTCCGGACTGGATTCGAGCTGGCCGGTGTTGGCCCGCTGGGTGGCGACGTTGCCTTTAGCAAAAGCGATTTGGAGGTCAGCGGCGCCGTCCCTATTCCTCTTCCTGGAGTCAAGGGACGGACGGGCATCTCCCTTGGGGCAGGATTCAGGACGGGACTGCTCTATCCCCTGCCTCTCGGGTACGACTTTGGCGGTAAAGCTTTGCCGAGCCGACTCAACGACCGGTTCTTGCTAGGCGGACCGACAGATATTCGCAGCTTCAAGCTTGGAGGGCTGGGTCCTCACGATGGCCGGGATGCTGCCGGTGGAGACGTGTTCGCTGCTGGCAGCATCAACATGCTCTTCCCGCTGCCCTACAAGGGACCCGATTCTGCTCTCCGCATGCAGCTGTTTGCGAACGGAGGTCGCCTGATTGCGCTGAGAAACAAGCTCAAATCCCGGGACACGTCGCAGGGTCTAGACGGTGAGACAGTCCGCAGCGGCATTGCGAATGCCGTTGGGGACTTGTTTAACGGCCCTCCCAGCTTGGCTGCTGGCGTTGGGCTGGTATACGCCCATCCAGTGGCCAGGTTTGAGCTCAACTTTGGCTTGCCAGTGATTGTCAGAAAGGGGGAGCTGGTCACGAAGGGGGTACAGCTAGGGGTAGGCATCAACTTTTTGTGAGATGCAAGTCCATAATGAGACGCCTGCGGTAAACCCCAGCGTGCAGTCCCAGAAAGGGGCTCGGATGGCTGGACTATACGACATATCACCAGCCGTCGCGGACTACATTAGTAGGACATATATCCACTCACCTGCTTCCTGGATCCATCTGCTATTTGAGCACGTTTTTGATCATGATGCTCGCTATCATGTCTTTGTTGAGATGTCAAACTAGTAGATACCAGCTGGATCTCCTGCTCAATCCTAGGACGACTTACTGTAGCATTAGCTTCTTGCTTGCCCTATGAATCTGAATATACATACAAGGGGATGCCTTGATCTACTGTGCTGGCGAGTGAGGATAGTCGCAGAGACTGGCCAGTCAGTTGTAGGGTAAAGGGGAGTTTAGTCGCTTGTCAATTGGCGTTTCACCCCGATTTCATTACCATGGAGCGCAAAGTTGTGCTACTTGTAAACGTTTAGATGCATCATACCTATGGTGAATGATGTCTGCGGCATGGCTTGAACTGAAGACATGGCTCTGGTCAAGGCAATGGCTCTGAGTAACCTCTAACAGATGTGTGGTGTAAGAAAACGGCATCTACTAAAATCTCGAATGCATCGTATCATCTACCCACGCCCAAGTGACGCAGCATGATCAAAGTCTCCAATGGCACGATCGAAGCAATATGGTGAAGTTACTCTGCCACTTTGCCCCCTCCAAGGCGTCTAACGATGTGGCATCTTTGTGCGAAGTTCGGCGAATGAGATTCCTATCCATCTGGAACCAACAGTCATCTGTGTATACACAGAATTCCAGACATGGACGGAGGATTACGTGTTTCTATACATACTGGGCTGTTTATGCCCGGGTACGGGAGACGGTGGTCACCATAAGCACTCTACGAGATGCTGGAGTTTATATTGTTCTATGATTCGCAATATATGGGAGAGTGGTACATCATATGAGAGGATCGGAATGATCTGGATTAGCTGTGATGTCCTCTAATAGTGCCCTTTTTCTGAAACCTCGATGGACCAATTTGAACACGCTGGTGTCAGGGTCACTCCTAGAATCCGGACTGTAAGAGTATGGGGAGGGACCCTGAACCAGTTCGTCCTCATTACAAGTCAAAAAGTAATCTGTCCTCAACACAAGTCAAAGGGTAATCTGCAAATGTTAATCAGATGCTCATCGTTTAATGGTAGCTTAGTCCCTGCGATCTTAATGTCTCGTGTATGAGGCAGCTCTACCATGTCCATTCTACTAGTATACCGGAAACTTGTCCAGGGGGAACCCCATGTGGCGGCGGAGTACGAAGACATAAGTCCGGAATCCAGAGTACAGTAGCATCGGAAACAATCTCGAAAACTGATATTCGAGAATAGTATTGCGGAGCGGAATTGGGGAAAGGGGGGCGTGCGGACATGGCCTGTTGAAATCTGTGGGAGCTGAGAACGAGAGGGGACATGGGATAGGCTTGGCTTGGGGGTGTCTGAGAAAATGGCAAGATAAGGTAGCCAGATATGGGGTACAATGTGAAACGAAAGGAAAAAGGGGGGGAGGGGAGAGCCGAGTTGATGAGTTGATGGATGCGGTCTGTGAGTAGAGTCCGAAGGAGTGCATTTACTTGATGGCCTGGCGGTTTGGCATTGGTCTATCTTGCGGTCTGACGCAGGGCAATTCCTTGTGCGACGAGGAGATCATCAATTGGTTGAGATTCCCGTGTTGACGATATGTATCTGTGACATGGGAGGTTGGTTTCTTTGAGTGACTGCATGCTACAGTACGTCCAGATATTATACCTCTCTTCTGAATGCGGATGAAACCAAAGTCGCCCTGCGAACACCAGACACACCTCGAAGTCTAAGGTACTGTTTCGACGGACAATTACCTAACATATCTACCTAGTAATCGAAGCTGGTGATACCTGCCATTTCTTGTAAGGCTGAATTGTCATATGAGACCGTCTGCGTAACGAGCTTGCAACTATACAGTAGATCCCTTCGGTGATGCCTCTAGGAATCAATGGTCCAACAATTGCCAACGTCTTTGAACTAGACGGCGAGTGTTTGACGCAATGTGTAGGTCATGCTGCTGCTGCTGCTGCGATGTATGTATAACTTGACTCTTGGCATCCATACCTCAGAAATGAAGTCCTGTTACTAGAGCCATATGGAACAAAGTTGCAAAGACTACATGTATCGGGGTCCGACCCGGGTCCGTGGCTTAGGTCCGTCTCCCGGGCTTGCACTCCTACTTATACAACTAAACTGCGTGGTACAAGCGTGATTGGTAGGAGCCAAGACGGCAGACAGAAAACGGTGGAAGCAAAAGAAGAAAGAAAGAAAAAAAAAAGGCGTGACGCGGAGAATTTCGCACTTGTATGATTGACGCCGGGAAATGATGCTTCAGATGGTGGTGTGTGTCTTGCGGAGGCCGGAATACTACGTCAGCAGCCCTGCGGGTGCGACAAGACGAGCGCATCTGGGCACGAGCAGAGCGTATTTCGGTACCCCAATCACATTGGTCCCTGTAGGAACAACCTATCTGGCCTTGTTGTACAGAGTAAGCCCTTATTGTTATTACCTGCTCGTCTTGTTGGTGTTGGTGATGGTTTATGCTGTAAAGTACCTAGGTAGGTGGTGGCACTTAGCCCGACAGCCCTAGAATCACTAGAAAAGAGAGAACTCAAGCAGACAGCTTGTAGCGAGCGATTGGGAGCCGTTCGGGTCCCACGCCACACGCTTCCCGGTAAATCAATCCCTGGTACTAACAAGCACCCGCACGTACTCGTACAGGCACGATGTCTGAAGAAACAAAGAGAGCCCTGATGATGGCCTGGGGCTTCCACGGCTCCTTTGGGCGGGGTGTCGGGCTGTTGCAAGACCCCGACAGCGATCCATGCCAGCGAGGCGCTGCGGGCTGAGGGACGGCCGCCCACTTTCGGGGTTTCGGTTCGTGGGGCCTCTGGCCATTGGATCTGAGCCACTAGCGATTGCTTCCAGGGTTGTTGTCTCCAGGCTTTGTCGGCCGAATGAATCCGCCCGGCGTACGTACAAGTACCTAGTAGGTGATGAGTATTAGCTGTACTAAATGGAGTTGGTGGAATCTTTTTTTGCTGTGTGGCTGGAGGCGAGCTGGGAACTAAACTCTTTTTCCTCTCCTTTCCTAGAGTGATGGAATAATACGCGTAAATGCGGACGGAGGCTAAAAGTCGGGTGGTTTGACTCCTATTTTGTGTGTGTTTGATTTCATCGATACGAAAGCGGCAGCCCGTAAAATTGCGCCGTTGTTATTGTTGTTGACGTTGTCGTCGTCGTTGTCGTTGTCCTGCCGATGAGATGGGAGTTGCGAGCACTTGCAGCTATCAATTCGTGAATCAGGTACTATTTTGATTCCGAGCTTCTACGATTCGTTGAGATCCATGAACAGGCAAAGGCAACACCCCCCCCGGCTGGTCTGATGCCCTGCCAGCGCCCATGTCCCATGCGCCTCAGCAGTGGCTGCGTTCGTACATACTACTACTAGTAGTACGGTACGATACGAGGATGGAAGTGTCACGCCCTGACCGATGCGAGTGCAAGCAAGCACACGCGAGATCGTTGATCGTGCTCGCCGGAATGCAACCGCACAAGCATGTATGTACCTAGTATGTGCCCTCTCAAGGCTGTATAGCATGCGCCGTTGATGTCATTCTTCAACGGTATCGGGGTTCTGGCACGAGGCTGTCTGTCATACATTTGCGCCGTGCTCATGGAACACTGTTGGGCTGAATGCCACTTGTCAAGAGGCAGCTCCTTGTTCGTATATCGTACTTGTACAATCACACTCCTCACGAGAGAAAGGCGGACTTTTCATCCCTCTTCTCGCGTCCCTCACCACTGACTGGCCTCAGGCTCATGCTCCTGCTCATGGATGCGATAATACGCGTATTGCGTGTAAGCCTCTAACCACGTCCGGAGTACTCCGTCCCGCCCCCGTCATTGACTGAGGGTACATGTAGGGTCGCTTATTTCGCCCAGTGAGCCAGGCGTCTCAAACAGCGGCCAGACGCTGTGACGACGTGCAAAGGCCGCTGTGGAGGGACTGGACACACTCCGCACGCTGTATGAGGTCGGGTGGACTGTAGCCTCCAGCCTCCAGTGGACTTCAACAGCACTGAAAGGTCGTGTAGTATGAGGGTTCATGCCTCCCATCACCAGACGTTGGTGGACTTTACTAGTAGTAGTACTACCTTACTACCTTACCTACCTCTGAGTATCCAGTAGATGTACTCCGTAGACGCCCGGGAACTGCCAACTCCGTCACGGCGGCGTGTGTGTGCGGTGAACTGGAGGTGTAATTAAGGCCTGGCCTCTCTGCTCAGGGACCCTCAGCCGGTGGAGTGCTGCGGACGCGCTACGGACAATGTACGAGCTGTTGTCCGGGTACAGGTACATGCAATGGCATGGGGCTCAGGCACCCTCTGCGGCGTGTCGTGTACCTTTCCGCCAGGCACATGGCGGCTGCCGCAGAAGACGGCGCCAAGAATGGCGGCCGCGGGTCGGGCTGCACCAGAACTGCGAAGAATCGTGACCCGGCCGCCACAGGAGCAGGTACCGGTACAGGTACAGGTACTCGCACCACACGCACCGCTGCAGTGAAGTGACCTGGACCGTGATTTCTTCACACGCCCCCCCGTTTTCCGCCAGGCGTGGCCCGAGTCTGTTCTGGAGACTTCAAGATCCTCGACGGCCAACAAAAGGAAGCTAGAGCCTCTCTTCCTGCGTCCGCTCCCCTCGTCTCTCCATCCCTTCCGCCTCTTGTCGCTGTCGGTGTCTGGATCGCCTCCTTTTTCTTCCAGTCTTCTAGATATTTTAATCCGCCGCTTCATAAGGAGGCCTTTGTCTGGCTTGCTGCTGTGGTGGCTCTTCTACCGACAGCTCTCTTGTGACCCCTTCCCTTCTTTTTTTTCTTCTGAGCTCTTCAGCGACCCCAGTCGACCTCAAGCGAGACACCCCTTGCGAGACACCCAATC